ACAGATCTAACACCCAACAGAATGAGTTTTGAAGCTGAAATGAAGTTTGATTCCAGAAAAACTAAAGACAGTATGGTTTAATGGTAAATCTATGTTGAAGTTGTTACTGAGATTTGCTAAGTCTCAAGTTCTATCACTGTCATTGACACATTAAAAACATCGATTTTTTTGTTCTATTTAACTTGTGTCTGGGTCGCTATCTGAATCTGGTCACCAGATAGCTTACCTGATGCTGACCTGGATGTTCTGAAATCAAGTCAAACAGGTCGCTCTGCACTTTTCCTGATGTAACGCAACAGAGAATCAATTGGAGAGTAAGATTGGTGCGCTAGCAAAGAACATATTATATCAGATCGACGTGACATGTCGGAAAAATATTTCCTATCTCAAAATGAGAGGTCATCAGGCTCATCCAAGTCATCAAACTCCTCTGCATCTTCCTCAGGCTCTCCTTTGTCTTCCTCTCCTTTGTCTTCCTCTCCTTTGTCTCCCTCTCCGCCAAGGCCATCATCGACGTCCATAGCTTCCAACACCAGTGCAGCTGACTCGAGACCAAAACAGTCTCTTACAATCTTCCGCAAGGCCACTGGGTGTCCTACACCTAGGGAAGTATAACGCAGGAACATATCCCGATCGACAAAACTAGTTCGAACAAGTAAGAGACATTAAGCAGGAAGAAGACACATTACACTCACATCCCGACGTAATATGCTTCCCAGTCAGTTAATTCCTCTTTGGGACGCCCCAATGATTTCCCGTAGCGAAGTGAACTTACACCGTGCCCTGACATGAAGGCAGGAATCAGGTGAGCTCCGCGAATCACTTGGCCTGGATTGAGAAATCCAAATGCATCGTGGTCCAATTCCTCCACAAAGGCCAATTTGGGAAGGCGAGCATGCTGTATGCCTGACTCATAGTCTGAAGATATTAATGGTGCAAGCCACAGAACGTACAGAACGTCGATGTGCTGTTTCTCGGTTCGACAAACCCCTTCGAGCCACACGTCCAGGTGATAGATACCTAGCACACGAGCATACCAGTATGGGTGACTCGGTGAGGTTTCTTCTGAAAGTACCATGACGTCTGCATGTGTCCTGGGGTTGACAGTATCGTATTCGCGCCTCATATCATAGGTAGTATAGTATACTTGCATTGTCTGGACCAAATAGATTGTGTTGTTAGGAATAATGAGCGAGTTTTGTTCTTCATCCGTGAAACGTGCGGTCACAATGAGTGACATCTAATTTCTTTAGCCTATACAAAAGGTGATCCTTAAGTTTCGGAATAAAGTCCTGAAAAACATCATAAGTGAATCAACAACCAGCTGGAAAGAAATTCTAGTTTTACCTTGGTAGCTGGGTCACCGTCGTGCTCCCGGAGGAATGTGAACAAAGACACCGGATTGTTGCCATTGATCGCGATGAAATAATGGTCGTTGGACAATGACAAAGCATGAGTATCAGCCGGTGATTGTTGGTTTGAGGAGGAGATACCTGCTGCTTCCGCAGCTCGCTGTAGTACCCGACGTCTGTGTTCGTGCTTTGCTCGCTGTGCTGGAGTATCCACTTTGCTAGTTAGTGGATAAAACACTTTAAGGGCCCTATGGGCCAGCTCTCCCTAGCCAATAAAGTCACTTTCGAAGTATCCTTGAGGATAGGAGATGATGCTTACAATCTGGGTGGTGAATGAATCCGTAGTACCAAAGAGTTTGATGGTTTGCAGGTAATCTCCCATTGCGTGGAATTTGTAGGTGCTCAAATTGAATATTTTCACCCTTGGTATGCTAGATTCTGAAGAGATACCATTAGGTCCAGCACGCTGGGTGACCCTTCATTGGCGAGCCGCCTTCTCTTTTGGCAATTCCACAGTGTCGAATACAGCGCAGGTAAAGTCACGGAACTTTCGCAACTGCCTTGAGAGCTTCTTGAACGTGTCCTCAAAAAAAGTGTGTGTTGATTCTGAATGAATTCTTAACTTTGCGAGTGCGTGCCACTGAGCGAATCTAAACAAGAGAGACTGCACTACCATGTCATGGCTAGCGGGAAACAGGCCTTCAAACACAGGTATTGCACACTGAAGAGAGGCCGTCAGCGAACTGGGTATAAGTAGTTGAGTAAAGCAGTAGGCACCTGCAAGATGTCTTCAAAATCTCGTGCCGCGAGTCTCTTCATTTCGGACGTGTTATTAGCGAACATTCTGATTACCCCATTGCCAAAAGTTGGGATCTGCCGAAATCTATGATGGGATAGAGTTTGCCTTGTTAAGAGACACCGATAGGCAATCTGCAAACTCCACTTACCTTGAGTCTACGATTGCGACCAGCTGATTTCCATTCGGAAGTGCATACAGAATCCTAATGAGGTGAGTGAATAACACCTTCCAGGTACCTAACTCGCACTCGTGCATCAAGTCGACAACGAGCATCTGAAATGGGTTAAGGCCCAGTGCCCCTAGCCTCTCGACAAATTTATTCTGTAAGTAACTCGTGTGAGCCGGCACGAAAGCCAGACAATTCACACTTACTAGGATAGGTGCCCAAGAGCCCCCGCCGAGCGTTTCTTCGACCTTCTTACCATCCACAGTATTTCCCCCTCGATAAATAAATTCTCGTGCCCTGACAACGTTAGTCATGACGTAGACTCGAAGATTGGATATTCGGCTCCGCATGTCCTTGAGGAGACCAAGAGAAGTAAACATGCTCTTCGGTGTGAGACAACGAGGACATGGGCACGAGCCCATGTCCTTGATAGTAGCAATTAAAACCCTGCGACTTGTCAAATAGTTAGTTCATCAGTTACAGACAGAACACACTTTTCGGGGTAATCGGCCGAGTATGTGAATATTCGAGGAAATATCCTACGCAACACACCGTCAGCACATTTCAATACAATACCATGGTGGTATGCATGAAGAAAGCCTTCATCTAGTAAGATGTCCCAGCATCCATGAAATAATTCGTGTCTGCAGTGGGTGTAAAGAGCAGCCATGCCGCTCTTGGATATACGCAGCAAAGCGCTGAAAACATCTTTAATCTTATCAGGTAGCTGATAGACAATATTTTCAATATTGATACTCAAGAGCAAAGTAAGAAAACTCGCTGAAGGTAGAAATCCAACAATGTGACATGCGCCAGACTTTGGAGCAGAGCGAGCATACTTCGTGAGATTTCCAAAGTACATATAGAGAGGCCAGGCCTTCGCCGTTCCGAAATTTGCTAAGTGCGTAGCATCCGAAAAAAACATGAGACCAGCAATCACCCGTTCTAGTGCACATCCAGGCTCTCTTGGGAGCTTTTGCAGTTCATCTTGGGCATCCAGCCAAGAGTCGGAGGTATACAGCTCGTCGAAGATTCGCTCTTGATGGCCGTCTAACGGATCCTTCCACAGACACTTGAATGGCGAAAGATGAAACGCGCTCGCCTGGATATCAGTGAAAGCGGACCGAATTACATTGATGAGGGGGCGAAAATGAAACCCTGGAACAGAAAAAAGTCACTCATCCTCCTCCTTTGATTTTGTAGGAATTTTGATGGTGATAGTGGTATGGTTCCAGTCATCTGGGAACTCGACCTTGCTCCCGCTGTAAACGTTGTCCAATTTCCGTAAACTTCCCCTCACTGAGAAGTTCTCCAGGTGCTTTGCGTCAAAGTCCTCCGCTAGCATCACTTCCTTGACGAGACGGGCGACTTCAAGCTCGGATTTCTTATTGCTGCCAGAATTCATCCACGACATAAGTCGATAGATTGTCATGTTATGAAAAGGGTATGGAGGTGGGAGGGTGTCTGAATCAGCCTCTTGCGTGGCTGTTGGACATGTGGTCGAAAGTAGTGAGGATGATACGAATTTATCCGGCTCAAACGATGGGCAACGGGGGTACAGTTGGCAAATTCCAAGAGAATTGAAGGGTGTTTGAAGGGCGTCACGTAATGTTAATAGGACTCTCTGGATTCTAGACTGAGGCAAGGCTGGATTTAGAATAGGCGAAGTATCAACATCATACGAGCTATCGGTGTCGTCCTCGGGAAGAGGAACATCCTGAAAATCTGTTGGTATTCATCTCTGAGGGCGCGGAGGGTCTTCTAATGAGCGAAATGCAGAATGAGTGAGCTATTAGTTGACCATCTCAGCGGGTGACTCAAACAGGACACACCCAAAGCAGAATCAGCCTCGAATGCATTTGAGTCAAGCCTATCATTATCAGCACTAGACTGCTGCTCTGCGCCGGTACCATGACTAATAGGTACTTCGCTAGCCAGTGTTTGATGCCTGCCAGTATTTGACCATAACGATGGGCACGGAACAACGGGTTTTGAGCAGGCGACTGACATACGATAAATAGGCGGTATTTTCTAGCAAGGTGCAGTAATCGTTGAGCTGTCAGAATTTCTCGTGGATAACTCTCTGAAGAGTGCTTACTGTAGACTCAGAGTTTGAACTGGTTGAGCCCGACAGTGCCAGTGGTATCATCGCCAATCGTGCCAGACTCCCGGGAGATCTGGCTGCCTCCTTCGCCTGCTCTTGTCTTTTCTGGCTGGCTAAGACACTGGAGCGGAGGTGGAATTTGCATGTTGCGCGATGCCTACTTAGGCCTTGGCTGTTACTGCTGTTGCTCTGCCAGAGGCAGCCTGGAGCATTGCAGGATGACATTAATAGATCAATGAAGAGAAAAAGAAGCACGACGCATAGAAGCTTTTTGCGCATTCAAGCCCAGTGAAAACCCACTGTGAGTCTGAGAATGGCTGAGGTTGCGTGAAATTGTCTAGACTAGTAAGCGACACAATCTGAACAGAGAAATGAGACTAATAGCACATGTGCAAATGTGCATGGTTGTGCGTGGTTGTGCGTGGTCGGCCCATACTATGTGTTGTCGCACATTTGCAGTATTTGCAGCGCTTGGCACCTCTTGGCATGTGTCACTGGATTGCATCAAATTTGCTGAGATTGTCTGGCTGTAATAATATACAATACAATAATGACGCAATAAAAATAGTACTAATAAAATCATCCCCGATCCTCCCCCAGGCCTCGCTCATAGGCATTCCATGCCATGATAGTACTAGTGAAAGGATGTAGAGAAGGCGGAAAGGCTGACCATTCGGCGAGTTGCTACCAGTTTCTTATTAGCAGGAGAAATGTATGAAGTATGGTTAATACGCACCCCCGTAGCAGCAAGCCCATCCAGCATCTGACTGGTTGCCTGTTAGCAACAGAATGATGAATATATGTGTCGGATTCTCACCTAGAGACTATATCTCATGATCCATACAGTGCTCTCCCCAGCCCTAGACTCCTAGCGTGCTTGTATATTCCCAGTCCTCCCCTGGGTATCTGTGCCGTCAATATGCGCTGAATTCTCACCTGGAGACCATAGCTTGTCATCCAGAAATGCTCTCTTCAACATGCTTGTATCCATGGCTTGGGTCGCTCGATGCCATCCTTTGAGTTGTCCGACAGACGTCCGGAATGGATAGCGCATAGAGACGGGAGAAGGGGAGAGTAAGAGAGGGTGGGAACACTTAGACATGCGAGGGGAAGTGTTATATATGACGAAAATGGTTGGAGCTTCTCCGAAAGCTTGTGGATGTCACGGTAGAGCGACAATGGATAAGAAACACAGGTTGTGCACAGGGTGATGATAAATTGGCAGTTGGTGAGGAGCGAGAGAACAGGTATCGTGTGCAAAGTAGGGAATATTGAACGAATGACATGGGGTATCGTATCTCCTGGAAAAAATGTAAGGTAGGAATCTAATACACCAGGAACCCTGCACTTGCCGATAATAATACCAATGCATACATGCCTGAAGGAACAATCAATCGGAAATACAGGGACATACATATGGATTACTCACCACAAAAAGCAAATGAGAACTGAAAGAATGAAACGGCTGCACGACCACTGGGACCAAAACGACTGTTCATGACTTCGATGTAAGAGGTTCTGCTGCTTAGTTTAGCGTTGATGACAACCAATCGGATAGTCCAATCGGTGACAGCACAAATGACGACCAGGAGAACAATGCCAAGAAAGAAGCCTGCTTGATTGACTGCATATGGTAAACCTACCGCAGTATTAGCCAAATCTGTTGCTGAAATTGCATCCTGACCAACCAATAATTCCTGTTATCCATTGTCAGCACTTTGGACATCTAAGCAACCAAAAGTTTACCAGCTCCGAGGATTGAATTTGCCATATTGGCAACCGAGTTCAGTAGACCTCCACCCGACCACTGTTTTTTTAGCAAGGTCATCGAGGTCTACGTTCCTAAGTTCTCCATTCTCCATACTATCTGTTTCATACATAGGAATAACTGTGTCTGGCGTTCTCCTTGCAGCCGAAGCATCCATGAGGCCAACCAGTAAAGGCATGGTGTGTTCTCGTCGTGGAGCCCCACGAGAGTGCCTTTGTTTGCATTGGATATCAGCTAGTGAAGCATCATCAAAGTCGTCCGAGTCCAATTCATATTCTGTACAGGCACTGATAAGGTGCGTTGAATTATGAGCACAAAAATACGCACCCACCTCCCGGCTCTGTATTGTGGACCGTAAAGGTGTGCACTTCATCCCGAAATCTGACACCCCGTTCTGTCCTCCGCACTGCCGACCAGGGCTCTCCACTACTGCTTTCTGAGTCCTCGTCGTCCACTGAAAAGGCAACTTGGTTTGTATCCGCTGAAACATCCTCGTGTGAAGCATTCAGCAGAGGCTGCCTAGCCTCTCCGTCTGCTGCCTCTCTTGCTCTTGAGTTTGCGGAAAACATCTGGCACTGTCCAGGACCATAGGCCAACTAAAGAAATTACCGTGAAAAGGGTTAGTAAGTTACAAGTTTGATGCAGAGGCATACCGATTATGATAGCCTTAACTACTTAGTGCGGGTAACAAGCACAGGTTTACTGTGTTTGGCAATACAGATAAGTATGCAGGTAGTATTGTACAAAAAAATCAGTGTAGTCGCTTGGTTCTCACAATGTTGAACTTCGACATGGAAGAATCGCACTGCAGGCAGGACGTAAAGAAGCAGTCACGTGATGCGGCCAACACACGTGTGTCGTTACGCGTTATCGTGCAATTGGCCACCAAATATTCAAGACTTGACAGTAATCGTGACAGCTGTCACACTGCAGCAGGCTGAAATTCATCGTACTAGTCACGGTAAGTAGTACGATTCGACACATACACTCTGAACTGCCAAGTGCAGTACTCTCACTGCGTCCAATAGACAAATTTGGCTGGAAATTGATGTATGTAGATCTATGGTACTTAGTTAATAGATGGAATGTCTTCTTGGTCCTCCGAATCATCATGCTGACTTCGTGCTTTCTTTTTCCCTTTGCTCTTCCTTCTCCCCTTCGCGCGTTCCGCCTTGGCGTAAGCTTTGGAAACACAATTCCAAAAAGTATGTGCGGCCCCGTCTGACATGCCAATTTGTTCCTTATAAAATCCTGTGGTAAAGAAAGCTGCGGTGGGCAAATACAGTACACCATGATCTTTCAGTGTACCAATGTATTGAGGAAAGTTCATGGTAGGGTAGCGAGAGTGAGCACTCGTAAGGACGTCCTCGATATCTTGCGGCGGTTCATCGTCACTTGATTCATCGTCACTCTCTATATAAAGGGCATACGTCCGCTTGAGAGGCGGAGGAGACGTAGTAGGGTGTCCTTGTTGTCTTGTACGTGTTCCGTCCTGGGAGATCACCATGTCATTGACGGCGGATGAGAGATGAATATGATTATGAATTCGAATGGGTGATATGACCTCGGTAGGTACTCTCTCGAGCGATGACGCAGATCGCTCCTTACGTGTCTTCCGAATTTCGTCGAAATGTAGGGTGTTGGGTAGCGTATCACACGCATTGTCGGGATCTTGAGTCTGGTGCTATGATTGTTCAACGAACATCATTAGCGTGCTTTGTGGCAGGCAGCAAAGCATACACGTACCAAGTGTTTGGCCCACTCTTGCAGGTCTTGTGTACACAGTGGATAGTGCGGAGTATTTGGCTGTGTAGCATCTACCCAACAGAAAATATTATCTCCTGGATGATCCGAGCAGTGCAACTTGTTCCTGACATTGTCGAACTCTTTTGTATACAGTAAACGTGATGGTAGTCTCTGCTCGCTTGCAGAAGATGATATGCCCGCCTTTCGTTGTCTTAATTTTTCTTTCAGCACAGGCGCCTGCAAGGTCACGACGATCATGTCTTACAAACCACTTGCAAGTATCAAAAATGACACGTACGGTATTGAGAATCTCAATCACAACTTTTTTCTTTTTCCTCCCAGAGCTGCTTTCCTCTTCCCTCACGGCCTTGAAGGCGCTGTCAATATCATGCGCAGTCAAAAGCCGATGTGGTGGGTCTGTGCGGCATGCGGTGGATAAATGCCAGCCCAAGTGTTCATATAGCTCTGGAACATCCATCGTAGCTTTGATGGAGTCAAAGATGTCTCGCCGAGAATCTGATTCGGAGTGTAATCTATCCACATAGGTAATCGATTGGAGTCTATCCAAGGTATGCAGAGGCACTCTGAATTCGACTAGCACGACTCTACTGAGCATTCTGACATGACTTGTGCGCACTCGACTCACCTTTCTCGAGCTCAGGGGCCTGGTATTGTTGTGCGGTAACCTTTTCTACTGAGTCGAAGCAGTTGGTGATTCCTTGAGAAAGGTGCCAAACCGCGTTTACGCGGTGTCTTGTTACTTAAGGGTCTTATATAAAAGTTGTGTATAATGACAACACAATTATACACGGTGAAGACTTCTTGCCAGTCCTTAAGTCCACGGTCTCCGACTTTTCTACTTCGTGGGAGGTAACGTGGTGAGTTCTTGGGAGGATTTAGTTTGTTGTCCTCTTCTTGTGTAGTCTGATACGAAGTGTTGTGGAATGTTCTGTGTTCTGGATAAATTCGTTAGGTTTGTTTCAGCCTAGTAGGTCGTGTTTCAACCTATGAAAGTCTGTTTCAACTTTGTCGTCCTTAGATATGTGTCTTACTTTCCGTTGAAAGAGAGAGTCTTATGTATACACGTAAAGCTTAGAATGAGAGCTGTTCGATGGTTATATAGTCAACCCCTGTAAGGTAGTATATAACCTAGAGTAGAATAACGATAATGAAAGTTATATAGTCAACCCCTGTAAGGTAGTATATAACTTTAGAATAGAATAATGATGTGTCTTAGTCTTACTTCAAGGCATGTTGCCTGCACTTTTATTCTTACGTACTCTCACACGGTTTGAGAGAAGAATGAAAAATGGGAAGTTATATTTTATGGGTGAAAATGGGGTCCTTTTATACCTTTTGGGAACCCCCTTACTAAGCATGATTTATCAGATGGATTGGTAAGAATGTGGCTTACAAACCAGATGATGAATCAGCTTATTACTAAGTACATTACAAATACAGTGTAATCTTACAAAGAATTTACAAAGCATGACAAATCATGACAAAACATGATGAGTCATGTGAATGTTGTTACAAAGCATGACCAATCATGACTAAACATGTTGAGTCAGCTTAAATAATGTTACAAACCAGAATATTCCCCAGTCACATGATGTGCTGACAAATAAAATCTGGTGGCTGAAAGAAGCCAAATAAAAATAAACAGTCAGAAATAAATAGAGATACAAAACTTTGACAAACAAATCTGTGGCTGAAAGTAGCCAAATAAAAATAAATAATGAGAAATAAACAGAAGGTCACATGCTCATAAAAATACAAGGTAAAATAAATCTGAAAAGTGAGAAATAAAATACAAGACAATGAAATAAAGGAAAAATAGAAAGGTAACTCAGTGACAGAGGGCTAGACAGTCTCTCATATCTTCCTTATCACTCTCTATATATATCTGACATGGTATGAATCACATACCATGCATGACAGCGGCTGAAGTCTTCGTCATTGGCATCGGGTAGGTTTGGACAGATACCAAGTAGAAATGCAGCTGTTTGCATACGAGTGCGCTGACGGGCAAAGGTCGAACTTGAAAGTGAATTGATCCTAGTTTGGGACCGTGACATTCGAGTCATGATGCCTAAAAACTGCCAACTCTCCGAACTTCAAGTCGCATTCAACACACCTGACTTATATCATGCTCTTTGCAGAAGCGGCGATGACTCCTCCGGGAGTCCGACGTCGAAATTGATCACAGAATGCCGTTGACCATGTTTTACAACCGATGACGACATAGCTTGGACAAAAGAGGCTCGAAAAACGATTGAGACATCTGCAGGAAGTAAGCTTACAGTATATGCCAAGATCAGGCTGGAACTTACCTCACCTGGGACTAACAGAAAAATGAAGACATGCCAGTGAGTCATATTCCATGTAAGCTGCGCGTCGACACTCGCCTGTCATGCCTCACAAAGCACCACTGTACTAGTAACAGCAGCACAGAACAGCGAACCCCTACTAGTACGGTAAGTCGGACTTAAACATCGTGACAGCCGCACATTTTCTGATACGGATGGTCGCACCCGCCCGGTTGCAAAGTCAAGTCTGCTCGAATGATCAGAATCATGATAACTTTGAGTCTGGATGGAATCGATTTGGAAGAACGCGGCTGCAACTTGAGCTGAGTCGTCCCGAATATACTAGTACGTGATCGGACTGAAGTCTATCAAGATGAATGTCTGAGTCTGGCCCGCGGCACATGACAATATATGGTAATAGTTCCCACAGGAAACAGAACTGGCACGGGCCAGCCTGAGTGGTCATCGGGAATCTTGCAACGAATTCATGCTAGTGACTGGTCCAACAGGTAGTAATGATCATGATGTAACAGTAGTAAAGAAACCATGTACATCATTGTAGTTTGTGAAAATATGTAGTACATTGAAGCTGCTTTCATCTGACTCGGAGCTGGGGCCGCCGCTATTTGAGTATTAAGATTAAGTACACCGAGTCACTGAGGTCAAGCATGCGACTCGCCTAAGCCAACTTCTACTACCCCCCACGGGTGTAAATGTCTGCGATCAGCGCAAGGCGTTGCTCTTCCGACATGAAATCATAGAGATTAATTAGCATATTGTGATATGCCCGCCTGGGGGCATTCAATTCAAAGGAGTCGTCCATGAAAATGCCAGTAGAGAATTGATTTAATGCCCACGCAAATAGTGTACATGTGATCGTCAGCAGGGCTCGTACGTTTCTTGCGCCACCTGTATAGCGCTGATAATTGAGATCATGGAATAGCAGGTGTCTCATGAAGTCCCGTACTGCGGGGTGCCCAAAGGGCACTCTTACAAGTCGTCCTCCCACCTGACTCGCCATAAGAATTACAGTTGTGAAGAAAACGAGACCCAGTCACTCACATTGATCTCTCCGTAAAGGAAGTTGTGATATTGAAGGAGGTTTTGGATGATGATCCCTATCTCCGTTTGCGTTTGCAAGGCCAACACTTTGTGTAGTTTGTAAGCCAAAACAACATGGATCCGTACGAGGCTCTTGATACTGTCCCGTAGATTCTTGACGGTGTTGGCCATTATGGCTATTTGTGCTTGGGCTTTGCTACCCCTGCTCCATTCGGTGATGTCAGCTGCTCTCGGTATCAGCTATCGGTATTGAGTAGATGAGTTGTTGCACTTACGATTGTTATAAGTCAACACAGTCTGGTTGAGACTTTGTCGTGCCAAGGTTGCACTGGCTCTCAATGTCATTAGGAAGGAACTTTCGACTATCCAGGTCTTCATATGTTCCCGGGCCAGCGACTGCACCCGTGTCACAGCTTCAGGACCAAATATGATGTCTGTGGGTGCTGGTGGTGCCACAGGAGGTACGGCAGGCGGTGGTAGGATCTGAGGTGCCACAGGCGGTGGTAGGACCTGAGGTACTACAGGTAGCAGTAGGGTCTGAGGTACCACAGGTGGTGGTATGGCCTGAGGTATCACCGTGACAAGCTGCGGTAGTGTTATCGAGGTAGAAAAGGGCACGGTGGACATCAGAGAGTGAGAAGACCCCTCACTCATGTCACCCTGATCAGTGGGAATAGGGATAGCAGGAGGTCGAAGAAACCTAGCTGGGATGGGATAAGGCATGTATCGATTTGATCGCGGTGGAGGATCGAAGCGTGTGGTAGATAGACAGGAGTTCATCTCACGACCGGCTCTCTGTGAACTTCCCGAAGCCTGCGGCATCTCTGGGTCGTGGGCAAAGTGACCTCCACTGGTTGCGGCAGGTGCATCAAAAAAACCAGCCTGGTTGTAATACAACTCTGCTGCTGCTATTTCAGCATCCCAATCAAATCCACCTGACTCAGAAGCCTGAGAGTAGGGGGTAGGCTGAGATTGCCTGGTTTCTCTGTAAAAATGTGCGTAGTTGGGAGGTGCTAGTGCCATGGACGAGAAGTCGTCATCCTGATCAGCCTGCGGCGGTGGTGACTCCATTAAGCTTGTCCACCACCACGACTGCTGCCAGTCCGAATTGTTCAGGGCATGCGCTGTGGAAGTGTCAAAGTACGCGCTTTCCATGATACCGTGACTGTGATCGTCCTCGAAGTCCGAGTCACCGAGAGTCATTTCTGGAGACCCGCCGTAGTTGGTACTCTCAGGAGTCTCAAACTGTTCATCGACACCGTGACTGACTTGCCACTGGTGACTCGTTGGAGGAATCATGGCTAGAAATTGGGCAGCCTGACTCGAACGGTAGCCTGAACTTAAAATACGACTGCATACTCTTTAGTAGGATTCTATTCAAGGTCATGATCAAATTGACTTACGACTCCCTTTGAACGAGGCCGCCCCATTGCCTCCATAGAGAGTAATAGGGGCCATTAAACCAGAATAGTCAGATGAGTTAAATTGACCCAGACGATCAAGATAATGCAGCGACTCCATCCGATAGACTGGCGAGTTCTACGCGGCAGTCCAGGTCTAGAAACAAGCAATTAGACTGACATAATGAATCACGTTCCAAAACAGAAGTCTGAGGTGGCAGCCCAAATGTGACCCAAGCTCATCCCTCTATTGGGATTTGTGTGCCAAAGCAGCGGAACCAAAAACAGAAGTTGAGAACTTAAGCCAAGCGAGTGATTTGATGGTTACGTCCGAGTCTAACACACCTGCTACTTGCCCGAAAATTTTTGGTTGCCTAGAATTGTATGGGACGAACCAATCACCTGTCAGTGTACTTATACGACCCCGTCACCTCTAAAAACGCATTGAATTTTCATTGACACACACCGGGAACATGACTCATGCATTCGAAGCACCCGAGCCACCCGCTTGAAGCCAGGAGACCTGTCTCTATGACTTCCCGGCCATGAGCCATCCAGACGTCTTCAATCATATTTCTGCTGTTCAAGTTGGTGCCCCACCGCTGAACGCTTCCGTCCATCTTCCTGCCCGCAACTATCTGTCCATCCGGTGAAAGTGCTTGTACTATGCAACCTTGCCCGACAGGAAGTCCCGTGTTGTAGACCAAAAAGGACAGTAATAATAATAATTGATGGGTACTTACTGCTCTGCTTGTTCCTCGCTAGTAGCAGACAACCAGGGTGGGTCTTATGTGCATAGCAAGCACGAATTCCATTGGGCCACGCAGCACTGATAGTCGATTCGTAAGACATGGTAAGTCACTCAATTCAGATTATGCTAGCGAACGTGTGAGCATCAGAAGACACATAACGAAGTGACTCACTGTCAAATATAAAATTCATATTCATAGTCAAGCACCCGAGCTCGTTCCCCATCTTCTAGTAGTGCCGCACTTCCCACCATGTCACGGTCCGCAATACTAATCTCCATCTCTCCCACTCGAAATCAATTGAACATTTTCAGTACCTTGAACTTAAATGTTGGCCGTGCAGCCTGCAAGATAATGACAAATGGCTGCGTCCGAATGCGGTTGTTTTAAGACGTCATGTAACGAAGATGGGCTCCTCGAAGTCTTGCATAAGCTTGAAGAAGCAACTGCTAGCCTGGGGGTGACACAACTTCTGAGAACTAGGGGACTTTCACCCCCACGCCCGGCCCTAGTACCAATATGGAGGGAATTTCAGTCCCATACGGGCAATTGTGAGCCAGTGCATCGATTGGATTTTATTGCTATCCTAGTACCTAATATGGAGAAAATATCAATCTTGTTTTGACATTTAACAAACATCACCTGCAGTTTTTCCAGCTCCGTCGACTGGTTCATAATAACCCCCTGAGGCTGATCGTGACGTTTCTAAATAACATTGAAGCATGCACGCCATCTGTTTCACTCCTCTCCCAATTCGCTCTATCGGACAGTCGAGTCCCACTGGTGAGATGGACATGCCTTGTCAAAGGCCCATTGTCCTGGGCCAGTCTCCATTTTGTGACACTGAAGTACAACATGATGATATTAGGCAAAAAACCAAGCATTTCAAGACATACACTCACCACCGATCATCATCATCCGATGACACCACCAGTAGTAATTCATCGCTTGAAGACGAGCTTCGTGTACTTCCAGAGCCCCCTGCTGGCATCATGCGTAACCTGTCTCGACTTGTGACTCGTGCACAAAGACAGTTCAAGCCTTATGACCCATGCCAGGGTCATGCGCCTAACGCAATAGAGCTCCGTTTTGTTCACAGGTCACTTGGAAAATATTCTGGTGAGACTGATATGAATCTGTCCGACGTCCAAGAGGTATGTTAGCCATGTGTACCGCTTCATAATGCTAAACATTATATCAGGGCAAAGAAATATTTGAATGTGGCTTGAGAGGCATGTCGCAAAAGACTATCACTCAGGCTATTGTCGCGAAGCAAGCTACTCGTGAATCCATGCGCTTGCGTGTGCTGACAACAGCCTGGGAGATTGAGTCAAATTTACAACGCATGAAGCTTCTTGAATGTATTCTCAAGCAAAATGCTCTAGAATATGGCCGCAGCATCGTGGAAGCTTCATATTTCCAAAGACATTTGGTCGGAGGCAACCGGCAGGAACTCGAAGCCAGTGTTGACTTCAATGTTGGCCTGCATAGTCATGATCTTGCGACATTCGCTGTTGCTGACGTACAGCTGGACCACATTGAGGGACTTGCGCGGACGTTGTGTCTGCCAGAGGAAGATCCCCCTCAGGTTGTGAAGGGGCAGTCCACCAGCTCCGATCCCTAGGTGATGCAATTATCATATTGATTGTCTTTCCAATGCTGATCGTAATCATCAGGCAGAAAGTATGCTTTGCGTGGATGACGTCCTGTCGATTATTGTAAATATAGTACGAATCCGATGTGGCTGACGACCTCCCCCCCACACACACACACCAGCGCCATCATGCAACCAATAAATATTTAAATATTCGACTAACTTGTATGATGTGGACTACGTTGTTATAAATTATTTGATTATTGTTGTGACGCCGAGTTTCATTGAGGGAAGTCGAGTCGCTTACTACGTCTCGCAGGCGTTCTTAAACTCAAGCGTTGTGGGGTCGTTCCTTGGCGCCAGTACCCTTCTCTCTCGTTAGCTCCCTTTTACCAGCAAAGCAAGGGGTTACCAAGCAATCCACTTTCCCAAGCTATCCTTGGCGTGCTCGCCCACATCTCTTGACGCTCGTGAAAAGAATTGGCAGTGAAAGCACTGGATTGGAGACGGGGAAAGTGCCAAGAATCGGATGTCGAAGGACTTGCATTGAAGTCCATCAAGTGCTATCATGATCTTTCAAAGGGTGCGTTCAGATGATGGCATGCACTGGTGACTTAATTATGAGTTATGTAATACTAATATTGCTGCAGGCCAACCTCCGAGTCGGAAGTCATGCATGCACTTGGCCATTGGTCCGGGTGTACACAGACCATCGAAGAACCCTCCTTAGGAAGTCGGGAATTTTCACCTTGAGCTCAACTATTCCAAAACAGGCTCCAGAAACGGTCGAGAACTTATGTTCGCTTCCTGTCACGTGCCACTAGCGTCTTTACCACTGACCAGGTGAGCTCGATCGTTTTTCGATGCATTTTTAGGGCATTGACACAAACGACTGGTGTTTAAAAGGCGACCTCTACGATGCTAGATTTTTTCACCTTGTTTCACTTCCAGCGCCATTTTCACGCGTTGCCAGTTCTCCCGGAGGCGCCGGTCGCGGATCTGAAGTGTTGTCGTGATTGGGTCCTAGTATGTCCGTGGGATCCGAGAACCGCTCGGGCAACCATGGGCCTCCGGAGGTTTCCTTGTCTCTCCCAACTTCTCCTCATGCCAGGGCGAAATGAAGAATCGCCACCTTGATGGATGAGGTCGAAGTTTTGAAGCAGGATAAGGCAACAAAACAAAGGTTTGAGCTCTCTCAAATTCTCAAAGCGAAATTAACCTCCCATAGGAAAACAACTTATTACGTCTCGCAGGGAAGAGCAATCCGCCGTATGGTTGTTCTCTATACTCCTATAGAGGACCTGATTGCCGAAAATGATCGGCGCTGCGAACATACAGATGGAGACGCCAATATCGAGTAAGTACCTGTCTCCGCTGATCATGATTGTACTTCATTTACCAAATCGGCACAGACAAGATCACCTTCAACGTGGTTCCATTGAACTTACCAAGGCTCTACCGTGGATTCACGAGAAGCTGGCAAGTTTTGAACACGAGGAGTCAGAAGAGATGTTGAGAAAGGTTCTTCCGAACTGTTTTCATCGCGCTACTTACTCATGTCCATGATTTAGCTCAAGCGTGGTGCGGACGCGGCTCGTGGAGACGATACGGGTACTCTCAAAGAGCTTGTTGCCTCATGGGTGAATAATGATTGTCGTCCGACTCCGCTCATCAGGACCACCGACAAGCACCGTCGCGGTTTCATGAGCGACACGTGTGGTAGACTGCTCTGCCCAGCGGAATGGCAGTGGGACGACCCAGTGTGAGTAATAGTCTTCTATCACTGTATAATACTGATATTTTGCGCAGAATCAGGGCTGGTATCCGCGACCGTACAGCTGCTTTTATTGTGTCTGAGAATTCGTGGCCGTTGTTCATGTATCAAGATTACGATGCTGACATCAAGAATCTGGAGCGCGGGCTCATGAAGTCGAAGCTGTTAATTATGGTGAGTGGCCTGACTTTTCCAACCAATTTATCACACATCGCATCCCAGGCATTTAAAGCGATCTTTACTTCTCCCTCATCTGCCAATGAAGTCGATGGCGAAGGCGATGGCGCCGATATCATTGAGAACCACCGACGCACCCAGCGGCAATCAGATCAAACGAAAGTCAAGACCTGTGTCACCTCGATTATAGGCATGCGGAAGGTAACTCCTCATGCGATCGCGTATACAGCTTGCCAGGTGAGTATTGGTGTTTCCCTCTGACTAGTACGAAGTTGACACTGAATTTAAAGATTCGGTTTGCTCTTTCTAATATCACCTCCTGGCGCACCGTGGATGGGGATTTTGATTATCAGATATACTGGAGCAATATTGTAGACTTCTTTGAGAATGCCCCGGGTCCGGCTGCATGAGGAAGGGTGAACAAACTTCTTGAGTGGTGGACCAGGTGGGTAATGACTAGCTCGGCTGGACTGCTGCTAACTCGCTGAGGCCCTGTGCAGAAAGGTTTTCGGGAAGAACCACCAACAGGATTTGACGCCAGATGTTGTTTCGCGAATGTCTGTCAGTGCTCTTGCTACTCAGAGGCAGGAGAAGGAGGATGCTGTATTTGACTCTGATTAGGTTGCTTGAGCTCGTGTCCACTTTCCTTTAATTGTGATACGATTCCTTATTAAATAGTAGTATTAATCAAGTGAAATAAACTTGTTCCTGCACATCTGCAATCGTTGTCCCTAGCATAATTTGAATTTATATCCTTGAATATCGGAATGTAATGATCGGATTAGTACAGACAAATTCGTCAGCGCGTCAGTGATCTGAGACTCGATCCATCGTTTACTTTAACATATCTTCTAATACTCATCAGGGACCCTGCATTTTCTAGTGTTCATGCCCATAGGACTGATGAAGCTTGACAGGATGAATTCAAGAGATACAGCAAGACCATGGCAACCTCTGTATTTTCCGATATTCATGGTGGGTTCTGCGTTATCTGATGTTCGGGCCCTTAGTGACATTTTTTAGTCTTCACGCTCATAACACAATTCAGCCTGCAGTTGGTACATTTGCCCGCTTGTGTCTGTCAGGCTGAATTCAGGAAATACAGTCACAATGTGGTGGGTTCTGCGTTATCTGATGTTCGGGCCCTTAGTGACATTTTCTAGTCTTCACACTCATAACACAATTCAGCCTGCAGTTGGTACATTTGCCCGCTTGTGTCTGTCAGGCTGAATTCAGGAAATACAGTCACGATGTGGTGGGTCCTGCGTTATCTGAACTTCGTGCCATTGTCATCATTCTCTAGTTTTCACGCTCATAGCACAATTCAGCCTGCAGTTGGTGGATTCACCCGCTTGTGTTTGACAGGCTGAATCCAGGAAATTAGGCTATGCTTTGGTAGGGTTCGCAGTATTGCTTGTTGAATGGTAAGTGAGATATTGTGCCGGCTCATAGCCCACTACTGTTAAATTGGTCAAAATTCAAAGGGGATATAAGTTATTTTGTCGTTTGTGTCACTAAAACATACCTTTTCGTCTCCTCAAACACTAAGGATCCTGTTGTCAGGATCAAGTTCATGAATGATTGGAGTCCCCCCAATTGATTGAATATACAATGTCAGTTGATCAACATCGGAATATTATTCACATTTGCCAATGCTGACCAGAATGCACCGACTTGCTCCATAAAGGTCATTTGCCGATTACGTGCCATGACGTTGGTTCCTGAAGGCTTCGCCAGAGGAAGATTTCTCTCAAAGTGTTTTGAGTTCGGCACCAAGTTGTTAGTCTTCAGCTGCATGCTGACATTTGATATCATTCTTATCTGTTCACCGATTTACTAATGTGCAACTCGGTGTCCATCAAGAAATAAAATTTACTGTAACATACTTTGTAATATTATTTGTCCCTCATGTGATGTATTGCTGTGAGTGACGGCTGGCAAATAAAAATGCCATACGCACGACTCTACCGCCACTATCCTGTTGCAACATAAGCTTACACTTTGAACCCTCGGACAAGTCACATGCAGGTCATGGTCATTCTTAGCTAGTAACAAAATAATATTTGGGGACCAAACGCTATGTATCTGCATTACTATGGACATCACCAGTATATCTTTCACCTTCATACATCACAATCTCCTTCTTGTTCCCTTTTAACCTCGGTCTGTATTCAACTTCATGAACATGCACCGATTCGTTTTTTCTTAGATCCATCCTAGTGGAAACGCCTACTCAGCAAATAATGCTACTTCGCTGGTGTGCCTTTAAATCGGTCTTTTCTCGACAATGCCAAACATTTACATGTGAGAGCGGTCAGCAGATTTACGTAGAATGTTGTGATGCTCCAAAATATATTGCTTTAAATAGCTTTGTCATCTGTTCACCGATTCACTGATGTGAGACGCCATCTTTTACGGACACGCCCTGGCCTAACACACTTAGACGTCTCGAGTGAGAAGTAGCTATTGGAGATGCAACATGAGTAGGAGCGGGAGACTGCGATCGTGGCGAAGGAGCTGTGGATGAATTTGGGTGAAAACGAGGTTTTGTAGGTTTAAAAATTCGGGGAGCCGATAATGATACTTCAGAGACAAGATTGTCAGAGTTTGGATCGTGCCACGGGCCCTGGCTAACATGGAACCTTTCTCCCGTATCTTCTTGGTGAGGGCGTGTGTGTCCACACCACAAATGGTAGGGATATTGTTTTCTTTCAACCAAGCTCCAGATATCGCCTTGAAGAAATGAGTATGAGAATCAGTGTCGACTGAAGAGAATATACATACCAAACATTTCCGTGTTTGTCAGCGGACCCATGAGCAAAGCAAGGGCGGCATAACCCTCAGTTGGGGATACCAGCAGAGGATGGAGACATGAGGAAAGGTGATGCAAACTGGTATGAGGAGTTCAACGAGGAGGAATGAGGGCGGATGAGTACTAGTACGTCTTTCTACTCCCGAACTATTGGCGTCCGTGCCAGCTTCCAAGCCACACTGTATGTATCACCTCCGGTTCGGAGCTGAACAAGTCATACATTCATACATGTACATTGTACATGCGACGTATCCAACAGCATATGGAAAGTTGGATCGTGAGAACAAATTTCCTCAGATGCAAAACAAGTGCCTGCACCTGCAGCAGCTTCGTCGCGGCAACTTGGGGGTAGAACGGTCGCCCCTTGCCATGACCAAATTTTCCCTTGTCATGGGATCGAGAATAGGGTGCGGTGAAAAATTCAATAGTTTTTAACAGCGGTTAATTAACCGAGTTATTAACCGGGTTATTAACTGTAAATAATTCAACGCTGGAGGGACACCGGTCAAGAACTGTAAATAATGTACCATGTCCTACCATGGCATCCTAGGCATGCCGTTATATCAAATTCGTCCTGATTTGCCTCGTGTTGGGTGGATAAAGGCTCATAGAATCTCATACTGACATATTTGTGTCATTCCAGCCATTGGGTTGCACCTGAATCATGCTAATATGTCAGGAACATTTTTCGGAGTGTCGGACGACGGAGTGATTGGGATAATAGATATGTCAATCAAAATTCTACTGATCTAACTTTTTGCTTGTATCGCAGACCTCCTTACAGATTTGACAGCTATGAGTGGTTCAATTCTCGACACCTCAGTTCCATCCGAAACAGTTCATGATGGCCTTATTCCGAGTTCTGCAGCAGCCGATTTTCACCTTTTAATGGCAAAGCTCCCCTTGGAAAGCAATGTGCTTGGCTTTCGTGACACAGCTCCTGTTTCCAAGCTGTTGCAGCTTGCCTCACATGTCTGGCTTAGTGATACCACAGTCAACATGATGCTCGACATCATCCGGCAACCCATCTCTACCAACTTGTACCTCTCCTCCTGTCACAACATTGTTCTGTGCTACACGGCTACCAAAATTCAGTCTGTTTATGGCTTGCGTGACAACATTGATTATCCCAACTCAAAGGACTGCGGAGAAAGATACTCATACCTGGCTCAATGACAAAATTGAAAACATGCCTGGTGATTCCACTTTCGATGCCGAGGAAGACATTGACTTGGAAGTGCCGGAACTCACAAAAATTCTCGCTGATGATCCACCCCAAGGGAGTGTGTCGAAAGGTAAGAAGAGAGAGCAAATGGTGGCTTGCATTGATGACACTGATGATGCTGATGGCGAATGGGTCTGGAAGTGAAATTGCCCAGCGCACAGAATTTTTTTCATCAAGAATAGTTAATACTTAACACCTGTTTTCGACCAGTTAATATTAATAGCTTGGACGAAAAAATCACGTGCCGACTGTCAATATGTGTTAAAAAATGTCAGTTAATAATTAACTGCCCTCTCCTGGGTTAATAACCCAGTTAATAACTGGCTGGATAATTTTTCACCGCACCCTAATCGAGAAATATCTGACGTACATCTCCTGAGACGCCACGTGACCCAATTTCAGTGACTCGGGCTCTGTGGCGCTCGTGCCTCACCCCCACTGGCACACCTAGTCCCAGCATGAATATTCAGACCATTTCAGCACACGCTGCTGCTGCCTCGGATGACTGTGACACTGCTATAGCTATCACGGGCCACAATACTAGTCTTTATGACAACACTATCAGAAATAGAACTTGACGCTATACATAAATTGGAATGATAGCAGTCGCTAGTCAGAGGTTACAAGTAAACTATGGCGACGGGACAGTACAGCGTCAGTTTGCATCAAACTTTAAAGCGCCGCCTGCTTGATCAAGGGCCCAACCAGAGGGTTTATCTTTCAACACTTCGTAAGATGAGTGGGGAAAAAACCAGACATTACCAACCCGCCCTGGGGTGATTCCCTCTTCAGAGACTCCCTCCCCGGGGCTCCAATTTCCAATTGCATGGTACAATGCGCCTGCCATCAGAATAATGACTTCTCCTGGCCGGTATCTTGATATAAATAAGCCTACGTTAAGACTCTAAGCTTATGACTCACGTTAATTTAATCTTCAGGTCGGGAAGGTAGCATTCCCCCCCAGAAAAATACCCCATGGGGAATATGACTGCCGGCCCCTCATCCAATCCGTCCTGGTGTGGGAGTACATTAAGTTTCCACACAATGGCCCTGCCCAAAAAGGGACCTGGGTCCACCGCGGTCCATTTACCGGCTTTGAAAGCCCTTTCGTACTTCAAATAGAATTCAGGGAAGGCTGCACGAAACATAGCCGCCAAGCATAGCGCCAACTCTTCAGTATCCTTGAAGTAACGATAAACATACTGGGAGCCACGGCACCCATGCACCATGTCAGCAGAGGGGTGAATGCCATGCTGGGGCGACATTGGGTGAGGCGAAGCATTCATAAGGGAGGGCTAACGAACCTTTGTAGCTGTACGCCCCTGGTCAGGCCAGGCGTGGACTAAATGCAAGACTCCGGTAGCCTCGGACGCGAACGTGTCGTCCTGGTATAGATACTCAACGCCGTTGAGCGTAAAGGTCTTTTCACCTTCAGAGGCCGTGATCATGCCGCCAGAGTCCTCCCCATCCTTTTCATACCTCATTAAAGCGTCACCTTGGTCATGCCGACCGTCGCGCCCAGAGTTCTTGACTCCCACCTTACTGAGCAACAGCTGGGCGGCCACCATAGTTTTGGTCAGTCTGTCTGGCTATTCAAATGTTATAGTCAGTACTAATTCAACATAAGCGCGCGCTCTCTTACCTTGATTCCGTCAAAATGAACCTTTTTACCGTCCTTTTCAGCCTGGTCTAGACAAGCTGGGGACCGTCCCATGCTAGATGGCGTCGTCGGTCCAGGAGTATAACATGTAGGCCCATCTGCGCTCTGCAAGAGTCATGAGTCAACATATTTTCAAAGGGAATAATCGCTTACCCCAAGGTTGTCATGCAGTCGTCGGGCAAAGTAGGCCACCAAGGTATTTCCATCTTCGTCCTGGAAAACTCCAGAGGCTCCGTCGCTCTCCCACAAAACCATCTCGTCCATGACGGCCTGAGCTTGGTCTTTGGCAGTATTTTTTTTCCGCTTTTCCAGAGCCTTGAGACTCACTCCTTTGAGACGGAAGACTGGAACATTGCGTTTCCAGTGCGCAACATCATGCTCGAAATGTTTCATTGTACGTTTCTTGGCTGTATTCTGGTTCACTCTCAGGCGTCGGATGATGGGCTGCGCACACTGTTTCTGACAGCGTTTGACAGGCTTTAGAAGATGGGTTTTGGGATGGGGTACGGTAGTGGACTTGCGCAGCTCGGACTTTTCTTCCCGCTTGAGTTTGACGGCTGCTTGAGAAACAAGAGTAGCATCGCTTATGATAGGACGAGGCATGGGAGATGACGGTCGGCGAGCAACTTGACCTGCAAAACCACCGAAACAAGCGTATTACGAACGCTTAAGGCAAGTTCCGGGAATCTGCTTATTTCAGCTGGACTACATAGTACGTCAGATTCATATAAACTCCTCCAGTCGGCGTTGCAATACCTTCCTCTCCCGCACCACCTATTGCAGCGATAGCAGAGCAGCGTGCATAGCCTTGAAATCATCGTGCGGCAACATGAATTGCTTCAGCTTTTGAAATACCCCAATTCTCACGCGCGCCCGACGCCGATGCATAGCGTTTGCAACCCACTCGTTTGCAGACCAACGATGGACGAACAAATGAAGAGTCATTTGCTTCGACTTCCTGGTGTTTCCTTGAGTCCCACGCCACCCGACGATTAACGCTTTGGAGTCGGCACAGCAGCAGATGTTGTCAGATCTCAGGAGGTAGGTCAAGGAATTCTTGGTCAACGTCTAGCCCTGCTTCCCTCTGAAAAAAGGATAAATGGATAAACTCCCCATCGCCTGTAACCGTTTGTTGGCAGACTCATCGCCCAAGACACGGCGGTCGCCCTCCATAAGATAAAAAGGACGATTTTCGGGGTGAGATATAAACCTCTGAGGGGTCAAGGATAGCGGAATTGAATCTTGCTTCATGCCCAGTTTTGGTATCTGGAAGATGCTGAAATAGAAATGTCAGTCAGCGTTATTCGAAAAACAACGGAAGAGGGAAGTCTCAATAGGAACGATTGGTATTCAAAAATATTCGGCATGTCCTCCTCAGAGGTTCATCCGGTATCTCTATTCGCATGTTCGGCAGGACATGAGGGGCAGGATCACTCACCAAAGGACGCTGCTAGCTGCACCAATGGGGCCGCAGGACTGAGCTCAGCGGAGAAACTCCATGTGCAGTCCAGGTTACCGAAAATTAAAGGAGTGAAACGCATGAGATTTCGATGCGTGTAATTCAATCAGGATTTAGACGAGAGCGCTAGGATGGCTGGGTTCCCCTGAATTTGAACACAAACCGGTCTGACTGGCCGATTCCCAAGGACCCTGATTGAAAACAGTTAGCCACAATTCTCCGATTGGCGAAACAACTCACCGAGTCCGAGCGTCAGTTAGTTGCCCATTGATATGATCAAATACGGTTTGCAGGAGAACACCGTTTTGGAGATCACTGCTAACAAACCAGACGCCTGTAGGATTTGGCGTAGGGTCTCCAACCCCATTCGTCAGAGCTTGATGTTAGCGCTTGTCCCTGAGACGTCGGATGATGCGGGTACTATCTGCGTAAATAGAATGTCGAGAACACGGCGTTGAACTTTGGGCTGCAGATCTCCGGTGGATGACAAGTTACGCGGGACCACAATAAGATGCATCTATTAGACGTATCAGTTCGGTTCCGATCGAGAAGAAGAACTCATACGTGTGCGATCTTCCAGATAACAAGTATTGGATATTTCGCGTTGAATACATATGGCCTGGATATTGTCAGATGGAGTGCTGCAACTATGATGGATTGTATGAGCGTCGCGTACTGAGCTGCAAAATTCTTGAGGACGATCTGACCTAGAATCCGTCATCGGATACGTGATTTCCCTCGCCAGTCGCAAGCACTCGAATGGTGTGGATCAGCGTGAATCAAGTAGAGTGTGAGAAATGGCTGGGGAAGGGAGTGAACTCGCCAGCTTCCATGTATTGCGTCCCGTGTCGTTTAAATGCCCTTGAGGCAGTTAACTCGGAATAGCACGTTGAACTTCAATGTCAGTCTTACCGATTCTGCAATTCTAATCAGAGATGAGGTGGGCCAGCTTACGAAAGGCTAATTCAGACCAGCCTGTGATATTGCAAGAATTCACGTGTGAACATGAGAGGAGCCGACTTGAGAACTTGTTGAAGTGCAATCCCTCAGTCTTCTAAGCGTCCGCATCGTGGGATCTAGCTTCGACGATGGAATGATGCACCCGTGTACTTCTTGAAATGATTTGTAAGTATGAGAAAATGCAAGAGTAAATGAAAACTGACGACATGACAGCGTGCCGCAGATTCTAAAAAGGGAACGTATGGTCTCGCGGATGTCCTCTCTATCTCGTTTGTGCTTGTCGCTCGTCGTCGAGCTTTGGCTCGTGCATGTGATCGACAGGTTAAGGGGTCGAATCTGCAGGAGGAAGTTCTTATAGTTGTGTTCATTTGCGTCTCATTTTTTGTGGGTATGGAGCGGAGGGTTCGGAAGAGGCTAACATGAAATCACATACTCAGGCGATGATGCTCGAGTGCTGAAAAGGACTTACGTTAAAAGTATCAGTTCCTCATCCTCGTCTCCTAGTTGATCGTCCCCGTCGGGTTTGGGTTGAATAAGTATCGTACTCGGGGAATTCTGTAGGATGTGTGTATATCATTCATCTAATGAAGACAAATAACTCACGTTGAGGAGTAAGCGTTTGGATTGATAGCCAAGGTATATCAGTTGCTGAGGAATGATGACTGGTAGTGTTGTACCGCGCGGCTGTGAGTCACGCTTCATAGCAAATTAAAAGGTCAAGTACGCCTGCATGCTAGTGTGAGCGAGGTCCTTGATGTACACATTGTTATTAGCAATAAATGATATCGGACAACTTACCAGAAAGCAGAGTGTTAACAGAGGATTCGGTTGAAACTAGATGGTAGTAGAGAAAGAGGAAACATATAGTTATCACAGCGACATCGGTAATAAGTCGGGATATCTGGAGTAAATTCTGTAAAGGGGATTCGTCAACTGGGTTTGTTCGGGAAATTTTGTAATCAAAGGTGGGTCAGGGGAAAATAAAATTCTCACAGTTGCTACGTCATATAACATTGATGCAAATTTGCATCGCTGAAATGATTCTGCGAGAAGTCGTCCTATGTGCCACTGCACCCCAGGCCGCAGGCTTTGGTTGAGGTGCAGTCGTTCTCCATGACATTCACACCGGTACATCGCTTGCATCCTTCAAGCAGTCTATCTCTGCACCGCACTGCACATCATTTGTCGAGACACACGGAGGGTTCATCCTCGCGGCACAACAAGATAAGTCCATCCTAAACGTCTACAACTTCCAAAAGGTAGTCTCATGTCTCTGATATAACTTTCACCTTTCTCAAAGCATCATAGGACCAGCTCGCTTTCAAAATAGTCCTTCCTGAGAGGCTTTCGTGTATTGCGCTAGATAATGCGGGAAGCTTCTGTGCGGGAGGGACGGCCCAAGGTCGAATATATCTATGGGAGGCGCGTCAGAGAATATAATATGTCACCCATGACGGTGCAGCCCTTATTTCAGGTAGTGATGACTCTGGTGTTAGCTTTTGGTCCGTGGCAAGGTCTGTTGTAAATTTCTTGTTGTTGTTGTGCTGCTGACAGCAATGTAGTCGACAATGACACCCAAAATGAACTTCCGACCACATATTGTACGCTATCAGGCTGCACCCTACCATGAAAGACATCGTTTGCGACTTGGGCGCATTCCCTACTTGTTGCGCGCTTACCGCATCCTTCGATCGTAGTGTAAAAGTGAGCTCGTCTTTGTAGCTGTGGTTACCTTTTGTTCACCTCAGATACAAAGCTCTGGGGTTTATCTTCTCAGTGGTTATTGACCACCTTCCGCTTCCCCAAACCCATATCATCAGCAGCTGGGATATCACCGAATGCTTATTTTTTACTGCCTCGCCGGATGGCTCCATATACCAAGTCAACCTTTTCCGCCAGCGAACTGAAAAACACGCTGGGCAGACGATTGAGGCCATTGGAGGCGCAGGCGTCAGTCTCATCCGCGTCGCCAACGAGGACAGCAGCAGTCGAAAACGTCTCGTAACAGTCGAGTATGCCTTTCTCGTACTTTCACTGATGTGTATACTTAGCTGACGCACCTCAAATACAGCCAACCAATAACGGTTCTCACCACCTCCCTCACCAGCTCGCTTCTTCTTGTGGGTACTGCCACGGGCCTCATCCACATCTACAACGTAGCCTCCCACCAGCTCCTTCGCACCATCTCGGCGCACAAGGGGATGTCAATATCCCATCTCACGACCATGCTCAAACCGCCTGACCTTGTCGGACGCATCAGCCTGTCCTTCAACCTTGGAAGTTCTGCCGATGCGAAAGACATCATTCCTATGCGCCCTGTGGCGCCGTTTCACCGCATGAAAGATTTAAAGGCAAGTGAGCCGTACTAGGTGGCGACGATGCTTCCCGTCCAGGAAGAGGTAGGTTTCTCATCTGTTGAAATGGGTACTCAGCTTATGCTGATATCATCCCCCGAAGACCTCTGGAGGCATACCAAACGCTTACAACTATCCTGAAGCTGAGTTTCAACGAGACTATGCGTTTTTCGTACAACCGAACGCGATTGGCACCTCGGAGGCATCGAGTGCGCACGTTGCCAAGGAATTCTCCCACTCGTTATCCATCGGCGTCGACAGACCTCCGCGAGCAGCTGGTTGTATAGGGTGGTCCGACAGAATATCGAGGAGTTACATGGATGATATATCAATGTCTTTGTCCATGTCGAACTCATTGCTTTTCATGCCAGCTAAACCCGCACGGTCCGTGATATTGCCATTATCAAGCCAACGCCCACTCACTCATAGTGTTCTTTAGTTGACGATGATTTATCCCCCACCGCGTCGCTGAAAGCGATATCCATAACGGATACTATATTTTAAGAGGCTCCCTGATAATGTCTAACGTTTAGTCGGCGCTCCCCTGTTTCTGCGTTTGATTTATGGACATAATCAAATCATTTGCATTGCAACAGGTTCATGCTCCACGATCCACGAGCATATACTAACCCCTTGCAAATCAACCCCGGACGCTTCTTGGCTAAGGATGGAAAAATAACACTTCTCGTCCTGAGTTCACTAGGTGAAATGCATTCTTCAATTCTTGTTTCGTTGTCGCCCGTTTGAGCGCTGAGGCACGTGAGGCGTCCGTCTGATGCTCCAGAGCTCGAGTCCCTGCCTCTCTCATCTTCTAATATGATCCTGACCTCTCCTCCCAACTTGAAGTATGTTTGGAGGGCCTTTCATATGTAATCCTGTTATTAACGCTATTGGTCGCAGCCCATTACAATCATGTCGCGTCTTTCCGCTTGCGATAACATAAAGATCTAGCTAGCTAGGGCCGCCGGCCATCATTAATATTCGGATGTGGCTGCGGGCTTGCTGTCAACCGGACATATTCCAAATCACGATGCCGAATAACTTTGTTAACCTTCCCTTCATTTTACAGGGTATTTGCATTGATCATCCGACTCCAGGTCATGTTCTCCCGCGCTCAGTCGCATCACACCGGGGTGGTCGTTCATTGGGAATTTTCTAGAAATGCCTCGCATCAAGGCCTAGCTCTCCTTTGCTAAGGGGGCAAGAAATATGGCGAGTGCTTCGTGTTTTCAAACGCGATACATATCAACTCCACGCTGTGCAGGTGACGTCCCGCATATCGAGGTTCTGGGTCAGCACGTCATTGTACTGAATTCTGTCAAGACAGCGATGGAATTGCTAGACAAAAAAAGCTCCGTGTACTCTGACCGTCCGGTTCTTCCAATGTGTGGAGAACTTGTTGGTTGGAAGCGCTCTTTGGGTTTTCTCTCTCATGGCGACCGTTTTCGCTGTTACCGCAAGAACATGCACCGGGTCATTGGCAGTCGCACTGCCATGGAAGTTTACAACCCGCTCGAGGAGGTCGAGACCCACCGATTCCTGAAGCGCGTGCTTGCGAAACCCGAGCAACTGCAAGCGCATATTCGACAGTATGCGGCGTTTGTCATTGCATGAATGGTGCCTTAATTTGTATAGCGCCGCTGGCGCTATCATTCTGCGAATATCTTATGGATATGACGTGGAGGAGAATGATGATCCCTTTGTCGACCTTGCAGACCGCGGCGTGGACCAATTATCACGGTCCACCGCTCCTTCGTGCCTTCATGGTTGATATCATGCCATCGTGTAAGGCTGCAGCATTCTGACCTTTCAAAAGACCTGATTATTTCTAGTAGCCCAGGTTCCTGAGTGGTTCCCTGGCGCTGGATTCAAGCGCTTGGCCCGTGAATGGCGCCAGACCCTCGACGAGATGGTTGATGCACCATACAAATTCGTCGATGATCAGATGGTAACAAATATCTATACTTTTACGATCAGATTTTGAGGATTTTACAGGCTGCCGGAATCGCCCCAGCGTCTTTCACCTCGAATCTGTTGGAAGTCAGCGCTTTGTCTGCAGAAGAGGATCGCAATGTGAAACGGTCTGCTCTATCCCTATACGGTGGTTCCGACGCGGTTAGCTCCTCCCTTCATATTACAGATTAACAATCACGTCTTGAGACCAACGCTTGTTTCCACAGACAGTTTCTGCAACCTACTCGCTTTCCCTGGCTATGACGCTTTCTCCTGACGTGTAGAAGAAGGCTCAGGCTGAAATAGACGCTATTGTTGGCACTGATCGTCTTCCCTCCTTCGCAGACCGCGACTCCCTCCCCTATATTGAAGCGCTTGTGAAGGAAATCCTGCGTTGGAATGTCGTCGCCCCTACAGGTATGCGTTTATCATACTCTTTTCATTGCAGAGAATTGCTGAAAGACAGGCGTCATGCATTGTGTCTCTGAGGACGATATCCACGCCGGGCACTATATTCCGAAAGGTTCCGTGGTTATACCTAACGTCTGGTTAGTGCTCGCATTTGTCTGCATCCAATGTGACAGAACTACATACCAGGTTCATGCTTCATGACCCGCGCACGTATGCTAACTCCTCGCAATTCAGGCCTGAACACTTCTTAGACAACGACGGAAAGGATCCCGAGCCCGAGCCTCGCACGATCTGCTTTGGCTTTGGTAGACGGTTGTCAAGATATGACTATCGACGTCACTCTCGTACGTACTCATTTCTTTCTTTTACATACGCAATCACTCTTCGTTGCATGCCTTATACACGTTCCCCTTTGATTCTCCGTCTCAATCATCGTATTAATACCTCTCCCCGTCGAATGTCGTTCAGCAGTCTTTTGACCCAATCTCAAGCCTTCGTTCTCGTTCTTAGTCCGAGCCTCACGATCCGTCACAGCGGTAAGCATATAGTTAACTTTGAATAGAATGCTTACTTTCTGCTCCGCAGGATCTGCCCCGGTACGTCCAACTCACAGAAGTGCCCTCAATAAATTGTATTTTTGACGTTTGCTTGCTTTTAATGTACAGGTCTCCACCTCGCTGATGCCTCCGTCTGGATATTCGCCGTGATGTCACTCGCAGCGTTTGATATCTCCAAGGCCGTAGAGAACGGCGTCGAGATCACCCCTGAGGTTGACCCCTCGACGGGCACGATCAGGCATGCCTGCATCCTATCGCGTTCGCGGTGCTAGTTTTGATAAGTCATTCCAAACCCTTCAAGCGCTCTATTAAGCCTCGCTCTGCAAAAGCCGTTGCGCTCATTCAGCAGGATGTGAACTATTAAGGGCACGAAGATGACTTTCGTCATCTAAATCTGTAATGCATCCCGATATTGTACTACGCGTTTTGTTTCGTCTCGTTGAATCAATATGCTACTCACAGGCTACATTATTATACGCGCATCTGGCGCATTGCTGGCGCCCACCTCCTGTCTATCAGGTTCACGTACGTCCTTAAGCTCTCCCATCGACGGCCGACGTCTTTACTAAGTGTGACGACTGCGCTTGCTGTCATCTCATACCTTTGTGAATCACACGACGCCTCCTCTCAACTGTGGAGCTCCAGGCCTCGTGGGCGTCACAGACGCGTTCAAACCTTGCAGCCAACCTTGGAATTTCTGCCGGCGCCGATATGAAGAGCGTCATCACCGTGTATCCCGGCGTGCTATTCTACTACAAGAAGAATTTCAAGGCGCGGGAGGAACGCAAAGTGGTGAGGGCGCTTCATCCACAGGACGACGTAGGCGTCCTCGCTCGCATGTGAGTAAGGGAATCGCTGTGCACCGTAGGTTGAACGTAAAACGAAATTGCCTGCGTTGCAGCTTGCGGCAGGTCATCGAATGGCGGTTTTGAATAAATAGTACAAGACGGCGTTGCGTGCTCACTAGTTTCTCAAGGATTGTCTCAAGAACCTCCAGATACATCGCCATATGATAATCTTTTGCTCAAGCGTATAATTTTCATGAGCAACGTACCAACCTATCAATCTCCAAACTTTTAAACGTCCCTCCTTCCCACCACCCACCGCCGGATGTTCCAATGGGTCGTTTACTCCGTCGAACCCTTCCACGAGGCCAGAGACATCAATGGCCCAACATGGGCTGGCGGCGCGGAACATGTCAGGCCTGACACGCGCAGGGGACGTAAATGCGGGGAGGGGAAGATGGAAGACGGTCGCCACCTCGTCCTGAGATATCGTGAGTGAGGAAAGCGAAACGGAGGGCAAGGGATCATCTAGGGATCCGGTATCTGTTTTATGACTGCCATGCGGGTATACAAAGCCCTGCGTTACGAATTCAAGTCGAGACAAAGCTGGTGGGTGAGACTAGACGTACGACGTAGGGCCGCGCTCTAAACCCCATGCGACTTCGCTCCGGCGGGCCAAATTGGCCGTGAATGTTGATCTGCCCATTATCTAGACCTACTTCTTCTTGTGTTTCTCTGAGCGCAGCAGCTAGAAACGAATCGTCTGCCTACAGGTGTGATGAGGAAGCATACGAAGGTTCTGGAATAGACTCACTGGGTCCACCCTTCCGCCAGGGAAGCTGGTAATTATTCAGTATCATGAAATTCGAGATACTTCATGTTTTGGGGGTCAAACATACCTGACTTCACCAGCATAGAACCTCAGCTTACCGCCTCGTAGCACGCCGGGTACGCCATCGACGTTACACAACGGAACAAGGACTGCTGCATTGACCTCCCCCGGGATCGCTGGAGTCTTAGACTTTATTGCATGCGCGATAATGACGCTTTGGAGTGTGCGTAAGGAGCCGCGGGTGAAGGGGGAGGTTAGGGATATGATGGACGTGGAAGGTTGGATGTGGAGAGTTGATGCATGTGCTGCGGCTGTTATGAGCGTCCTGGACAACATATCTCCATGATACGAAACAAACGGCGGACACTGTTAATCTGCGTGCTAAGCTTTCGTCAGCTCAATGGGAAAATAGTTCATGCAAGGGGTCAACGTTAACTTTGAGCGGGGGCCGCCTCCGAAGTTCCGGGAGGGCGCGAATTAAAATTTGGCTTTATTTGGAAGTATTTCACGACTGAAATTGACAGTGCACCAACGCCACGAGAGCAAGCAGCTACTGCAACTAATGAAACAAAGAACGAAACTTGAGTGCATCAATTTTGGGTGCAGCGAGCGTTGTCTTTGCAATGGGAATTTCTGTGGTGCTCCCCAGCGGGGCCCATCTCTAGGTGGAGGAAACAATAAACGATTGGTGCCGTTTCAAGTTCTCACGGGTACTAATACCCGGTAGTGGGGGGACCAGGCTTGAAAAGTGAGGAGTGGACTTTCGTGGCTTGTGTATCTCTGGGCGCAGGCCATGCTCTAAGTCTCCTGGTCACTCGATGGGGTGCGCACTGGTGTGTGTAGTTATGTTTGTGAATGCAGATACTAGTAACATCCTCATATATTCTAAAGGCGGCACGGTCTATCGAGGATGTGGACTGTATGACTCACGATTGGTTCCTCACGTCCATCGTGGCCAAGGCGAGATTGTTCCGTTACTCAAGGGTTGGCGACGTCATTTGGCTGACGTTTCGTCACAGCACGCCAGCGGCAGTTTGAAACGGTAGTTCCTGCTGGTGTTCTCATTGTGCAAGGCACATGCATCGTCAACGAAGTGATGCTGTCGGGAGAATCTACTTCGCTACTCAAGGAGTCCATTCAGCTTCTCGAAACCAGGGACAAATTGACGTTGTTGGCGCGCACAAGAACACGGTCCTGTTCAGTGGAACAAAGATGCTCCGAGCAAGCCCAACGGGTACGTTGAACAGTTGCAGTTTATTCCTTTGTTAATTTTCTTGTTCGGCTCTCAGGTCAAGGACGAGTCAGCGTAGCGACTTCGGACGGTGGATGTCTGGGGCTTGTTTTGAGAACCGGTTTGGCACAGCCCAGGGCAACTCGTGAGGAAGACGATATGCTCAACTGAACGCGTATTTGCGAATGATACCGAATTGTTCCTGTTTACTTTACTGCGTGCTTATCATTACGAGCGTCGTCACCCCAGAATTGCCTACGGAGCTTGCGTTGGCTGTGAATGCGTCCTTGGTGGCTCCGTCATATTTCGGCACACCAAGTCTCGTTTTCTGCAATCATTCGTCTTACTATTTTTATTAGCCATATTCTGCACCGAGCCATTCCGCATCCCATTCGCTAGTCGCGTTGATATTTGCTGCTTTGACGAAACGGGAACTATTACCGCAGAGAACCTAGTTCTAGATGGCGCTGCCAGTTTAGAGTTAGTATCCCATATTTAACCAACTTCTTCCTGCTAATATTCACACAATTTTAGCGGGTCAGGCAAAGTGAAGCTTGAGGACGTCAAAGACACTGGCAAGTATACCGCCCTCCGTTTGGCTGCGGCGCATGCGCTCGTTCGTCTCGGTTGTTGGAGACCCAATGGATAAGACGATGTTAGAAGCGCTTGACTGGCAGCTTACGAACGGTAATCAAGCGCTATCTTCCGCCAAGTCGCTCAGGGCTTCGAGCGTTTTCATTCGGCACTGTTTCTACTTTTCGTTGGCTCTTAAGTACATTTCTACCGCGTCGAGCTTGCCTTGTTGCAAAGCCCTCGTCGCCGTTAAAGGTGCACCGGAAACGATCGAAGGCATGCTTGCGGAAGTTCCCGAATGGTACGATGCGACGTACAAGCGGACGCTGTGCTAGGCGTGGCAGTCGTGCTTTGGCTTTAGGAACGAAGGAAATAGATGCCATGCCGATCGACAAGGTAAGTCGGAGTCTAGTAGCTGCATCCGCGTTGTTAACAATGGCTGTAGATCAACAAACTATCCCACGAGGATGTTAAGAGCCGTCTGACGTTTGCAGGATTTTTAGCCTTCCACGGTCCTCTCAAGCTAGATGCTGTTGAGACGCTCAAGACGCTTACCGGCTCGTCGCACAGGGTAAGGCGTTCATCCGCTATGGAACTTTACTCATCGTAGAGCAGTGCATTATGATTACTGGCGACCGCCCGTTGACGGCGGTCCACGTTGACGCCGAGATCGTTGGGAAGCAGTTTGAACCTCGTCCTTCATGGAATGATCTGGTACAAAACGCCTGGGTTTATGCTCGCGTCTCGCCCACGCAGAAGGAATTCATCCTGATCAGTCTTAAGACGCTCGTCTACACTGCGCTTATGGCTGGAGACGGCACTAATGACGTCGGTGCGCTCAAGCAGGCTCACTTCGGCGTAGTTTTTCTAGATGGTACGCCTGGCGTTCGTCTTTCGTGGAATGTACGGCTCTCTTCTCGGATAGAGGCGACGCGGACGGCGGTCCCGATATCAGCGCTCTACGCTCCATTGAAGCAGCGAGAGGATTTTCCTCCAGCATCATACGAACCCGTGACCTGTAAACCCACTTGTCGTGCTATTCTCAATCTGCATTGGTACGTCTCCTCTATCCCTTCCATGCATTCTACTGATGGCGCTCCATGCAGTCAAATTGATTTCAGAGGTAAAATAAGGTTTTATTCGCTTTGCTTGACCCGCAACGCTTTCCCTCCGCATTGTAAAGATACTCTAACGCCAATCTACCCGCCAAGCTACTGCCAAAGTACACGACCATTGAGTGCGCGCCATCTCGTCCTGGTCAGGCTCCACCCGTCTTACTCTTCGTCGTCGATACCCGTCTAGATGCCGAGGACCTCAAAGCACTCCGCGACGCCCTCGTCGTCAGTCTCAGCTTGATCCCATCATATGCATTAATTGGTCTTCAGCGCAACAGTACGTACAGATATTTGTTAATTCATGGTTCAAGCTCAAGGCCTTGACAATCAGACGCAAGTTCAGGAACAATCTAGGCCCCAACAAGCTTTTAAAGCCGCCCGTTTCTTACTTCCTGTGCAGCAATATTTGAATTCCAACTCACTGGTATTTTGGAGGCACTCGTTTGTGACCCTATATATACATTTCTGTTTAGGCGTTGGGAGGCCTGCAGGCGGGCAATATCTCTACGTATAGGCTTGCCCGTCATTTGCAATGCTTATGTAACATATAACGCTGAGCCCTACAGTAAACGACAAACGATCTTTTATTCAGAAGGTCATTGAAGCCGCCCTTCCGGCGCAAAACGGCGTGGCGCGTAGTACGGCACTACGGCGGATATATCCACAGTCCGGCGGCAAAAACATGGCCAGGTGGCGGACTTTGGCTGACTTTTAAATCACCTAGGTACATGCCATCGTGACGCTGCTAATCTTATCAGCGCATACAGTGCACGGCCATCCGGCATGGACCCACGCCCGAGTTCCTGCCCAGCGAGTAGTGCACTGGTGAGCAGTAGTTGTTGGTAGCAGCTGGAGTAGAACGGGCCTCCAAGTGCATTTCAATGTCCGACGTGCCGTCTGTTATCCACTAGCTTTGCCGCTGTTCTTGCCGTAGTGCGTGCCGGACTTTCTGCGCCGGAGGGGCGGTTTTAGGGATGTTCTCCTTTTATTGGCCTGACTACGGCGTCTTACTCCTACGGACTCGCATTACATAATATTTTGTTTTTGGTCCTCTACCACCGTCGTCCTATTTTAGAGTTGACTTTTGCCTTTCGTCTCACTGGTCATCCGCGTTTATTTGCTGCGTCACTTATGCGAACAGTTCAGTCCCTCTAGGGTAGATCTGCGTGAGATCTGGTGCACTACAAGACAGATCTGCGTGAGATCTTGTGAGCCCAGCATCTGTTCGCTGGGACGCGCATGCATTGCGATGCGCCGGTTGAGCACGACCTGCAACTTCAATTCAAGATACTTGGACGCGGAATCCCTCCCGTCACGTCCAATCACACCAAAAGGGCGCATGGCTTCTGCTTCAACCGCTGAAAGAGCAGTCGCTTCAAGTTCTGATCGCGGGCCATTGCGCCTTGACAGTGCATCCATCCGTTCACCTCCTAGCCCAGGGTCATTCTCAGCGCCGCTCCATCTTTGTCACAAATGAGTCCAGTCAGGACTGGCAAACTGCTGCCGCCGCATCCAACCGGAACGGTTCCCCTCGAATGACTCCTCTTACGACCCCGTCCTCTCATCTTCCCCGTGGACTTCTGCTCCTGCCATCGTTGCTCAGCAGTCTACCTCGTGCTCAGATAAGATCACGCCCAGGAATTATCAATGCCGGACAACGGGGAGGCAGCCTTTTCCCGTCCCTGCAATTATTGCTCACCGGCAGGCTACTTACGTTCATAACAAATTGAATATGTGATGAATCAAGAATACAGCGTACGTCTTACTATTGAACGTTTCAGGCAACTACCCTAGAGCGTCTTCCTCAAGTGATTCGGTGGCTTTCATCTTGAGCCGATGTAGAAGGAACGCCCTTACCGTCCCATGAGTAAGGAATGTAAGATAAAAAGCCCGGCGCAGGTCGATGCCAGTAGTGCACGTCGTTGGACAAAGCTGTCCACGATTGCGGATGGCAAGTCGCGAGCTTTTTGAAGTAAGCCGTTGCATCTGCTTCGCAACCTTTGAAGTACTCTGCAACGTTGACGTCTGCTGGCTTCAGTAGATCGCAGTGAGATCCTGATGACCACTCGTTCAGCGCTCGAATAATCTGCGGAAGCCTGGGGGTAAGCGGTAGGGTAAGGCTGTGAGGGTAGAATAACTTACCAATGCCGCAGCGCAACCGGCCGTTTCAGCTGAATATCCCGCGGGAGGCGGAGCGCTGCCAACGGAGGGCAGTGACGTTCCAAACGATAGAACGTGCATTACAGAGCGTAACGCGCCGTCTCCAATCACATCCTAAATCCCCAGAGTTAGTAGCTAGCGCACGGTGGACTGCACCTCTTACCCCTACTAATGCCATGTAAGGCGTCTTGTTTAACGTTTCTTGGACTAGAGGGCGGCCATCAGCCGGGCCTGAGTAGAGGGACAGAATCTGAAACCTCGCTTCTTTGAAAGCGACAAGCTCATAAGCTCTAGATGCAAAGAAGTGTGAGTTGGACAGTGCGCGGAGGCTCCCCTCGTCCAATGTACCAAGACCGTAAATAGCTTGGAGCGCCCGACTGGTTGTGATATAACCACGAGCGCGATCTATGGTCATTGAAAGGGAGCGCGGAAGGTCAAAGTCACGCCCATAATGAGTGTTGCCAGTTCGACGATGGTGCTGCGCTTGTTGATCTAGGAGAGAATCAGGAAGGTTGTGAAGCTCCGTCAGGGATGGGAAGAACTTTCGAAGCATCCCTGTGGTAAGATTTCGAAGCAAGGTGCTTGATAATGAGACGGGGAGAGCTGAAGAGCGTTTTCGTAGCGATGCATTGACGTCGGGCCCACTCCAAAAAAACCCGGAATCATGCTTGGAGTAGGCGTGCACAAATATATAAGTTTCGTGCTCAGGTACTGACCCGCGGACCAACCGAAGGATGTTGCAGAAAGCTGGTCTCAGAACTCCCAGGTAAAAGAGCAGGGGGGTTACCAGAGAGCTCGGGAGGGCCCATAGGCACTCCTTGTTGGTCTCTCCCCTCTGCTTTGCAGCAGGATTTGCTAGCGTTAGAGCTCCCCAGACCATAAATAAATTCCGTTGAGCCCCAGTAATGGGGTCGTAGTGGTGACGCAGGGATTTGAGCTGAAAACTTCGGGGGGGAACGCCGCAAGATAGCTGGAAGGATGCGTTGAGAAGACAAAGAAGGTCCTGCTCTTTCTCCATCAGGTTTTGAACTGCTTTCGTATTGATAGATCCCTTGCTATTGAAAACTGAGCTACGATGACCGGCGGGGCCAACTAACTGATCGTACGCAACCTTGATCATGGGTTGCAACTGGGGCTCGTTAGCTGGCTGGTGAAAAATCGATTCCCGGCGGCCAAGATCATCAGTAAGTTGAAGCTGGGAGAAGTCGTTGTAGAGCCAGCGATGCGTATCAGATAAAATGGTTTGGACAGCGGAGGAAAATTGGTGAATGAGTTGCCTGGTAAGAGATCCTAGTTCCAAGTATTGGACGCAGTGAAAAACACCCCTGGCGTCTGGGATCATGACGGATTGGCCATCATCGGAAAATATAAAACCGTATTCAGTGCGTTCAAGCCTTGCGGCTGAAGCTACCTTGGCCCATAAGGTCTTGAAACGGGTATAGGGCGTTGTAAAGCCCATATTGGTGTCATCGGAAGGGTGAACAAAAGCTCGATTTTCAGACAATAAACTAGTAGTAGGATTAATCGTTGTATTAGATTCTAAACAAAGTTTGGAGGAAAACGCACCCTAGAACGGAGGCCGTATTAAGTCGCTGTCCTGGGCCTGTATTCTCTGAGTCGGCAGAGAAGAACCCATCTGAAACAAGGGCTTCAACGTGGCCGCCGTTCAGATTGTGGCCTGGCAATCCTGGCAAAGTCTTCTGAAAATCCATGTTCTCCATGGCGTCCTCATCCTGGTCTTCTTCAATATCCTCCTCTTCCTCTGGCTCCCCGAAGTCATCCTCATCTTCTACTACGCTGCTACCGATTTCATCTCCTATCAAGACAGGACCGTCCGAAGAGGATGCCGTAGAAGGCATGGCAGTTCTTTGCGGAAGGGTGGAATCAGAAGGCCTTTGGTTGAAATGGTCCGGGTTATGTGGAAAAAAGGCCATTTTTCCTGAGGCTTCGATACGAGCCCATTGGATGATGATGGCAAACCAGCTATGCTGAAGAATGGCGCATCTCACAGTAATAATATTTCCCACCCGAAAGTGGTCGTTGTCAACGAGGGAGCCTAAGCAGAGTGAGATATCGGACGGACAAGCCATGACCTCGACGCTTGTGATTTTGTGTCGCACGAGAAGGGCAGCGAAGTTGTGAAGAAGCTGCATTAGGATGACGCCACTGCGTTCTTTGTTTGTAACAATATAATCATATAGCGCCGTTACTGCAACTACCTCCCCTCCAGTAGCTGGAATGACGAAGGACGGAATCTTGCCTTTACCTAGTTAAATTTAAATGAGCCTGAGATTGTAAGGGTATTTGGTTACCAACGAACCGGTACGCGCTGCATGCTTATATCGAAGCATCATCGAAAGGCACTGCATCACGGGTACAGTATAGGTCATATATGAAGAGACCCGAGCGAGAGGATTAAAGTGAGCCCTGGTTCTGTTATTCAAAATTAGTTACATTCACGCTGCCAATGACAACAATCTAGCGTACCCATGTAATAAAACTTGTACAACTTCGTCGTTGGTTGCACATCGGTAACGTTGAACATCAACCAAGTATCGCATAAAAAGTTTCCTAAGAGTCAATATACCCTTCTCTAAACGCTTGGAGGCTCCAGGCAACATGGCGTTGACATCAGCTGACGACCGTATTTGGACAAGTTGTCGAAGGAGTGAGCGGCTGGGGTCGTCAAATTTCGCTAGGTATTGAGGCCAAGCTATCTCCAGAAGAAAATCAGCCAAAGGCGCAGCTGTAGTGTTTCGATGATAGACGGCTTGCAGCGTTGAATCAATAACTGATGAGCCAGATGGACCTGAAAAGGACAGGTTGGGCGTCCACTGTGCGTGCAAGACAAAGACTCGACGGCTTAGGTCATCCTTCCTGTCAACAATGTGAAAGTATGGGCGCATAATGTAGCGCTTCGTCAAGAATTTGAAATGCTGGCCTTTTACTCCAGCGTGATGGTTACTGTAGTGGTCCGACAGCGACCTTTGACTGCTATACCATCCCGGACAGCCTTCAACAGGGCATTTGACCCCCTGCTGTACCTGCAGTCCAGGAATGGGTTCAGTCAGATCACCAGTAGGTTCAGGAAGCTTCGTTTCTTCTGCCATATGGTGACTATGGAGAAGGTGGGCGATAAGCTCCTTTCGGGCTGAACTATTCTGAGAGACGTCGTGACTTCCAATAATATGCCGATGTAATATGGAGGGGGGAATTAGTGTTTTATGGGTATGACATGCAAACCCAAACGGCGTGAAGCTTATGCGAAGATCCTCTAGAATAGGGCAAATGCTGGCGTTCGGGGAAAACAAGCCGGCGGATGGATGAGGTGCATTGTGATACACCTCGAAGCATGCCCTATGCTGATGCTTGCATATCACAGTACGTTGAACTTTTGGAGCCACAAGTTTCCTCGTGCATCGCTTTGGTCTTGGAGCTGCCCTACTTGTCTTGACTTCATCGGTCTGAAACTGAGAATCTGTCTCAGATGACTCAGCGTCAGAAAGCTCGACCCAATTTTCATCATGCAGAGACTGGGAAAACAGTGAGTCCAGCTCCCAATGTTCTCTGATGGGCAGTTTATAAGGCGGCGGTGGCACGGCTACGTATGCCATGAGATGCCTCTAAAGAAGAGGAATATATTTAGAGGCACTTATATGAGACTAATAATCTATATTACCTTCATTGCCTTGACCGGAGGGCCCTAGTGCTGGATTGCAATAAACTTTCTATATTCCAAAGGTGGGGTGGAAAGAGCAGAGCATGGCGTGCAGAAAAGCTAAGGCGGGACCGAAATACTTACGGCATTCGGATCAAATGAAAGATCACCAAGTACCTTAATTGATACCATACTGGTGGAGGCGAAGAGAGGCAAAGCGCTGTTGGGCTGTGCTTGTAGCAATCCATCAGAGTATCAGTTTCTTTTCGTGCAGGCTGGGTGAGTGCTTTGGGGAGTATTTCATCTTCTTGAGTGCCAGTGGCTGCCATTAAATTTTGTTCTTTCAGGGTCAGGAGCGTTGAGAGAAGAGAAGATACTTACTACGTATTACAATATATTTGAGTTCATAGAAAAACTAGCCGTGCTATACGTAATACAAGGGTGCGCAAAGAACCTTGTGCTCGACGGTTGTCACCTGTGCCAAGCCCCTCTATTAAAATCCAAGCTGGTAAACAATCGCAGCCGCATGCCTAACCTTGTTCCTTTACACACCCATACATAGTTACTGGGACCTCGATGGCCGCAAATTTGTCGCTTGGGTGTGAAGCGTTGCGATGTCCATCATGACGCCCGGTCCAAAGAGGATGATAACGGATCCAGATGCAGCCTGACGCCCAAAAAATAGTAGTAAAGCACAACGCTTATGCAGACATGATTATCAGACAGCCAATCAGCAGCAATCTCCCCGTTCATAGAATCGCATGACGCAAAGATTAACCTGTGGAAATATAAGTACCGTCGACCCCGAGGGCAGCCCCAACCGCAACATTGGAATTTGAAACCTGAGTAGACCACGCCAAGGCCTCCCTATCTTATCGAGCGCAGGAGTTGCTACGCGATCCAAAATGTCTAGAATAAAATTGTAAATCCTCGGTGCTTGGGACTTGATATCGCACTCACCGTGCTATTCCACCTTCACATCCTTCGCTTCGTACGGTCGGCTCCATTGAGCATTGTGCGACTTGCCAAACTCTGAATAATTATCAGCTGCGTAAGCGGAGTGGTGTCGACGTGACCGACCAGATTGATTCCGTACGTCTTCATTCACAAAGCGGTTGTCAGAGGGATAGACACCAGATAGCGCATGCATCGCTCTAGTGACAATCGCGGCAGTGCCCGTGTACCCACGCTCATTCTTCGTCTTATTCAAAAGTAACGATAAAAGGTCCATGATGTCTTCCTTACGCTTGAGGAGCTAGAATTGATCACACATTCGGGAACTCAAAATTGCCAAGGAATGTCACTTACAGCATGTGCGCCGTATGCAAGACGCCCGCACAATATCAACATATCTGTTAAGACAATTGGTTAGATGCCTGACAGGGAATAATTGAAGCCACTCACTCCAATGCAGCGTTGTGTCAGATGGAACAAGATCGCGTGCTGATGTTGTCCTAACGCTCGAAGTTCCGCACTTGAGTTCTTCTTGTATGCGCGAGATACACGAAGGCAAAAACTTATCCAGAGTTTTCTGAGGTTGTGCGCGTGCCAGGCATGCTACGAGCTGGCCGGACGCTCGGATGGCATTAGACTTCACATTTATCGCAGCATAGTCGAAAACGAGATTCAAAACGAGATCAAATAGTTGGCCTGAGCCCGGCCTCCTTATGATTTCTGAGACAAGCGAAAGTGAGATGCCGGACAGCATCTTCCACACTGCGGCGGTGCGGTGGGTCTCGTTTACCACTTCTAGATTATTAGAGTGCAAAGGTGAACGTTTGAACTGTGGCATACTGTTGTGCTGTACGCACTTTTCCCCCATGAATTGCAGATGGGCCACGCAGTGTTCAACGTTCAATCGCCGAACCGAATGTGAACCGAACGCAACGTTCGGTTCAGTGGTCCAACTCCAAGGCATAACTCATCCTCGAGGTTTATGCACATGGAGGACAAGCATCGTAAATATGGTGAGATCTAGATTTAGATGTGCATCCGAGCGCTTCAGGCCCACACACAAATTCGGACATTCATCGACAAACAAGATTAATGTGGTGCAACAGCACCGTTACAATTAGTGTATTATGGCATGTTGATAGACGCGAGGACAAACCAGTACTTAGCGGCATTTTTGACGGTCAGATTACGAACCATAAATTGCTGCTAAGCGGCGCTGGTTGGTGACCAACTTGAATCCCATACTTTCGTAGGACTATGGATTGTCCTCCCTCAACCTGTACCGTCAATACAATATTCACAATAACTAAAGCAGATCCTTCCGACCTACCGACTAATTTATTTCCGAAGTCTGTTTACCATTTGCTTGGCGATGGCTCCCTCGTAGCACCCCCATTCTTTGACGACCTTTCCACTACTCATCTTGCGCTCATCATCATGGCGTCCCTCTTTACTATATTCGTAAGGAATACAACTTTATCAGTTGCATTCTTATGGTCAGGTGGAGTTCGCAAGAAAAGTCTCTTGTACACTCTATTCCTCAGTCAACTTCTCGCGCCTATTTCCATCTTGTCTATGCTTATCGCCCAATTTCACCCTAATTTCGATTGCAAAATGTTTGTCAATCCTATCTTTCGAATACTAACACCTCGTTGATTTTATATGTAATCAGAATCATGCGCATCGCGGTCGCTAGTGCAGGAATATCGTTTTCTTTATTGGTACGCTTCAAAAATTCTATTCGTTATTTATTCATACCTAATCTCGACATAACATAGATATCCGGTACTCTAGGCGTAAAGGCTTACCGATGCCTAGACAACTCTCGCTTAGTTCTAGTCATCCTGGTCATACTAAGGACTGCTGCAATGGTTTTCCTTGCTCTTGATCTGGCATTGCTTAACGGTTATCGCAGTCTTGCAGGTGCCTCTTCTGACTCTCCTTATCCACTTTCATTCACTAAATTTTTAAAAAACAGGCCGCTGCTACCGAACATCTAATTCCATGTCATATACTTTCATAATACTTTTATTTGTTGAATCGCTATTCGTCTGTCTTTGCTGTGAGTCCAAACTTATTACATTAACCAATGAGACTCATCATCACAGTTCTCTACGCTGTTCGAAAATCACTCGGTTCCGTCCAGGGCAGAATTACTGTATCACTCTCTCTCGACGATGTCACAGATTCCCATCTAGACACCCAACAAGAGAGCTACAAGACCACTCACAGCCGCCGTGACAGGTAGGATTATGTTCCTACTGTAAATCATCCTGTTCCATTCACCCCCAGATCCCGTAGAACTCAGTCTCTCTCCTACGACCCAAGTATTCCCATGGGTGGTCTTTCCAAGAGTGAAAGAGTACATGATCCGGAGAATGTGCCCTCTAGATTGCCCATCCTACCGCTGGCTACAAAATCCCCTCTCGCTGGCACATCCCCAATTCCTCGCCGGCCATCTTCTCCTGCCATGTCATCCATAAGTCGCATGAGTCAATATATGCCTCGAGTAACGTTATTTAGAGAAGTGATGAGAGATGAAGTAAGCGAGTCTCTTTGGTTAAGGCGCTCCAGCCTCACATGCTTATTCAGTTATTCTACACCACCTTTATCACTGCTTCCACCGTTGTTTCCGTCATAATGACTATAGTCGGTGTTAATAGCGTGGGCCCGGCTGATCATGTAGCTTGGATAGCACTTGACTGTGAGTTATCTCCACTAAACCCACGTCCAGTGTTTTGGAAACTCACATTGATGCAGGGGCCTTCATTTCGTGTCTTGTGATGCACAGTTTTGGTCGTGTCATCCGCCGCCACGAAAACGAAGCTTTGTTACAGCAGCCCAGCGTTTGGCATCGCAGTTTGCGTACGGACCACAGTACTGCAGATATTTTAGCAGAGGGAAGGGTGAGATCTCCTAGGCCTTCGTTTGCTGATGATGGTTTACCCCCACATCCGGATCCAAAGGGTCAACCTGCATATGACAAGGCAAGTTTGTCTGATGCGGAATTTGCAATCAACCCTTCCTCCCGCACCTGCTTTCCTTGTTGCAATCGACGCAGTGCATGACCCACACTCGTTCCTGCCTCTTGATCAAAGCAATTCGGACTTTTAAGACACGTATTATATCACGGACTGACGAATAACATAGCATATATCGCACATATTGTACATATCAAGTATTTGCATTTGAACGCAGTTATTTTGGGAAATCGAGTCTTTTCAGCACTGCACTTTCTAGACGTTGCACGCACAAACCAAGCGTTCACTCGAGTATTCAAAATAACGTCTATTTTCCCTCGGCATGTTGTCCTGCAGATGTCCCGCTTGAATTGGTGCGCAGTCTACAGGCTATCTGGTTCTAGTTTGGTTGATCTGATTTACTCCAATAGTTCGAGGCGGCTGTTTCGCAATTGATTCATCACCTAGAGTACAATTCGACATTGATCTTGTGCTCAGAGACCATCTCAGACTCCGATACCACCATCCCAATGTCTGCTCCATGTCCGGAGGGATACCACCCTGTATGCAATGTTCACCGCAAGCTGCTACTGCGTAGGCTGGGTAGAGACTCAGGACTAGAGCAGCACTGTACGCTTTCTGCCTTTAAAACCGGTGAATTTGCAGGCTTTCAGTCCATGCTGGTCCTTACACCACTTGTACCCGAAGGAGAGAGCCTGCCCTACTATCATCCTACAGTGTGACATCTTGCTTTCCGGTTCATCTCTTCCAGCATCACCACAACTTCAGATTCAGCTTCTGCACAATCGGCACTGCGCATTGAAGTTGTTCCACTCCCAGGCACGCCTACCAACCCCAACAGTCGCCTCTACCGTACGGCACTTGCACTCCTTGACACTCTACCATTACCTTCGGGGTGCATTCACTCATCAGTTCCAGATCTGCGCTCATCTAGATATCCAGAGCATCATCCGAGTCCTGCAAGACGATCAGGCGTCCGCACTCTCCGAAATAGTGTGGAGTATCTATCTGCATGACCAATTCGCTCGTAAGCATCCTGATCATGAGAGTAAATTAAAGCTAGTACCTGTAGAAAGTACCGTGAATTCACTGTCGTCCATATCTACGTTTGCGTAATAGTCCTTTTCAAAGTCCTCAATAGCCTTCAGATGTTGGTGGATAAGCCCTTCGCGCGCCACCATAGCCTCCTGGTCCGTAATCACCCTGAGCACCATATGCTTTCTTGCCGCCGTAATACTGTGTACCACTAACGCCGCCCACAATGCTCGCAGCTCCAGATGCGTCCTCGTAGTCTGTGCCAGGAGTTGTGGCTGAAGCCGTGAGAAGTGGGTCCTCGACTTCCAAAACCGCAGCTTCAGATCCAACAGAGGACTCGAGGTCTTCACGCTGGGTAAAACATTATATAAGGATACGTGAAAAGGATGACTGGCGAACAAACGCACCGTGATACTGTCCCAGTATTTGTAGACCATCATAACGCTCAACAAAACGCACAGAATGAAGAAGAACAGGTCATCCAAGTAATGCTTGATAGCGTCACAAATGGTGATGCTGAAAGCGAACAGAAGAACTTGAGCGATCGCGTAAAACGAGATTCCAAAGGTGATGTCGCAGAGGGGCCAGCGGTCGTCAAGAGTCCGGAATACAAGAATGAGCTGTAATATAGTATATGTGGGCGACGCACGGGATGGGCCAGATGAGGTAAATGACGAAGAGCGTGATAGGTTTCGTTGGAGAGAATGAAACAAAAGATTTGAACGTGGCGATAGCGATGAAGAATGATGCTCCGAAGACGGCAAAACAACATATCGGATGGAGCCAAAGAGAGAGAGGCATCCCGTCTTCAGCGAATTGGAATCCAACGAAGCCGTTGATGAGCAGACAGCAGTAGGCAGCTGCTACTAGTCTCTAGATCTGCAGCACACCCACTACGTACATTTGGTATAAGATCATCACATGATTTTGCATGATAACTCACAGGATAGCTGACGTCTGAAGTCGGAATGATTCCCGAGTCTAGGAACATGGCGAGAAGTTCGATGACCACGTACATCCAAAAGAACATCGCAATCTCTTTTCGTCCCACTGCAGTGTACTTTGAGCGAATACGGTAGATCATAGTTGCAGTCATGATTATTGCGACGATGTGGAAAAAACATGTAGCTAAGCCTATGAAAGTCAGCCTTGATCGGTGAGTACGCCACATTCATGGTCTTGGAATAGATACAAGGCTGAAAGATGAGGGTCTGGCCGATTTGAACGTTGCGTGAGTAGCAAGTAGGCTCTATGCCTTCTCCAGAGGTGCCCATCAATGGACAAATGACGAGAGCAGCCGTGCTGCACACTCCATCGAAGGAGCCAAACGTGATGGCCATGGCTCCGATATAAAAAATTAAAGGGGTGTTGTGTGCGCGTTCAATAGGTGAATATCGGGTGATATTTGGTGTATGCAGCGGCAGGGCCTTGGCCTGGTTACGTTCAACGTGCTTTGTGAAGAGATTGAACAAAAGCGAGCGAAACGTGATTAGTTCAAACTATTCAAACAGAATATCTGGCGAGTCTTCAGGTAACTGGCCTGCAAGTAAACCACCCGGCGGGTATTGTGTGAAAAGACAGAGAGCGGGCTCGTCGCCCTGGGAGTACCTGGAATACAAGTTCGGCACGGTACATTTATCAAATAGCCCTAGCCTCAATTATGTTACATAATTATGTTTTACATAAGGTCAAGACTTATAACGGCAGAAATCGCTTCGTTATCCCATTAATATTCATCGTCCGCATGTTTAATGTTAGTAAGTATTATCGAACTCTTATCTGCGATTGTCCTCACTAATGTTTCATAGTCCCTACCAAGTCCCTACTACATTTGGTTTGGTCGCTCACGTTCGTGTGATGTATCTCGTTTCTGTCATGCCTTTTGCAGTCGAAGGGGGCAACATGCTTGGCAATTCTTCGCCCGCATCTTTTACGACTATTAAGGATTCAGAAACTATTCCGCCACTCGAGATTGGTGAACCTGTTCTGAATTCGCAGGCTTCTCACGCAGACGCACTTATCACTGTGACACCACCTTTGAGCTCTTTCCACTATCATCTAGGAAAGGTGAGTCAATGTGTTATGAAATCTACGATAAAACTGACCATGGACTAGCCTTGGAGGCTTCCGTACTATGAGCAAGCAATACACCAAGTGTCCAGAACGTTCATATACTCTTTTACATGGGTCTGTTGTTTTCTTTTTTATATTACCTGCCCCCGGACGCTGAACGCTATGTTAGGAGGATCCGGAGGTGGATATGAAGTATCTCGATCTTGGTCCCGAGGACTCGATGCTGGTGATCACATCAGCAGGTGGCAATGCTTTGCATTACGCTATAGCAGCGCACGCCAAGAGAGTACGTGGATCGATGAAGCATCATCCTTTGTGTGCTAATATCTATCTTGAAGATTCATTGTGTGGATATGAATCCTTGGTATGACCAACTACCTTCCATTGTGCGGCTCGACTGACTTTTCGCCATATAGTCAAGGTCATTTACTAGAGTTGAAACTGGCAGCCGTACAAACCCTCGAGTACGAAGACTTCTTTTCCATGTTCGGTAATGGACATCATCCCAAATTCCATGCGCTCCTTGACTCCAAGATCGCTCCCCTTCTCTCTTCCATCGCCTATCAATTTTGGCACATCAACGATGATGCTTTCTTCAAAGCCTTCTATTTGAAAGGATACAGCGGCTGGGCACTACGGCTCGCCAGAATCGTCTTTTCAATCGCCGGAGTATCGAAAGATGTTGAAGCTTTGTGCAATGCGGGCAGTATAGCTCAGCAAAAGCAGATCTGGCGCGAAAAGCCAAGACCCGCCCTCTTGAATTCCATCGTCATCGCCTTGCTCAAGAGCCCGATATTCTGCTGGAACGCACTGGGAGTGCCCCTCAACCAGCGCCGCATGGTCTCGGACGAAGGGTCCATGTATGAGTTTATAAGAGATGCCCTAAACCCTTCACCATCAACGTATTCCTTCAAGGATGGCGCATACTTCTACCCATTGGTAAGCTGGGGATCTTTGAGTTTTTACTGCGCTTACAGGACGTTATCGGACACTTCTTGGGCACTACACGCCATCCTCCTGCCCAGAATATCTGACGCGCTCCGGATTTGAGGCTCTCAAAGCTAATAGCGGCAAAGCTACCGATACGTTTAGACTGCACACCGATTCGATATATAAGTAAGCACTGTTAGTACTATGAAGCATAACTGGTGATGAAACTCTTCAGCGTCCTACGAGGATTGACACCTTGGTCTCTCATTCGAGTGGTTATGTTACAGAAATGCATCCTCGAAACTTTTCTCATGATACCATTACGATATATCCAAATGTTCTTTTCCTTTTCCTCGTCCTAAATATAGGTTAGGTGCGCGGAAGTGACTTCCGCGTGATAGCCACTGATCCATTCTCCTTCGCTTCGCAGGACTGCGAATACCACGCCGTTCGCTCTGTAACGCCGGGTGCTTGACATCCACGTTGGCAGGCAGCGTTAACATCCAGCCCCACTCGTCCATAAGCGTTAAGAACACCGATAAAAGCTCTGTTGAGTTCAAGGTCTTTCGTGAGCCAATAATGATCAACTTTGACCACGCACGTGTGAATGATACGTTGACTCGTCGCCAGTCCTTGAGCAAGTCTCCAATCTGCGCAAGGAGCGTTAGCGCGGGCTGCAATTGTATAGCTGCAACCGATAGAACATACCTGCCCCTGGTCGTTAGATCGGACCGTGAAGATAAGGATACAGTCCTTATCGCGTCATGGACTTCTGTCGGCTGTGAGGATCTCTATATCCTTCCTGTCTTGAAGGTGTGACAGAAGCTTTATCTGCTGACGATAAAGAGACATAATTCCAATCTGGCCCTCCTGGACTCCCGATCTTAAAAACGCTTCAGTAATCTGGTACACGAGCTTGGCCTCGACATCATTTTGGACGAGGTCCCCAACTCTTGAATCACGAGCAGGCAAGTGATCTGTGTCAACAAATACAACCTTAGATCTAGTGGGAAATATGATAAGTCAACTGGCCGCACCACATGGGACGAACCGACCTTTCTGGTAATAGATGCCGCAACCAGCAAGAATCCTCGCGCAGGCATACTCCTAGATCCAGTGTACCAGTCATACACCCTTTAGGAAGAATGAGCGTGCGCTTGGCTACTTCCTCTGATCCACATCGCAGATGATCTCCGTATATGAGCTTGTTCGACAACTCCATAACGTCCTCGTTCATGCGATATTGATATGTGAGATGGACCACCGCGTGTGGGTGCGCTTCAGGGAGACGACAGAACAGAGACTTTTCCAAACCACCTTTTCGTGCAGCAGGATTGCGAACCGGACATGCATAAAGAAGAGACCATGATATACGACAAAAGAAACTCACTAGTGGGGGAGGCTGAAAATGATCTCCAACCAAAATGAATTTCTTGACAAACCGAAGGGGACCTAGACGTGTGGGCAGGGTGATCTGAGAAGCTTCGTCGACGATGCAAAAATCAAATGTCCTGCGAGAAAAGAGGGCACTGGTAGGAGATGGAAAATGAGCACAAGCAAAGACGTCAACAAACAAACGTACTGATCAATTGACAAGCATGTGGTAGTAACAACTGGTGGTGCAATGACCTGGTTCTTCAATTCCTCGACTGTTGTAGGCAACCTACGCTCAACAAGCGTAAATCTCCGAACGCCTGGTGTTGAGGGAAGGGATGGGTCGGCGGGCGAAGACAATTGGGAGAGAAAGTCTGGTGCTGGGGACAAACGAGGACGAAAGATGTTGATAACGAGTCCTGCATCTACGAATGTAGGCAGGCTATGCTCCATAAGGCTGAGTGCGACTTGCCATTGCCCGCTCCCCGCATCACCAGTAGAAAGAGGGCCGCATGATGGAGAAGGGGGGGAGGGGAAGAAAGTGAGTGACCGTATGCGTCCTACCAAAATTGAGTTCGACGAGGATAGAAATGAGAGAATGCTCACCTCGCGCGATGAACTCCACACCTACCAAACCAGCCATGCGCATCCGTTTTCGCCAGAGTCTGATGTTGATAAATGCGCTAAATAAAGGCAGCTTCACCATCGACCCTGCGGACGCCGATGTCATCTGCGGATGTGGAGCCTAGAACGAGGGTGTCTGGATCATGTGAGTCAGTACAGTAAAACAGCGTACTCACCTTATATGAGAACAAACGAGATGCCCCATATGGAGGTCTGCATTATGGGTAGAGCTGCAGATGTGCTGTTTCTGGCATCAAGGAGACAAGATCGCAAGAGTCGACAAGCACGAAGAACAATATATCAAATGACGCACACTATTCTGCGGACACATCACATATACATGTCAATTTATGAACGAGTCAGATACTATCAGATAATCCTGGACTATTGGACCAATCTTGTCAGAAACGCCGGTCAGAATGTCTATCGTCTCTTTCTGATGTAAAATGTTAGAAAGGTCTGTCATCGACGAAAGGCAGACTTGGACTCTTACCCAGACAGTGTCCTGCATTTCATCACCCTCGTCGCTCAGCACGAAGCCGGCGACCTCCACAAGGCGACCACGGCTTACGAACCCGCCTTTCATATTCTCTTCATCGTCTCGTCCGCCCACCGCCCCAAATACGAGCTGACGGCTGCCTTGTTCGGCCGTCCACGCCAGGAGACGCTCCTGAATAGCGAGCGCTATTTTGACAAATGAAAAGGTCGGTTTCTCGTACCAGGCACGACGTAGTTGTGAATAACAGAATCCTGGCGTCACGGCTACGGAAGTGAGTGGTGTGACAGATTGCAATCTGCTCGTCAAGGCACGAACAAAGAAGAAGTTGAACACTGGTTGAGTTTGTCAGATTTAAGTGGGTAAAGAGCATAGGAGGCACATACGCTTTGACTCTTGATACCGTAATTGCATGTGCCTAAGAGATGAAGTATGAGATTTTCATATGAAGGTAAAGTTTGATTCGTTTGCTTACTCGGGAATGCACCACTCAACGTTTCAAGTGTCGAGGAAGTCTTGATCTCTTTTGCGGGTGTGAGCCAGTAGAGGACACCACTGGATACAATCACCATTCGTGAAGGTGTTAAAGACTTTCTTCCCGCAGAAACTAGTTGCGGGATGAGGAGCGACGAAAGCAATGATGTTGCCAGATAATTGACTTGTAGTCTGAAGGGTGAATGAGCCATAAGTATGCGCGGGAAAATAAATATACCAACATGGTCTCCCAGCCATCAGCGGTGGATTGATAATCGGGTAACGCGATCGCTGCGTTCATGACCAGGATAAGCAGGTCGCCGCCCTCCTTCTCGAAATTTATCAGCAAATGCGGTCACTGATGCAAAGTTGGCAAGGTCGACTGTCCAGAGCTCGCATCCATTGTATCCGATCTCTTGTCCGATTTCTTCAAGTTCGGAAAATAGAAGTCAATCATCTCACATCAAGTTCGATTTAAACGGTTGTACAAACCACCCAAAGCGACCTTCCCCTTAGCCTCACTACGACAGGCAATTATCAACCGCGCTGATCGCATACGGGCGAAGTGTTTTGACGCCTCGAGTCCAATGCCTACATTGGCGCCGACAACGAGAACTGTTTTCCCAGATAGATCAGCTGTCTCCACTGGGGGCACCACCGACCATTGATCAATCACATATGCGAGAGTCGACTTTTTCATGACGATTCGGACGCTTTGTTAGATTCGAAGAGAGCCCATTCGAACGACTTTTATAGTACTACACCCCGTTCGGTACACCGCATCATGCATTACTCTTACTAGCGAGTAATCATGATGGTGAGTGGTTAGCATCAGGAAATCAACCCGGCCCAGTGAGGCTGGCAGTGGCAGTGGCAGGCTGAGTGCCGAGTACTGAGTGCTGAGTCAGGACAGTGGGTCCATGTTTGTACCTAGCAAATCTACTTGAAGTTGAGACTTAGCCGTGAATTAAAATTGTTTGACTAGCTTTAAGCCTACTTTTGGTTTCCCGGTAACAGTCAGTCTGATTAAATCTCCATGACGGTCCCCCCAGTAAGTCGTCCTTCATTGATATTGGTAATTACTGATTTTGACGCTGAAGCCACAGCCTTCTGAGCTTCTACCCGTAGAAGCAATCAATGAAAACCTTCCCACCACTCAACACCATGATATTGCCAGAGCACAGACCCTGCACGATGTATGCGTCAAACTTCAGCAAGAAAACGCGGAACTTACACAATTGGTGGGGCGGTTGATAGCAGAGTACAATGAGTTGGCAGCAACCCTTACTAGACTTGCTAAGCGCTACCACACTGTATGTTTGATCTTTCCCTGCATATTGTGTATAACATTAAATGCCAAAATTTGTAGTGGGTCTAGTAGTGCCTGCCTAAGGGAACCAACCGGCAGCGCTGGGGGTAAATAACGGTAGCCAATATTTAAAAAAAATTCCACGTAATTGATCACGATCCTCTTCATGAGTATACATCCAGCACACCATGGGCACTTATCCAAGGATGCAGGTCTAATGCGAATCGCCAGCTCCAAGTCCGAGTCTACACAGAGGGAATAGGCAAATTAATATCGAAAACAGCTTTCGAAAACATAAACGTACCGGGTATATCCATTGAAGAGACATAGGACCACGCGAATGAACTAGTGCGGAGAGAGCCTTCGTCCGTGATGTTGGCATCAGAAACGATGAAAAGCGTCTTTAGGAAGGTCTCTGCGTGCAAATACTGTTCAGTTACGAAGAGCAAGAAGACCAAACTGATCACCTTCGCGTTCTATCAGCTGTAGCAAAATACGGTCGTACGGATATATCGTTGGGAAAGATAATATCGACCTCAGCTTCAAGAGAGCTCTTCAGATGCCTACACCGGAACACACTCAGACTATGAACACAAGAAGAATTGGGCACTCACTTCTCCCCTCGAGCCTGTTCCAAAAGAGATAGCACGACGCTGCGCATCCTCAGCAAACTAGCCATGTCTTGTTCGGCATGCGGATCATTCCACTCCGCGCTCTATGTGGTTCAAGAGAATATCAGGGAAAGTACAAGCAGTTGCGACATCAATACTCACGACAGGAGTCCACTCCTTCGCAAAGACAGATAGCTGGGACACAGCCCTATCACCTTCATGGAGAGTACCTCTGCCAGGCAAGGGAGCACTGGGACCATTACGGAGGTCATAGAGTCGAGGACCTGGTAGGAACATTAGTCAGTGGTATATTCTCACTGGATAATGCTCACTTTGGCAAGGGTAGTCACGACCGCCGTCTCTCGACACTTTGAATATCATTGGCATACAGGCAGTCCTTTGCGATGTCAAAGTAGAGGCGATGACAACATGACATTTGCAAAGTTGGTCAAGGAATTCATGACTGGCGCGGAGAGTATAAGCTTGTCAATTCTATGAACACGATGAGCTCTTACCTTTCGGGAAATTGTAGTTTGCTTATCCCTCTGCAGCAGTTTGATCAAGCTTGTAAAGCTTGTTCATCACAAAACGCTCTGCCTATCACAACAATCACATTTAGCATTAGACATCAATTGAATGCGTGGACTGACCAAGCCCAATTCGCTGCGTGCCCAAGACAAAGCAGTTGAGTGCGAGGTGGAGTGGTCCAGAAGACACTAAGTCGGACCGCGATCAGTGAGGAGGAAAGGGTGGGAATATCGAAAGACAACTCACCGGAATGTGGGCATTGGATAATAATATGCAGACACTTACGCGGAGGAGCATTGGGAAAAATCTCGACCATTTCATCCACAGGTGATAGGGATTTCGTTGGGTCAAGTGTAAGATTGCGAAGATTGCGTTCGATCGTCACGTCGACAGGCAGGTTGACCTTCCAAAATATCAGGTTATCAACATCCAATTGTAGGCATCAGATCACTCACCTGCCATCAGTGGCAACATGATCAAAATGTGGCTTCTTGGCGGGAAAATTGGTCATGGCAAGGGGACCGTTTTACCCCTTGCCATGACGAAGCTGCCTGCCATCCAACATGACCTTGCTCCGCAAGGTAATATTGATCGAAATCTTGTGAAGGTACAATGCCATTCTACTAGAAGATCAACGCGCTGAGAGAGGACATGATGGATGATTAGAAGGTTTGGACGCACCGTGACGTCACTGGCAGTTGTATACATAAACACTCTCTCCTATGAACCGAGCAGACAGTCTCTAGACGAGGAGAGAGCCCGAGATAGGACACATAAGAGAATCCATTTCAATATTCCCACCAAAGTCTCTCAGGACGATCGATCGATATCGATCTCGGATGACATGATGCGCAACTCGGCTTAGAAAATCTCCCGCTTACTAAGCCCTCAAGCTATAGACCAGTACCTCCTGCGCAATCTACTATCCAAGGTCCACTCACCCAACGGTTTTGAGGTCAGTATCCAGTGAAAACATTCAAGGCTTGGGTCTTACCAGAACATTGGTCTCAGATAACCTTCGCAACGACACGAAGTACATTAGCATCGTCCAACACACTACACGTGAGTCCTTGCACTTTCCCTTAATACAAATGACTTTGACCTGTTGTTTTTTTGATTACATGAATACTTAGTCTTTCTAACCTATCTGCGTTCTCAGGTCCGTGACCTAGCTAGTGAGTATTATGTTTTGCATTCGGTCATGTGCTCAAATGGTCGTTTAGCAGCGCGCACACAAAGTGGTATGCTTCTGGCACGTATACTTCCTATGGCGTGGCATGACTCGCTGCTAGCGAAAGTAGCAGTCCTAGTGGGACCTGTAATGTACGTGCCGCCATGCCTTTGAATCCATTCCCACCACATTCATGTGTCACCCTAGAATATTATTTACACGGAGATTGATGCAGATATGGTATTCGTGGAAAGGCGGACGCGAAGGTGAGTTCCTCAGAAACAAATTCTTCTACCGCTCAATGAGAGTGCGGCAGAGAAAACCCTCAGAGTTATCTATCACTCAAAAGCAGCGAGCCAAAGTTGAACAAGTTCAGAAAAAGACCAACTATGACTCAACACGGAGCCTGCTTGAGAAATACGCTGATTCTGGCACCCCGATACACCGTCGTCTGCAATCTCTACAGCTCCGTACATCACTGCCCGCAACCCCACAGGCACGCCTACAAACACCTGTCCAACAAAGGAATCTACCTCTGCAGCTTTCGCGTACGCAATTACGTGTCTGCATAGTTTGACACTGACACACCTCGCAGCAATGCCACAGCCAATTTAGCCGACCTGTAAGCGATGAATCATCAATGAGCGTGGCTGCCTCGCGCTACACCTTGATTTGCCAGAAGTGCTTCGGCTCGTCGAGGAGAGCGTTTGGAGGGACACTTGTGAAACCACTCAAAACCTGTTCGCATTGATATATTGATGTATTTGCTACAGTACGTATGCCCAAAGTGTAGCTGCCTTAATCGTTCCGCTGAACAAAGAGATTGGGATTTCAACGCACGCCATCGCCACCTGTCAATGTGGATACGGACCCAATCGTATCTCGCCAACCTGTCCTTATGGAGAGCGTTAACTGCGGTACGTCTCAGAAGTTCCTCCTCGGCCATGTGATACCACAGTCCCAACAACCGGGAAACGGCCGTAACGCTGCCATCTGCCTCAACTTTACTAACCCCGGGCGTCCGAAGTGTGGCCCAAGCCATGATATGCAAGAGCCAATTCCAAATCAGAGTGCATCATGGGCGCCAAGGTCTGTTACTGATTATACCTTGCCATAGGAGTGGTCTGCCTGATGTACTTCATGGCAATGGTACACGAGGAGGCGCAAGGCTGACGCAGATTGCTACATGGGTGAGAAATTCCATGATCCGACTGGGTCATGATGAGAAGTGCCCATGCGAGGAACATGATTGTGAGTGGTACATTAACTCTGCCCATTACGACCACTCACGCGTTGTTCCAGTGATTACAACTACATGGAGCGCATACCTAGCACCCAGTGTGCGCTTGGGGAGGCCCAACGAAAAGTACATGGGTTCATCGGGATATCGCGAGATCCCTGGGAACAAGTGTGAAGTTGGCTCTCGCATGGACGAGCGCGTGTCTAAAGATTGTTTCGAGGGTAGGTGCTTTAAAAGCTATGGAGGGTCTGTGTCTCATGCGTCATTTGCAGCTGAACCTGTCAAAGGAGCGATCGTCCACCAGATTGTACACTCTGTTCTCGCTTTTCTTCCCAGTATGGAAACTTACGATTTTATAGCATTCATTCCCTGGTGATATTGTGCAGATCTAGTATTTCAAGGACTCGAAGGTGAGCAACCTGTATATCACATCATATCAATACCTCAGCTCACTTCTGCCTCCATAGACTGTCCTCGTCCGCCTTATCGACCTCACAATATGGCAATCTAACAACAAGGGTTACACATCTCTATCTACTCCTTCCAGCTTGCTGACGACATTGTCTGAAATAGACAATGGCTATCGCCATGAAGCCCATCCCCGGTATGCTCAATGGGCGCCCAAAAACAAGCCTGGCTTTGTTTCAATTCTCGTCCCTGGCGTTGAAGCCTGTTGTTGTCCGTCCCGATAGGTCCCTTGCAGGCCCGAATGAGCTGGACGAGCTTCTTGTCCGCGGAGGCTCTGCGGCGCTGGGATACAAGGGAAACGACAAGGCCACTCGGGAAACGTTTGTCGATGGATGGATGCGCACAGGCGACTAGATACGGATTGATGAGGACGAGGTACTTTTGTAAGTTGATTTGACGAGTACGATATACCCACTCATACTAGAGTCGATCTGTCCTGTTTGCAGCTTCGAAGACCGCGCCAAGGCGAACAGCACTATCCATAAACATAGCTTGTTTCACATTGTACTGACCTCTGTCCTTACAAGATACACTTAAAATCTCAGGGATGCAAGCGTCTCCCGTCGAAATCGAGAAATGATCCTGCGCAGCCCGACAAGCTCATTACTAATGTGAGCGTCACAGGCGTTTCGGGTGGACGTACCTCAGACGAATGCAGACCGCGTGCGTGGATCGTGCTATCCACAGTGCGCACACCTGATAGGGCACACTCTGGCGCCGTGGTGTGCACCCGCGCGCCATGAGATTTGGCAGGCGCGCGTAGTGTAAGACTGTCGTCCACTTAACCATTACACCAAAAGGCAGTGATACTGAAAGCTCATGTTTCAGTATCGCAGACAGTATTTATGTAGATTATGGGAACTCTAGTGAGCCAGCGTGCTTACAGCGCGCCATCCTAGCATGACCCGTCCACCCCGGCTTAGAATATTAAGGTCAAAACCTTGGTGATCATGTGACAAGCGCACCATAATGCTGTGTGGAGTTATGAACATAAAAACAAATTGACAATAAAAAGCCCTCACCATGAGTATCCGTGCATCGGGAGCATCGAGAGCATGTTTTTGAAAGCCTGGATTGTGTTGTGTCCTGCAAGGCACTTCATGCTTTAGTATACCCAAGATAAAGTGATAAAGTGAGGGTTTCAGTTTGACAACCTATGCCAATCGACGGTATAAAGACAACTTGAGTTACTTGAAGAAGGAGAAAAGATATAAGACCTACCAGTGACAATAATGAGAAATAAAAAGTGGTTCCGGTGTCAACCATTCTTGGCCAAAATCGACATATGGCTCCATAATTGATAGAGATCTGTTTGGTTTTGTTGTCTCATAGCTTCCGATCCTAACAGGCGTCAACAACCACTGTGACACGCGTTCAGCAAGTCCCCGTTTTGACATTAATCAGATGTCTTCCCTCGCAGAATCTTTATATTTAGACAGCGTTCGGAATCCTGAATCATCTTGCGCTGATCCCGACGATAGTGACTCGGATCGCGTTGTAAATCAAAGTCCAGATCTCCAAGAAAGTAGCAACGACGAATATACCGGTACCCCCACAAAGAACAATACAACCACCATCTATTCAACCCCTACCAGTCGCTCGGAACCTAATTCATCACTTTCTCACCGAGCGCGTAACGAACTCTGGAAATTATGTCACAAGATCTATGGCGATTGCCTTTGCCTTGTCACGCTGAGAGATTCTGCCTTAATTCTCCAGATAGCGCATGTCATTCAACGCAGGAGCAAAAGCGATGATGTGAGCAGTTCTATAAGCTACGAAATACGCGATGCTAACGTTTCTTTAGTTCACGCTCTATGAATATTGCCTCGGCTTAGAATATAGACATTTTCATGTTGACAGTAGGAGAAACATGTTCTATTGTACGCCATTTTGCCTATTTTGCCAGTTTGAATTCTGACGTTAGCCCACAGTAAGCCCGGACTGGCATGCATACTTTGATAGGAATGGATGGTTTCTACTGCCGGATATGCACACACTGGAAGAAGTCAACGGTCATGTCACAGCAGTTATCGAATCGAGGAAAAACCCCACGTCTAATGTTAGCAAATCTTTCCGGTCGAAGGTACTTACAATCAAGTTACTCATAGTATCGCTAACCCATGACCAAAATATTTACTGTTGTGCAGTGGAGGCTCAAAACGAAAACGCAATACACCCTCATATCCATATCCTGCTCAGATCCATTCTTTCGCAGATCGATTGCTCATCAATACCCTTACCTTGACCTCCCATTACTTGAATGTCATGTCGCGCCTCCGTTTACCGTGATAAATGCAGGGCCCAAGTGCGAAAGAGATCAGATAGATCAGATCGTTCTTCGTCGTTATCCGCAACAGACAGAAGGGTCTACTATGGAATCAGACGCCAAGGAACTTAAACAACGACTTACGCTCCTATGTGACGCTTGGGATCTTTTCATGGATCCGGATGTGAGAGCAGCTGCGAAGGCTTGGGAGAAGTCAGAAACGGGCGGTAAGAGGAAGAGAGAACAGAGCGACGCTGGTCAGACGGACGGACGTAGCACACGGTCGAAAACGCGCTCTGGACATGGTGGTACGCACTAGTCTGATTTACCCAGAAATATATATATCAGAATAACAATCAACACCTACTAGGCAATCGCAAACGTAAACGGTCACCCAATTCAAGTGGGGCCACTCTCACCGAGCATGCAGTCTCACATCTCGAAAAGCGACAGAAGGCGGACAACTGGGAAACGAGCATCAGACACTGGGTTGCGGAGTCGACCAGGGCCTCATCCCTAGACCCAAGCCTTCCGCTTGATTTTACATCGATACTTGCCTGTACTACTGTTGACAGCATAACGAATGTTTGACAGTGCACTTTGAATGAGAATCTCATTTTGCGATCTGCTCAGCCTTTCGATCTAGCCGCGTTGCGTGTGTGCGAGGAGAGAAGCGAAGAAGTTTGTGGAGGCGAAGGAAAATGGATTGCTTTGGGTTCGTTGTAGGTGGAAGTCTCCCTGACATAAGTGTTGCAAATATCGGTGGTTTGCGGTGCCCAACAGGAGGACGAGTTGCATCAGACTGCAATGATGATAAATGAGTAATGAAAAAAGCAAAAGATGAGAAGCGCACATTTAGTAGATGACTGCCGGGTGACTTTTCGCGTGCACTTGTCTGTAAGAGAATGTCAGCATGTGGATAGTAGATGTTGCAGAATGCGCATGTGCATTGGCATGAACAAGGACGTCGTCGGGTGGAACATCACAGATGTAGATCTTGTAATCATCTTCGGTGTGAGCGTTTGTCACATAAGCTAGTTGGTGTGAGTCAGGTGAGAGGACAATGATAAAAGGATTCTGAACATCGAAGGAGGCGAGGAGTTGGCGGGACTCGCAATCCCAAAGCTTGATCGTGTTGCCAAAAGAGGCACTAGCAAGGCGAGCATGGTCAAATGAAAGTGCTATGCTAGTGACGAGTTTGGTGTGCCCTTCAAAGGGAGTTCCAACAGTCTCCAGCGTCAACGCGTCAAACTCGTAGATTGTCCTGGCGTATCCAAAGGATCAATATCCAAACAGGGGCAGCTTCGTCATGGCAAGGGGTAAAACGGTCCCCTTGCCATGACCAATTTTCCGAGATTGACGCTCAGGGTCAGGTCACGCTGCACGTGTATTTCCATATTGTCAGTGGATGATCGGCACGATAAACGCTGGTATGATCGCACAAGCGCCGGGAATGGAGATTACCAGGATTAGCAGAAGAATCTGTTAGAGTAGAGAATGTCATGAGCAGTTTGCGGCGAAAGTGGCCTGCCAAAGTTCAAAGGGACATGCGAGTCTCAAAATGATTGCTGCTCCTCGACTAGCATCTTACTACTCAGTTAGCACGCAAAGGCAAAATGTAGAATCGAATATATTTTGTAAGGTACTGACTGACAAAGGCAAACAATGTTTATACCGCTGAAGACGGCGGGCAAAGCAAAGTCGAACGATTCCATACCACTCGTCCGATCGAGCTGACAGTGGAATGGAGTGAGGGGAGGGGAAGGATAATCTTGCCTGCACCGAGGAATGAGAAAAGAATATGACCTTCAAAAACGAAGATGCAAGTTAACGAACCATATAATTATATGATGCTCGTTCGGTGAATGAACAAATGTTCAGCAAGTTGTGACTGCTGCTGGAACCATCGCCGAGAGTTATACCCTGCGGAAAAGGAATATCCACTATATGTGGCGTATGAACAAGCTAACAGGTCCATCGTACAGGGCAGTCTTGAAGGTGATAGAAACAAAATTTGGCCGCGGAGAACATGAGTAACAAATGCCGAAATATCTCAAGTTCTCTCGGTACACTTTCCTTCCGTTCCCACGGCATCGTCTTACGTCACAGTTCGCCGCTATTTTCAACAATTCAATCCTCGAGTATCGATTTGGCTGTAGCCTACCTCCCCAATAGCCTGACAATCATTATAGCAGCTCCCATCGTCGTTAACTTTTAAATTTACAAATATGTTCGACAATCTCATCCTGCACACTGAAACGCATGCATGAATTGCTAGGTTGAAGATTTCAAATAGCGCACCATTATCTGATACTCTGGCGTTGGCACTACATCGCTGTGGCTGTTTCTGTTCCGAGTTGTAATATCAGTCTGAGAAGTGGGCGTTCCTTCAAGGGAATCGCTGGAATCTCCAGAGACCAATTATTGGATATCAGTCTGCCCATTCCAATAGCATAGAGATGCCGCTGACCCGTCGACCGTCGGAGGGGTCGTGGATTGCCATGGTTGGTGCTCTCGCTGTATTCACTCTCTCCCGCACTGAGTCGCCATCTGCTCTTGCTCACTCTTGGTGTCCAGCTATTTTCGCCCACTCTCGGTGTCCGGCTATTCACTACGGGTCTGCAGATACTCGGCCACCTGGGTCTGTCAGTTATGTCAGTGTTGCTTTGATGCTACTAGCGCTCAGTTATTGATCTAGTGCAGGTACCATCGTTTCTTGTTCTTAATGCTGCTACATATCTCCCTTCCTCCTAGGATATCATTTGCTTGATTGTAGAAGCTGTGGGAGCCGCATCCGCTGCGCATGCTGCCAACACGAAGACAAGCGCTTCAACGGTATGTACACCATCCCACGTTTCATCTGTCATTCACATCACCGAAACAGAGCGCGAACATTATGCCAGGAGGACTTCCTGCTCGGCTTTTATGGGTATGAGTGATCCCGTAATACGTGTCTCACTGAAATTCACGTCCTTCGTTTTCCAGTTGCAGTGGTGGTATAAGTTGCTTTGGCGGTTAAGATTCTTGCGTTTGAAATATAATATACCCTTCCGCTGTGTTGAACAGCCTCGCATATCGGAGAAAGCCTAAGGCTAACGTGCTGTGAGTAAGAGCTTGCAACTCATGCTTTGTGGCATGGCGTTCTGCACCCTTCGCATCTTCATTTGGTTAGTGTTCAACGTATCCCGTTATCAGCCGTTACCGTGTACTCAAATCCGTCCTTACATCGGGATACCGTACTGTGGAGCTCGCCAATGGATGGGCTGGGCCAGCGATTGCGACAGAGGGCTACTTTGGTGCGTTGTTACTATCTTCGCTAGGAATACACTGACAATGCTCTATATTGGGTAGACTGGCTCGATGGTGGCGCAGTTACTCTCGTCATTTACATTCTCTATCTCCTTCACCCGGGCGTCTTAATGAAGAAGGATGATCCTATGGCTCATGCTTTGCAGTAATCAATCGACGGAGAAGCTAGTCCGACCTAGATTTCAAACTTTGATAAATTTTTCTACGAAGAGACGATGGACCGTCACATTTACTAGTAGAGCAGCTGTTAGGACCTTCCTCTACACTGCTTCCACTCAAGTATCTACTCTATTTACCAGCGTGTGTGATTGTCGGACATCTCTGGTACTGTTATAATAACGCCTGTTTTCTGTTTTCTGTTTCCTGACTCCCATTCTCTCACTGAAGAATCGATTATGCCTGGGAAGAGCACCCCACCTGCGTCAGAGCTCCCTCTGGATGATATTAATAGTCACTTATGGGCAGACAAAAACTTGACCCTGCTTGTTAATTGATCTTCCGTGGTGCAGAACTTGACGCTTGAAACTTGTTCCCTAGTATGACTGGCCCAAATCCCACCATCCAAGTACTCAAGCAGAAGACAAGGCTGCAAACGAGTCGAGTACTAAGAACTTTGGGTGAACATTCTAGTCGACAGCAATATAACAGAGCATACGAAAACGAGATAGGCTATATAGCTAGAGTGCAAGAATATATCGGGCTCATTTTTTACAACAGTAAGAAAGAAGATCGCAGATAACTCGGAACAACTTGTGAAAATGTACCACACGACAGCAATACGATGTAGAACTACACACCAATATGAACGAAAACCATCCTCTGCTCCAGCGGCACTGTCGTCTTCGTGGCGTGCGTAGCACGGTTCAGTGCCCAGGCCGCCTTCGTACAATCCATCACACCTCCGTCTTTCAAATCTGGGAACATGTTCTCATAGAAGGCTTTGACGACATGTTGTGCGACAGAGTCGTCAACCTGCCACAGCGTGCCAATGACGCTCTTGAACCCCGAAAACTGAAGACCAGCTGCGAGGTGAATCACTTCGTCGGGAGTCTCCTCATCCCCGACGGCGGTATGACACGCTGATAAGAACGCGAACTCTGCGTGCGGGATATCTCTCTCCATGATATCAAGCAGCGTTAGATCTTCGTCTCTCATGACGAAATGGGAATTGTAAGGCTGCTTTGGGTCCTGCTTGCCATGACAAGCTAGGTGCACCCACGTGTTTTGCTGCAAAGCTTCGAGCGCACCTGCTCGTGTGGCTGCGTCCCCAGAAATAGTAGTGTGTCTGGCCGTCGCAGGGACGAGCTTATGAACCAGCTCGAGCTCGCTGTCGACGGCCAAGAGTGCCTTGCCTTTCCCTGCACCCGGTTGACCCTGTGCGATTGTCACGAAGGATGAAGTGACACGCTTCTTCATCATCTGTCTAGATCTGACCAGAGCCGAAAGTGTTGGCGTATAAGAGCAAATATAGAGATCCTCCAGACATGATTCCCTAGAGCCATCTGGGTTGGTTCGAAACGGGTGAGCTGCGTGGAGAGGAATAGATGTGAAGGCTGCAGTTGGACACAGCCAGATTCGACAGTATTTCAGTTTCAGATCATGCCTGAGGACGTTGACGATGGGTAGCATGATCTCGTCCCACACTGTCCGCAAGAGGACTATGAGATCGTTTCGCGGCAATTTAGGGCCCAGGGTAGATGCGTGTCGTATTGCCCTGGCGAAGCGATCCTTGAGATTGGTCAGATCTGCGAGACGGACAGATGGCAAGGGAACATGATGGGGGTCTCCTGACGTGGGAACGATGATGGCGCTGCATGAGTATTGGCTCGCAATGAGAATGATGACTGGGCCCTGGCGCGCTGCCACTTGCAGGTCTGTATACAAAGGCGGGAGCAGGAACCGCGAGAACCCCCGAAGATCACGGATCTCAGATATGGCAGCTTCCCATTGCCTTGTAAGTCTCCTGTACTCTATTGCAGCCCGATCAGCAGCAGCTGTGTCGCTGATTGTCGCAGAACTTTGGGAAGCACTGGAAAGGAGTTTGCTCAGCTCCAAATAATTGTGCGCCAGTGCCGGATTCGCTGACTCAAGGGCTTCAACTGGAGTCCTGAGTCTGGAGGCCAGCGACCATTGCTGGCCACGGCCCTGCTCCACAAGTTCAACTGCATGTGGTAGATTGTCACAGCGGATGGCACATGATGCTGCATCTGCTGGGAGCGTTCTGGCGTCATGGAAGGCAGCAGCAGCTTCGCGCCGTGAAGTCGCCGAAGACCGTGTTACCAAATGAGCATCCAGAAGCTCAAAAAATGTCGAGTAAGCTTCCAGCGCAGACACATGACCATGCTGCTCAACTCCAACTGTCCAATTGAATGCGATAATGATGCGTGCTGGGAACCCTTGAGTAGAATGTCTTGATGCGAGTCTGGAATTCTCCACTGCGAGAGACAAATCAGCAGGATCGTATAGAATCTGGTAACGAGACAAATAGGCCTCCTGCAGGCACATGTAGCTGAAAAACCTGTCCGGGTGTAGTAAAGACAGAGCCGCCAATGATTCTTGACAAAGAGCAATGGCCTCTTCAACATCTTCATTCTTTCGAGTTTGCGTGAAACGAGAGCAGAGCGACGAGCTCAAGTTGAAAAGAGTTTTATGGCGCCCTGGATCATCAAGCTGCTGCAACTGAAGGGATTCGTGATGCAAATCAATGGCCTCGTCAAGATCCTCTCTGACTCGCGATTTGTCATATCTATTTTGGAGCGCAAGGGCAAGGTTGTTAAGTGTGGTGTCACGACGTGGATGCCCAAATGAGCGCAACGTCAGGGCCTCGCGATAGAGGTTGATGGCTTGGGTCATGTCTTTGATATCACCGCGTTTGTTGAAACGGTCGACGAGGGCGCCCCCTAGGTTGTCCAATGAGAAATCCCGAGATTCGTGACCAACAGGGCAGAGGTGCAGCGCTGCTTCATACAAAGGGATGGCCTCATCGAGGTCATTAGGATTGTCTTGGTACTTAAAGCGGGACCTGAGTGAAAAGGCCAAGTTGTTCAGGTAGGTATCACGGTCAGCGTGTCCCTCGGGACACAGAGACACGGCTTCACGACCAAGCTGTATGCTCGTGTCAAGATCATCTATACTGCCGTGCTGATCAAACCGTGCTTCAACTGCTTGTGCAAGCTTGTCGAGGGTTCTGGGACGAAGTTGATGGCCTAGAGGACAGAGCTCGAGGACGACTCTTTGAAGGTGGATGCCTTCATCGGATGGGTCTGTCGGAAGATTGTTGCATTCTTCGATCACATACTCAACACCCTTTTTCCCTGCCGCAATGCTATGAAGGTAGGTGCCCTCTGGACAAAGAGGCAGTAGCTCATGATAGAGTTTGGCGGCTTCCCGAATGTCGCCAACAATACGTGTCTTGTTGTGGCGCCAACTCAGCGCTACGGCGAGAATGAATAGGGATAAGGGATGATCGGGATGGTGCTGCGGACGCAATACAAGGGCGTCGCGGAAGAGAGAAGTGGTGGTATCAATATCTTGAACATCATTTCGAATGTAACCTTTGAGGTGAACCCACGCGAGGTTGGTGAGAGCCGTTGCGCGGTCTGGATGGCTGACGGGACACTGGTTCAGAACCAACTGAAAATGCTCCATAGCATCGTTCAGGTGAGAAACATTATCGCTTGTGACATATGAGGCAAATCGTGCGTGGCCTGCATCCGTCTCTCGACCATTTTCGCAGTCTACAAGGAACTGCAGTCCGAGTTCCGTCAACAAAAGCTGACAGGACAGAGTTCGGGGTCGCTCACATCAAACAGTGCGTCGTTTTGATCGTCGCAAGCATGTACAACGGCAACCTTCAGCGTGATGGAAGGTTGGACACCGCGCATGGCTGGGAAAGATAGATCTACGAGATGTCAATATATGCACACGCATGAGAAGCGAATCAGTCACCAAATGGGTGATCTCCATGATCGAGTAGCTCATCCCACGACATTTGAAGTTCCCCGATGACCTCTCCACCGCCTAGCATTCGACCAAGCTCATAGGATGCCCTGATCTCCATTGACAATGCAGGTGAGGCATTTGATGGTCTATAAACCAATGATCAGTTCTCGCATCACGTCAGAAGGTGTCCATGTACGTTACAGAGTTACAGTATCCCCCCACGCTACAGATTTATCGGATGATAAGACACCGATGGCCGATTTCCAGCGTCTCCTCGAGTCCACATTGATGGACACGTAAATGCCAGCGGGAATGCGCTCGGACGGGACTCGAACATTCTTTCCGTCGATGACTGTAGATAGAGTGTGATGATCACGAAATAGATACGAAAATAATATGGAGAGACTCGCCTTCAAGTCTGATATATCGATTTTCTGAGCTACCAGGCATGATGTTGTGATGGAGCAAAATGATGAGATCGAGGATGGGTAGTAGAGTGCTGGACGGGATGAATGGGAAGGGAAGATGGGGTGATGATATGGGGACTGTGGATAGAGTTCGGCTGAGTGGGAGATTGAGGCGTAGGGTGCAGGTCACGCTGCACGTGTATTTCCATATTGTCGGTGGATGTTCGGCACGATAGACGCTGGTATGATTACACAAGCGCTGGGAATGGAGATCACCGACCAGGATTAGCAGAAGAATCTGTGCTAAAGTAGAGAATGGCATGAACGGTTTGCGGCGAAAGTGGTCTGCCAACGTTGAAAGGGACGTGCGAGTCTCAGAGTGATTGCTGCTCCTGGACTTGCATCGTACTACTCAGTTAGCACGCAAAGGCAAAATGTAGAATTGAGTATATTTTGTGAGGTAATGACAAAGGCTAAAAAAAAAAAGTCTATATCGCTGAAAATGGCGCGCAAAGAAAAGACGAATGATTACATACGACTGGTCCAATTGAGCTGACAGTGCCATGAGGGAAGGATGATCTTGCCTGCAGTGAGGAATGAGAAAGAATAAGGCAAGAATACAACCAATTGTATTCTCGTTCGGCAAAGGACGATTCACGAACGAAGTATTGAGGAAGTTGTGACCGCTACCGGATTCACTCACCGACGAGAGATAACAAACCGAACCCTGCGGAAAAAAATATCCATTATAGGTGGCACTGCATGAATAGGCTGGCAGGTCCATAGTGTAGGGAAACCTTAAAGGTGACGGGACCATACTTTAGCCAAGGACGTGGTTGTTGACATTAGTGCGGCTTTGGGCTGCAAAATGGCAGAGGTTACAGGAGCGGATCATTGCAGTAAACATCTGAATGTGGAGCTTCGACGTGAGGGAGGAGTTGTATTCGAGGGAAGGGTGATGTCAATGGAACAAAGTGCAGAGTGACTGTCGAGTCAACGGTGAAAGAAACAGGGTGAAGTGAGAATCACCAGAGGCGTATCTTGTAGGAGATAGACGTGGACTCCAATATTATCATGTGAATGATGGAGGTGGTGCGGAAAGCTACTTTACCAAGCGTAAATCGTCGTGCACTACGTCCCCCTTGAACTGCATCAAGTAAGAAGAGAAACTTGGGTTTCGAGACCGTGGTCCATCGAATTGCAACATGCCGGCACATCAAGCGGCGGCATCCCGTTCTCACGGTGTTTCTTAGCAATTTCCTTGCATATGATCTTTCAGAATTTCAGATCTCAGACCCGGCTTATGCATTCTATAAATGATAGCATCTTGTAATTTAAAAGAGTCCAAAAGAGACTACACGGACCACCAACAACACCGAATAAGTCAGACAGATAAGACGTTACACCGTACGGTCTGCAGGTAACATGTCGGACATGGAAATACATACGAGGGGGTCGGGGTCGTGCGCGTGCCAGTAGTTATGCCAGAGATGGAGGTGCATGCGCGTGGCGAGTATCGCAAGGATAAAGACCTGAAAACTATAGGGTTTGGGGGGTGTTGTAAGTAGCAATCTCAACGGAAGTTGGAAGTGCATACCGTTCGAGGAAGTTTGCGGACTGGGCGTGCAGAACATTAACGGTTTAATCATATTGAAGGGTGTATGGTTTACTCACAACATAGGAAAACAGCACTGGCGTGAGGACGTTCATGGCTGAGAGAACTTTCGGAACAACAATCATCGATAAGCACAGAAACATATCCAAACCCTGACTCACACAAACTGCATGCGTAGTAAAACATATTGTGCTTCACTAGGATGGCGCCCAGATGACCCCTGGCTGTCCGCCAGCTCTGTATGGCACGTATGAGTGCGAGGAAGAACAATCCTGGGGAGAGCGCTGGTCAGTCACGGTGCATGTCTGTAATGTATGCGTCCAGTTCCGGGCGACACACCTAATGCAAACACAAACGAGGGGAGAAATGGCATGGAGAAATAAATGATGCGCATGTTCCAGGAGCAGCCTACGGTTCCTGAGATTGTGCTAGTCGTAGCTGTGAAAGTGGAGTGAACATGGGCGAATAGTAGTGGGCGAAGGTGAGAGTACAAACCATCAGAGGTGGCAAACCAAAAGCCGATGAATGATACAGTGATAGCCTGAGTGATTCATCAACATTGCAAGGTGTAGTCAAGGTAGCATGTGACTCACAAAGAGGGCGGACAGCATGGCTACGAGTACAATTCGATTTTTGTTCCAAAGCGCGTATGTTCTGAGTATAAAAATACCTGAATGAATCAGATAACAAGCACGTGCATGTCGGAGGGGAAAGGGAGATACATTCAGAGAAAGTGAGTGATACCACCCCAAGACCTGTCAGAGGAAAGAGCAAAGCTCGGCCAGGAAGCGCAGGCAACATATACCGTGCACGCACATGAGTAAATATTCATCAACATCCAGCATTTCTGGCGAATTCACGCAGTCAGCGTCATTCATCAGCGGGCAAGTCCGCTGCACGCTCACAGCATCAGCATCCTTGTTTGGGGCGAAGATCACTGAAGGATGGCATGTCAGTTTATTATCGTTGGGATGTGTGGTACTGTTTGAAATCAACGCACTATATAGGTCCGCAGCGACGAGGAAAAAGGGGACGTATCGTGCAATGATATAAAGAGCTTTGACCTTAGTCCAACGCGACCGAAGCAGAAATGTCCACTTTGGACAGCATGGTATCAGTACTCGAAGCGAGGCGCATAGCGGGACAAGTGCATGACTTACCTCTTCGTGAAGTGAACTAATGTAATCATAGGTCTGGATAAACAGGATTAACGGCAGATGGGAAATGGATTGGGACGAGCCTACCCAAATTGTAACCAGCGTAACTGAGTTGTTAAGTTAGAACGAAGGGAGGGAGAAGCAATTCAGACCGCACGCACCGCATGTATACTGGCGGTCGAGCATGATGAGTATCTGTTAATATCTTGCCCTTGTATTACGACGTACTGCCAAGTAATGCAAATCCCAGGCCGTTGCGACTTGGACACCGTCAGCCGAAGGCTCCATCTCTGCTCTCGTTCGAGTGGCAAAGAAATAGGTTTCGCGCGTACATGATACAGCTTTTCTTATCTCTTGTGAATGAGCCTATTGATTTTGGACGCTCGCATGTGCCCATTGTGTCGGTCCTTGATTCCTGTTTTTGAAGTTTGAAACACCATCAGTCCTTGAAAAACACAACCACCATAGAGGGACTCACGTTTATACAGGCTTTGATCAACTCGGCCGCTTCCGACGTACGCTTCGAGAATAGTACGGCTTTGATACGTGGGTGATCATGATATGAAAGCAGACTGAAAGAACCCAACAGCTGACGTTGGCAACGTTGAAGGCTTGACATCCGGATCTATACCTGATTTGTATTAAACCACCTCAATGAAGTCGCGCCATATGTCCATTGGCATCGTCCACTACCTATGAGACTTCCCCAGGTTTCCGACAACTCGAAAGCTTTATGGTATCGAACCATATGCATATCCCTTGTTATCGGTTCAATTAGGAGGATGGATGTATTGATCTTGAGAAGTCTGGCATGATGTCCACAAAACAACTGCGCATGTTGCTAGAAAAGAAGACTGGGTCGACCTCCAATCAGTGACTCACGATAAAGAAACTCGGAACCAAAAATAGACCGGGTTTTATGGATGACTTTCGGAAGTTCCAGAGACCGGGCCCATTCCCACGACATCACTGTACATACGAAACTCTTCAAGATAGCAAATCCAGTGTACGACCTCCCCGAACCACCATCTACGCTGTCATCAACTCAGGTATGAAGTGATTTCAACTTACTAATCATCTTCAATGCGCAGTGACTCTGCCAGTACGTAGAGTCTCGACTTGGCCGCTACGTCCCCAACAATATGGCTGCTCCAGTCGTTCCCATGGTGCCTTTCAAAGTTACAAGTATGTCTGAAAATTCTGATTCTACACACTGAAATACATGCATGAATCACAGGACGTGTGCGCTTGTTTATTGCCTCTCCTAAGCTAATCTCACCACCTCGAATCTATCCATCTGGCATACTGACGCCCATTCCTGCACGCGCACCAACCGCAGGCCTGAAAGCAAAGACAGCCCATCAGCGAATGCGTCCATCGGAGAGAAATTTTCGTTATAACGTTGACGGGACCCAGAGGTGCTTGAGGACGAGTCGATCGAAGAGGTACTGACCTTTCAATAAGTACGAGTAACTCCAATGTTAAATTATGAGTGCTGACCATGACAAACAAATCTTGAATGTCGTCATATAATAAGTGCACGCCTTGGAAGATTCAACTTGGCACTAATGTTAATGCGGATGTAGTAAGTGGTGCACGGCGATGAGTCAAAGCGGGGTTGAAGAGACTACTGACTTCGGTGGGTGCACATGTTGAGTTGGATGGCTCTACTTCTAACATGGCAGTGGTTAATCGAGTGTCCATTGCAGAAGTGCTTGAACGCTTGAAGGTATGACTGCAAGGCAAGAGTCGGGACCTGGCCCGCTTCACAGGCCCGGCGCCTAAGTACTATCTAAGTACTCAAATAAGGCTGTAAACGAGTCGAGTACACAAGAACTTTAGTGTAAATTGTAGTCGACAAACATACGACAGAGCATATGAAAACGAGATAGCTGGAGCGCAGGAATATATCAGGCCAAGTCATTTGTACAACGGGATGAAAGAGGATCGCAAATCAACAACTTGTAAATATGTACTACGTACTGCATGATAGCAATACAATGTAGAACTACACACCAATATGAACGAAGACCATCCTCTGCTCCAGCGGCACTGTCGTCTTCACAGCGTGCGTAGCACGGTTCAGTGCCCAGGCCGCCTTCGTACAATCCATCGCACATCCATCCTTCAAATCTGGGAACATATTCTCATAAAAGGCTTTGACGATGTGTTGTGCGACAGAGTCGTCGACCTGCCACAGCGTCCCAATGACGCTCTTGAACCCCGAAAACTGGAGACCAGCTGCGAGGTGAATCACTTCGTCGGGAGTCTCCTCATCGCCAACGGCGGTGTGACACGCTGATAGGAACGCGAACTCAGCCTGCGGAATGTCTCTTTCCATGATATCGAGCAGCGTCAGATCTTCATCCCTCATGACGAAATGGGAATTGTAAGGCTGCTTTGGGTCCTGCTTGCCATGACAAGCTAGGTGCACCCAGGTGTTCTGCTCCAAAGCTTCGAGCGCACCTGCTCGTGTGGCTGCGTCCCCAGAAATAGTAGTGTGTTTGGCCGTCGCAGGGACGAGCTTATTGACAAGCTCGAGCTCACTGTCGACAGCCAAGAGTGCCTTGCCTTTTCCTGCACCCGGTTGACCTTGTCCGATCGCTACAAAGGACGGAGGCATACGCTTCTTCATCAACTGTCTAGATCTGACCAGGAACGAAAGTGTCGGCGTGTAAGAGCAGATGTAGAGATCCTCCAGGCATTGCTCCTTCCCAGAACGATCTGGCTTTGTTTGAAAGGGGTGAGCTGCATGGAGAGGAATAGACGTGAAAGCGGCAGTTGGACACAGCCAGATTCGACAGTATTTTAGTTTCAGATTATGCCGGAGGACGTCGACGATGGGTAGCATAATCTCGTCCCATAATATCCGCAAGAGAACTATTAGATCCGTCCTCGACTGCGTTGGGGTCATCTGAGATGCTTCTCGGATTGCCCTGGCGAAGCGATCTTTGAGAATCTTCAGATCTGTGAGAGTAACAGGCAAAGGAACATGATGAGGGTCTCCTGATGTCGGGACGATGATAGCGCTGCATGAGTATTGACTAGCGATGAAGATGATGATCGGGCCCTGGCGCGCTGCTACTTGCAGGTCTGCATACAGAGGTGGGAGCAGAAACCGCGAGAACCCCCGAAGATCATGTATCTCAGCTACAGCAGCTTCCCATTGCCTTGTAAGTCTCCTGTATTCTATTGCTGCCCGATCAGCAGCAGCGCTATCAGTGATGGTTGCAGAACTCTGGGCCGCACTGGAAACGAGTTTGCTCAGCCCTAGATAATTGTGCGCCAGTGCCGGATTCGCTGACTCAAGGGCTTCAACTGGAGTCCTGAGTCGGGAGGCCAGCGACCATTGCTGGCCACGGCCCTGCTCTACAAGTTCAATTGCATGTGGTAGATTGTCACAGCGGATGGCACATGATGCTGCATCTGCTGGGAGTGTTCTGGCGTAATGGAAGGCAGCACCAGCTTCGCGTCGTGAAGTTGCCGAAGACCGCGTGGCCAAATGAGCATCCAGAAGCTCGAGAAAAGTCGAGTAGGCTTCCAGCGCGGATTCATGACCATGCTGCTCGGCTGCAATGGTCCAATAAAATGCGCGAAAGATACGTTGTGGGAACCCTTGAGTAGAATGTCTTGACGCGAGTCTGAAGTTCTCCATTGCAAGCGACAAATCAGCAGGGTCGTGTAGAATCCAGTAACGAGACAGATATGCCTTCTGCAGCCACATGTAGCTGCAACACCTGTCCGGGTGCAGTGAAGACAGAGTCGCCAATGATTCTTGGCAAAGAGCAATGGCCTCCTCGACATCTTCGGTCTTCTGAGTTTCCTTGAAATGAGAGCAAAGCGCCGAGCCCAAATTCAAAAGAGTCTTATGGCGCTCTGGATTGTCAAGCCGCTTTAACCGAAGGGATTCGCGATGCTGATCAATGGCCTCGTTAAGATCCTCGCTGACTTGTAATTTGTCATATCTGTTTTGGAATGCGACGGCAAGGTTGTTAAGCGTGGTGTCACGATGTGGATGCCCAGGTGGGCGCAACGTCAGCGCCTCGCGATAGAGGTTGATGGCTCGGGTCATGTCTTCAATGTCGTCACGTTGGTTGAAACGCTCGACAAGGGCGCCCCCTAGGTTGTCCAGTGAGCGATCACGATATTCGTGCCCAACAGGGTACAGATGCAGCGCTTCTTGGTACAAAGATATGGCTTCATCAAGGTCATTATGATTGCCTTGATGCTTGAAGCGGGACATGAGTGAAAAGGCCAAGTTGTTCAGGCAGGCATCACGGTCAGCATGTCCCTCGGGACGCAGAGACACGGCTTCACGACGAAGCTGTATGCTCGTGTCAAGATCATCGATGTTGCCCTGCTGATAAAACTGTGCTTCAACTGCTTGTGCAAGCTGGTGGAGGGTTCTGGGACGAAGTCGATGGCCCAGAGGACAGAGCTCGAGGACGACTCTTCGAAGGTGGATGCCTTCATCAGATCCGTCTGTTGGAAGATTGTTGCATCCGCCGATCACATAATCAACACCATTTTCCCCTGCCACGATGCTACCAAGGTACGTGCCCTCTGGACAGAGAGGTAGTAGCTCATGATAGAGTTGGGCCGCTTCGCAGATGTCTGCAGCAGTACCTTTCTTGTCGTGACTCCAATTCAGCGCTTCGGTGAGATTATATAGGGATAAGGGATGATCGGGATGGTGCTGCGGACGCAATGCAAGGGCGTCGCGGAAGAGGGAAGTGGTAGTATCAATGTCTTCGACATCATTTTGGATGTAGCCCACAAGGCGAACCCATGCGAGATTGGTGAGAGCCGTTGCGCGGTCCGGATGGCCGACCCGACACTGGTTCAGAACCAACTGAAAATACTCCATAGCATCGTTCAACTCAGAGACATTTTTGCTTTTCATGTATGAGGCAAATTGTGCGTGGCCCCCATCTGCGTCTCGAGCAATCTTGCAGTCTACGAGAGCCTATAGTTGGCGTTCCGTCAGCAAAGCTAACAGGACAGAGTCCGGGTCACTCACATCAAACAGTGCACCGTTTTGATCGTCCAAAGCATGTACGACAGCAACCTTCAGTGTGATGAAAGGTTGGACACCACGCACGCCTGGGAACGATAGATCTACGAGATGTTAGCATATGTGCATGAATGAAAAGCGAATGACTCACCAAATGGGTGATCTCCATGATCGAGTAGCTCATCCCACGACATTTGAAGTTCCCCGATGACCTCTCCACCGCCTAGCATTCGACCAAGCTCATAGGACGCCCTGATTTCCACTGACAATGCAGGCGAGGCATTTGATGATCTATAAACCGATGATCAGTTCTCGCATCACGTCAGAAGATTTCCATGGACTTTACAGGGTTACGGTATCCCCCCACGCTCCAGATTCATCAAATGATACGACACTGATGGCCGATTTCCAGCGTCTCCTCGAGTCGACATTGATGGACACGTAAATGGCAGCGGGAATGCGCTCGGACGGGACTCGAAGATTCTTTCCGCTGATGACTGTAGATAAAATGTGAGGATCACGAAAGAGATACGAAGATAATATGGAGAGACTTGCTTTCAAGTCTGATATATCGGCTTTCTGAGCTACCAGGCATGATGTTGGATGGAGCAAAATGATGAGGATCGAGGATGGGTAGAGTGGTGGACGAAATGAATGGGAAAGGAAGATGGGCGTAAGGATATGGGGACTGCTGATAGAGTTCGGCTAAGTGGGAGATTAAGGGTTCAGGTCACGTTGCACGTGTATTCCATATTGTCAGTGGATGTTCGGCACGATAGACGCTGGTATGATCGCACAAGCGCCGGGAATGGACATTACCAACCAGGATTAGCAGAAGAATCCGTTATAGAGAATGTCATGAACAGTTTGCGGCGAAAGTGGCCTGCCAAAGTTCAAAGGGACATGAGAGTCTCAGAATGACTGCTGCTCCTCGACTCGTATCTTACTCCTCAGTTAGCACGCAAAGGCAAAATGTAGAATTGAATATATTTTGTAAGGCACTGACTGACAAAGAACAATGTTTATACCGCTGAAGACGGCGAGCAAAGCAAAGTCGAATGATTCCATACAACTCGTCCGATCGAGCTGACAGTGCCATGGAGTGAGGGGGAGGGGGAGGGGGAAGGGCAGGATAATCTTGCCTGCACCGAGGAATGAGAAATGAATATGGACTTGAAAAGCAAGGATGCAACGAACCATATATGATGCTCGTTCGGTGAACGAACAGTGTTCGGGAAGTTGTGACTGCTGCCTGATTCACCCATTGCCGAGAGTTATACTCTGCAGGAAAGGAATATCCAATATATGTGGCACCGTATGAACAAGCTAACAGGTCCATCGTGCAGGGAAGTCTTGAAGGTGATAGAAACAAAATTTGGCCGAGAACATGAGTAACAAATACCGAAATATCTCAAGTTACACTTTCCTTCCGTTCCCACGGCATCGTCTTACGTCACAGTTCGCCGCTATTTTCAACAATTACATGTACATTGAAGTGTGAGGTCATGTTTAGGGCAAGCGGAGTCCCCCAGCTCTATGCTCGGGGGACTCGGTCACATTTTTATTGCAGTTAGAGTCGCTGAATACAAGTACATCGAATGGACGCGAACGTTTGGGGCCTCGCAGAGAAAGAGAAGAGCTAAGTAGTGAGTTTTGAGTTTTCGAGAGAAAACGATACGAGCTAGAGGAAACGCTAATTGACGAATCCCCTTTACAGAATTTACTCCAGATATCCCGACTTATTACCGATGTCGCTGTGATAACTATATGTTTCCTCTTTCTCTACTACCATCTAGTTTCAACCGAATCCTCTGTTAACACTCTGCTTTCTGGTAAGTTGTCCGATATCATTTATTGCTAATAACAATGTGTACATCAAGGACCTCGCTCACACTAGCATGCAGGCGTACTTGACCTTTTAATTTGCTATGAAGCGTGACTCACAGCCGCGCGGTACAACACTACCAGTCATCATTCCTCAGCAACTGATATACCTTGGCTATCAATCCAAACGCTTACTCCTCAACGTGAGTTATTTGTCTTCATTAGATGAATGATATACACACATCCTACAGAATTCCCCGAGTACGATACTTATTCAACCCAAACCCGACGGGGACGATCAACTAGGAGACGAGGATGAGGAACTGATACTTTTAACGTAAGTCCTTTTCAGCACTCGAGCATCATCGCCTGAGTATGTGATTTCATGTTAGCCTCTTCCGAACCCTCCGCTCCATACCCACAAAAAATGAGACGCAAATGAACACAACTATAAGAACTTCCTCCTGCAGATTCGACCCCTTAACCTGTCGATCACATGCACGAGCCAAAGCTCGACGACGAGCGACAAGCACAAACGAGATAGAGAGGACATCCGCGAGACCATACGTTCCCTTTTTAGAATCTGCGGCACGCTGTCATGTCGTCAGTTTTCATTTACTCTTGCATTTTCTCATACTTACAAATCATTTCAAGAAGTACACGGGTGCATCATTCCATCGTCGAAGCTAGATCCCACGATGCGGACGCTTAGAAGACTGAGGGATTGCACTTCAACAAGTTCTCAAGTCGGCTCCTCTCATGTTCACACGTGAATTCTTGCAATATCACAGGCTGGTCTGAATTAGCCTTTCGTAAGCTGGCCCACCTCATCTCTGATTAGAATTGCAGAATCGGTAAGACTGACATTGAAGTTCAACGTGCTATTCCGAGTTAACTGCCTCAAGGGCATTTAAACGACACGGGACGCAATACATGGAAGCTGGCGAGTTCACTCCCTTCCCCAGCCATTTCTCACACTCTACTTGATTCACGCTGATCCACACCATTCGAGTGCTTGCGACTGGCGAGGGAAATCACGTATCCGATGACGGATTCTAGGTCAGATCGTCCTCAAGAATTTTGCAGCTCAGTACGCGACGCTCATACAATCCATCATAGTTGCAGCACTCCATCTGACAATATCCAGGCCATATGTATTCAACGCGAAATATCCAATACTTGTTATCTGGAAGATCGCACACGTATGAGTTCTTCTTCTCGATCGGAACCGAACTGATACGTCTAATAGATGCATCTTATTGTGGTCCCGCGTAACTTGTCATCCACCGGAGATCTGCAGCCCAAAGTTCAACGCCGTGTTCTCGACATTCTATTTACGCAGATAGTACCCGCATCATCCGACGTCTCAGGGACAAGCGCTAACATCAAGCTCTGACGAATGGGGTTGGAGACCCTACGCCAAATCCTACAGGCGTCTGGTTTGTTAGCAGTGATCTCCAAAACGGTGTTCTCCTGCAAACCGTATTTGATCATATCAATGGGCAACTAACTGACGCTCGGACTATCTTATTGGTGTCGTGGGTGCACCCCTGCAAGCGTCACCCCATCTAACTAGGTGAGAAGCGAGGAGAAGTAAATGCGATGAATAGAAGGGCGCAGGGTGCAATGCGCAGCTGCCATGCAGAGGGGGCGTCTTAGGGTACATATGTGCGAGGCAGCGTCCAAGGCCAATAGCTGCACTCACATTTTGAACCTCGTTGCTCTTCAAGTTCTTCGCTGCTAAGTTCTAACGTCTCGGTAGCACCAAAGTCTCGTCCGTGTGCCCAGCGCAGATGAACTGACATTCAGCTTGACCAGGGAACCCATCTTGAATTTCTGCCAGCATCAGTGAGAGAGCACGCTGGCAATGAGACGCCTCGCCTTTGAAAACTTGCAAAGAAACCTTGCCCGTACTCGATTACAAGGTTTCGCTCACAGGAGACGCAGAACCTGACCTCCCAATCGTCCTTCTGTACCGACCTCTCTTGCGACACGAGTGACTTCATCGGTGAAGAGACTCAAGCTTTCGGTCATGCCATCGACGGTCTCCTTCAACTCCTTAATTTGGCCACGCAAGTCGACTTCAATCTTCTTCGTCAAGTCACCACCAGCCTGGCTGGTCCAATTCATGGCCATGAGGTTAACATTATCTGTAAGAACCTGTAGCGAATGTCAGACATGATATCTTTTTGCATCTTTGCGCCCTACCTTCCACATGCCCAGCACATCGGGGACATACGCTTGCCCACATAAGATACCTTCTATACCGACTTCCAAAGACACACGAGTGACTTCGTTGGCAAGAGTAGACAATTGGGCAACCATAGAATTGACAGTCATCTTCAAATCTAGCATTTCTCCCTGCACATTGACGTTGACGACTTTGCCTAGATCGCCCAAGGCAACAGCTTTTGTGACCTCTGAGATTGATCGTACTTGGTCGGTCAGATTACTAGCCATTTTCTGTCCCGCGACATATCAGCGACGAGAGCAGAACACTATTTATATAACTCACGTTCACATCGAGTGTCAAGTCAGCCCAGGTACCCTGCACGCCTTCTACGCGAGCCTGACTACACAAAATACCTTGCGTTCCGACTTCCAGCGCGACACGAGTGACTTTGGATGCGAAGGCGCTCAGCTGGTCCACCATGGAGTTGATAGTGCCTTTCAAAGTTGACATCTCGCCTTCAACCTGAATCAGAGAACTTGGCCTAGTTAGACACCAAACCGAGCCATTCAAGATTTTCGCGAAGGAGGGATGGATCCGAGTGACTTCTCCTTGGGTGGCAGAGAGGATGGGCGAGGTGGTGACACGTCTGATGTCGAGGACGTAGTAGCAATTCTCCGGTCTGGGATGAAAGGGGGTGGTGCCTTGGTGCTAGACGGAGGCAGCTGGCGAGGTGGTGGTGGCAAGGCCATCATAGAAGGACGAGTCTTGTCTACAATGGAGGGCACGACAGAAGCAGTCCTTGAACGACGAGTTCCATCATTGGCGCCAGAAGAAACTTTAGAACTCGAGCTTGTTTAGCGACTAGACGGAAAGTTTGCAGATAGTGTGCCTGGAGAGAAATTATTAGTCATTTTGACCAGACACGGTCCGTGAATGACGTGCTTACCATGTCTTGTTGGAGACGGTATGGTCGTCAAGCCACTTGTTCGCCAGCATGAATCCAAGGACAATGAGTCGGAACGTGGCATTGGTGACCTCTTCGTCCATTTCGTCTGTGGGATCGCGACTCACGAACTCGTTCTGCTCGAATTGAACGACGACATAAGGTCGGTCGTACGGAGATGACATTAAGACCACGCGCAGATATGGGCTTGACGCGAATCCGACCCTTGGACGTGCCCGTCGAGTGGAGGGTCGCGGTTGAGGTCGAGGAGGCTGACGGATTGGTCGAGAGCTGCGTGGGGTAATTGGGCTGACGACCAACAAACCGACGGAAGAGCGCGGTTATGAGGTAGAACCTCGGGCGGGCTGGAAGCCTCCGCGTCCTCCATGCACTACCCCGGCACTTCCATCCCTAGCTACTAATGTCACTCGTCCTCCCATGGACTGCATACGATGTTAGCTGTGGTGAGGTGGAGAAGGCAGAGCGCGATCAATAAGCCATGCCATAGCACTATTGAAATCATAGCCGTTCTGAGAAAGTGCATCTTCAAGCTCAGATGGCGCAAGGGTGGATCCAAACACTGAACTGAGCACATCGAGAGGTGTCATCCCATCTGTGAAGTGCCCTGTTCCCTCCACGTCGTCGACCGACCCATCGAACTGCGGGTCATAATCATAGCCATGCTGGTAGTAAGCTTGTGCAAGCGGATCATCGGCTGAGGTTGAGGTACGGTCAAAGTCGGCGATTGTAATTGGATGGAAGGAGTTGGATGATGTCTTTGGCGCGATTGGATCGAATGGGTCGTCTTCTTCGTCTTCCTCCCCTGGCTGAAGAGACGAACGGAGGGAGCTTGGAGTTACAGCTCTAGGCTGCAATGGATCACCCAGCATCAACGGCGCGGCGATGGAAAGATTAGAAGTTGCTCTGAGCTGGCTATGAGACCATAGGTCAGGAGACGGTGTCTCGGTTCTATATCCAGAAAGAGTTCCCGGAGCGGACGAAGCTGCAGCTGCAGATAGGGAAACGGAGGGAAGTTGGGTGCCAAAGTGGTGGGAAGCTACGGCAAGAGGACGACCAAACATGAATGCTTGCCATCTAGGAAGAATGATGGCATGTACGTAAGAGAAAGGATGGGACGTACCGTTCGAGTAATATGATATGCCACCATGCCCAACGCTTTCTCTCTGCAAGCTCCTTGTTCATCCTCCACCTAGGTGGGTCGCGGTGAAGGCCCATTGCTAGGCCCATGCTAACTAATTCGGCGCGAATTGCCCAAATTTCCTCACTATCTGCCTTGCTGAGATTTACATAAGCTGGCCCGAGAATGAACACCAACCACAAAACTCGACTGAAAGACAAAAAACCAATCAATCCCATGTCGTAGAATAATGCGTACAGTAAATGTGCAAATCTGATGTTACACTGTGTACAGGCCCAGAAGAAGAAAAAAAGCAGGATAGGTATACACACAATAAAATGGTATGGTACAAATCATTATTCAACTTTTGATATGGATGCGCGGTATTAGGCAGGGTGGCAGCGGTGGCACGATTCAGCAGAGTCGACGACGCGATTGTTAAGTGAGATTGTTGTGAATTGCGTGCGGTCATGATGCGATGAGATGCCGGTAAACAATCGATAAAGTAATGGGTATGCGTCGTGAACGTGGCGGTATGACCGTCGTCGATCCGCGACCGTGCAAATACAGGGTATAACGAAATGCTCGAGAAATAGACAGGACCAAGAAGGAGGTGGTTGTGCGCGTCATTTAGGATCGTCCCACAAAAGTTGTGTCCTTGCCAGGGAACAGGAAGAGGCGCCTCAACGGTTGAACCACTTCGACCTCGACTTCGACCTCCTCAACCTCGCCATCAACCATGCGATGCTCGATGTGTTTCTCCTTCTTTGCAGGAGGCATCATCACAGGGTAAGTCTTGATATTATCGTATGACCACGTGCGAGCTGAAGATACAATTAGTCACACAATTAAACAATCGTCAAAGGCAGAACATACTTTGTGGTGCAGGTCGGGATGAGGGACTAAGCGATTCGGATGTAGTGTCGCTCAAGATGCTGTCTTGGCTAACTTTGCTGGGATGCCGCCTCAAAGGTTTTGCAAGACGCTGGGATAATAAACCCCATACTCGAGTTATTTCGAGTGAGCACGACGTCGGGAACGAGTAAACGACCCTCTGCGCCTCGTTTGAGTAAAGGGACTTCACGACGACGTCGACAGGACAAAGATGTGGAGGTAGAAGACAGCGGAGGTGATTGTGCAGAGGAAGACGCCGAGTGGGGGAAAAGTGACATATGCAACTCATGTCTGCGAGAAAGAGGAAGGGAATATTTGGTATACAACTCTTCGCTGTCCGACTGACCCGACTGAGGAGGAGGCAGGCTGGAGGTAGGACACTGCGCGGCAAGAGCACTAGATGAGTTTGACTGGGAAAGTGCCGAAGTCCACTGAACACGGCGACGTGACGTTGCTGCAAATGAGGTCTGGGCTTTCTCGGACCCACCAGATGCATTGTCCGAGCGTGTGGAGTATCCGCCATAGACTGATTGACGCCACTCACTACCGCCGTCGGTCCAACCAGGAACTGGTTTCCTAGGTTGAGGCGGTCTGCTGTAAAACGATGAAGGCTTGGCATGTGGCTGGCATAATATCTCCTGGATACGCTTGCTTGCCATCATTGTGCCGCCCTGATAATCGTTGCGATACTCAGGCAAGGACGAGGACGTGCTATCAGCCGGTGACGACATTGGTGGCACAGAAGGCAAGGGTGGGAAGTTGTACAGGGCAGCAAGTGTAGCCATACTGCGAGAGACAGTGACCAATGGTGAGGAAGAGGTAAAACCTGAATCAAAGGATGATCCGGAAGCGCTGGTGGACTCGTCTTCTGATTCGCAATATCGGCCCTCGAAAGAATTATGAGGGACGCGAGGAAGAGGAGGCGATGAGCGATCAGGGTGGTGATTGAGTGGGTAAACGCCATCGCGTTTTGCCAAGTCTTGGAGACGACACTCATCCGAACAGTAAAGAGGGATTGGGCCCTGATCAATGATGGTACGGTGCTTGACAGGTGCGACGGGTTGTTGAGGCTGAGATGGGGAGGCACGACCCTTGTGTGCCGTTGCGGCTGAGTCATATTGCTTTATTGCACCATTAGGCTTGACGCAACCTGTGCCCTGCAAACAGCCATTCTTCGCACGACCGGCCCCAATTTTTATTCGGGAAGTGCAGGCAGTAGAATCACTCTGTTGATTTTTTGACGCTAGAAAGAGATATTTAGTGAGTTGGTTGTGGGAGTGAAAGGTGACAGTTGTTGACAAGACTCACGAGATGATGATACTGGCGATGGCGTGGGGACCGGTGTGGGTTCTTGAGGTTGTGGGAGGACCTTAGGCCTGATTTGCCTGTCACAGACTGGACACCAGGCTTCGTCAAAGTGCATATCCAAGGTAAATGTTCTAGACCAGATTGTAATGGAACTAAAAGATGAACGCACGATTGACGGCTGTGTGGAGTGTGTCACAAGATATGCCACCCGATGACAACGAGCGGTATGGACGTTGGGGACGACGACGAGGAAAGGAAGAAGTGAGAATATGGGTGGATGGGATTGGACGTAGAAAAGAGTGTCGGGGTTTCATTATTTGCAATTGACTGGTGATTCGCATGCACAAACACACTAAAGGGATTATTGGAAATTGAGTTATTACAAGTACTGTCGGCTACAACCTACCTCGGATCCTCGTATACCCCGCTATTGAATGCGCAACTGATACGACTTTCAGACTTAGACGCGTGTTTGCAACACCATTTTGGAAAAGGGCCTCGATCTGAAATGCTACAGGCCAATCTGAGCTATGATGACGTTGATGAGACACTGCTGCGTCGCGGCATCAGCATCTGATACAAAGGGACCAGGGCACGCATGCAAGACTTCCACGATCTTTTTTGTAACCTCATATTCAGTTACTTCAAAGTCTACGTTTCGAATGATAAACTCCATGAAAACGATGTGGGGATGCAAGAGGGAAGAATAGATCGGTTGACCAATAAGCTGAGCCACTGAGAGCCAGTGACTCGAGTTCGGCTGCACAGGTAAAACTTACCGATATGTACGATATGCCCTTCGCCATCAACCATGATATTCCCATTGTGACGATCCTTGATTTGCAGGATGTAACGCGGCCATGGACTGGGTGAAATTGAGGCGGGCACGCTGGAATGCAACGGTCTCTTCTCCGCCATATTTTGAAATAAAGAAGTCAAGCAGGTCGTTTACTGTGGCTCTTCCCATCTCATCTCGAGATGTAGCATTTGGCACCACGTCAATGACACCGCACTATGATGTATATGAGTGTGGTCCAGTGTAAACGAAAAATAAAAGGTACTCACTCCAGCGGCAGTTGCGGTATCCCTGTAAGGGAGAAGATAGAGGGTCAACCCAATGCTGGTGAAGATGTTTTTGACGATGATTTGTAAGGCCAACATGTCTTGTCGGCAGTCGTCGCCAACTTTGAAGATGGCCTGTTGCCAAACATCATATTCCTCACGTTTCTCGAGTGCGCCGTCCAAAAGACTCTGGGTCGGAATCAATAATGATTCGCTCCTTCCTTACTTTAAAAGCAGCCATGAACGGCGCCTTCGGTAAAATTGTATTCAGCAAAAAATAGGCGCAAAGAGTGATCTACATACCTACATACCTATCTTATTGGTATCATGGGTGCGCCCCTGTAAGCGTCACCCCATCTAACTAGGGGTACGGATCATCCTGAGCAGCCCTGTCCCCAAATCCTGCGGCAACTTGAAAATCACTTCTAGTATTATGTACGTATCCCTCCTCACTTTCATTACATAATCTTGTCCTGCTTGCTATTTGTTGACCGAAGGTTAACGATTTAACGTTTCATGGCATGTTCATTTCCACTCAGCACTGTTGGTGTACGTGCGGGCCTGCATACACGAGCTTGGAGCTTTGAAGCTTGAAAGTCAAAATTATGTGGTCCGACGTCGCCCTACCCTAGAGCTTCCTGAATCCTCAATAAATTTATTAATGGTAATTAGGATCAAGAACTTCGGTGCGGGAGAAGCCGGACCGCCATGACCCGAAGGCTTCCTGAAGTTTCAAAGTCTAATTCCTGGGTTCACCAGTCCGAGTATATTACGATACAAGGGTCAACTGACGGAGCGGAAGACTTTGTGTATACAGGAGTGAGCTGCTGCAGTTTTTTCTTTGGTCTTCATCATCCTGCTTCACATCAGTCATGAAGGATGGAAGATGTGTGGCACGCTCACACTCAGTTCAACTCTCGTTCCCCCGCACCTGTGTCTAACTCCTCTCATAATCAATATTCGCCGCCGTGACTATTACCCACGCACTTGGATCCATCTCTCCTCATGCACCTCCTTTCCCTTGCGCTGCTTTCCCTGTATCCGCACCACGTGTTGACAACTTCACCGGGGAAGTTTGCCCCCGTTTTCTGGAATGCAGCTCTTGGTGGTGCAATGGTCTTCTGCGGGGAGAGCTTGATGAATGCTGGAAAGGTGACTATATTCAGGTTAGGTACGCGGATACAGCTTGCGCGCGAAGGTCTAGTTGATAGGATCGACCTGCGTGATCGGCCGGGATCAAGGCCAGCGCTTCCGTCTGAAGTGCGATGGCCTGATCTAAGTCATAGTCGTTGCCTTGGTGCTCAAAGCGGAAGGAGAGTCGAGTCGCAAGGTTACTTAATAACATGAACCGATCTTTGTGACCGACCGGGACCGAAGCCAGTGCTTCCCTGTGAAGTGCGATAGCCTGGTCCGAGTCTTCGTCGTTGCCTCGGTGCTCAAAGCAGGAGGAGAGTATATTCCCGAGGTTATTTAATGACCTGAACCGATCTTGGTGACCGACCGGGTGCAAGGCCAGCGCTTCCCTGTAAAGTGCGATAGCCTCATCCAAGTCTTCCTCGTTGCTTCGGTGCTGAAAGCAGGAGGAGAGTACGCTCGCGAGGTTGCCTAATGACATGGACCGATCTGTGTGACCAACCGGGCGCAAGGCCAGCGCTTCCCTGAGAAGTGCGATAGCCTGACCTAAGTCTTGCTCGTTGCCTCGGTGCTGAAAGCGGGAGGAGAGTACAATCGCGAGGTCATTTAATGCTGCGGACCGTTTTGTGTGACCGACCGGGAGCAAGGCCAGCGCTTCCGTGTTAAGTGTGATAGCATGGTCCAAGTCTTCCTCGTTGCCTCGACGCTTGAAGCGAGTTTCCAGCATTGCAGCTAGATTAGCTAGCAATGGCCCTCGGTAAGCATCTCCCATATTGCTGTATCCCAGTGCATCATAATGAAGGGATATCACTTCATCTAAGTCACGCGGTTCATCTCTCTTCAAACACCTCTCTACTCGATCAAGGAGTTGATTCGGCGATAACGGAAACATGAATCCAGCAGGCCACTCCTCCAGAAGACCATTTGCATCCAGACTTCTAGCAGAATGTAGAGCGGATGTTTCGATTGCAATTAAAGCTGCCCCGTAAATGTGGCTGTCGGCGTGGCAGCCATCAAGCACTTCGCTCAGTAACTCTTGAGCTGTGTCCGCATCTGTTTGTAATTTCCGCCTCGCAAAGCGAGAGAGCAGAGAAATGGCAAGATGGAATTGGGTCGTGGGTCGGTCTGGATCACCAGTGGGACGTAAATCAAGTGCGTCTTGAAACAGAGAGATAGGTATCCTGAGGTCGAAGTATCTTCCATTAGCTTGGCAACTGATAAACTTCGCCATGGCTAGATTGAACAGTGCTGCAGGGCGGTAGGGATGATCCACGGGGCAGAGATCCGAGGCCCGTTCAAAGTGGTCTATGGATTGGTCAAGATCCGTACTGTTCTGAGTCCTGCGGTATCGTGCGAGAAGACGATGTCCAGCCTCTGTCTGGACTGCCAACCCATCCATATCGCGAGATGTAAGCTACACGTTACAGCGATCAGGATCAGAATACAAGACTGGATTGATCGCTCACCGTAGTAAGGGGACAAAGAACGTCGCCGTCGTTTTGATCAGAAATTCGCTGCTCCACCGTTATCAACAGTGAAGTACAAGGGGATACGACATCCTCCTGCTTTGGCTGAAACATTATGGCTGTGATACTCGTTAGCATCCGTGAGGTGTCATTTGCAATAGATAATACTGACGACGAGACCCTTCGCTGCGATCCAGTAATTCTCCGACGGAGATCTCGAATGTGCGAAGCAGTTCTCCATGACAGACCATGGGACCCAATTGAAATGAGGCATACACGCTGACCCGAACTTTAGAAGATAGATCGCACGGTCTAGAGTATTTGTCAATACCTGCAAGACAGGCAATGCTACATACCACTTACAGAAAAATGTGCTGGTGCCATTCGAGGACAGCCTGGTCTACGTGTACAGATTTATTGCTTGTCTGGTATTCAGCACCGTCAGCCTTGACCACCGCATGAAATCCAGCAGGGATACGTCGAAGACCGAGAGTGAGATCAGTTGCGCGAATAGCTTGCAAATCGTCAATATTTGCATAGTGGAGATTGATGTCACATACTAGTAATGACAACTTGCTGCACCGCACCAAGGTTTATCTCTCCCGGGTCCTGGGCGTGTTCTGGGTAGCTTGGCTCTTCACTATAAAAAATACGCTCTTTGTCAGGCATGATTTAGATGACCAGTGCTTCATATACAGACTCATCCTTTTGTTGCCTGAAAATGCGAGATCAAGTCCATGCGTATGCTATACAACACAACGACTTACGATCGTGGACGCTTTGAACCCTTGGATTTGTTGTCGTCTTGATTGCCTGACAACTTACGCTTACGTTTTCCCCCTTTGAAGGGCTCGGTACTAGCAGCAGAATTCTCTACTGGTGGAGTTGGGGAAGCGTTACGCGATGACGCTGAAGAAGAGTCTGAATCAAAGTCTGATTTTGATAAGCTCGAAGACTCGAAGGTAACACGTCGACGACGGGCCATGACGATGTCTGAGAAATGGATTCAAACTAAGACTTGAGAGTAAGATGTGTGTGCTGGAAGTCACGAAAAACTGCAGTACCTGTAAAGTCGTAAAGGATTATGAAGGACGAAACCACAGGATGCACATGACATCCACACCATGCAGCACCTAGATACGTCGAAAGGACGGAAGGAACTCATAGGATATGAGGCCGCCCATAGCCACATTGAGTTTGTCAGACTTGTCCAGCAGACGCACATTAATATTGTAGGATCTGATATCGATGAAAGCCGCTGAAATGAAAAGGCTGGGAAGCTGAAGCGCTGAGGAGTAAGGTGTTAAGGTGCATGGAGACAGAGAAGGAGAAGGAGGTACTAGTTGAAGTGTCGGAGTCTCTGACTCTCGTCGATCCGATGAATTTGATCTGCTATAATGTCAAAGGTCCGTAGTCCGAGTTGGAAGACTTTGATTCATCAACCTGTCTTTGTTAACTCTCTTTATGTCAAAAGCCATGCACGCACTTACGAGATTCACCGTGACTCTGATCATCTTAGCTTGTCCGAGTTTGATGACATAGATATCCAAGAAAGGCTCGTCACGGCGCTTGAAGGTACTTGATGTGATGAAACGAGCCCCTTGGCATGAGCGCCAGATTTCGGTCCTGCATGATGCATCAACACTATCCCTAGTACTTACTGTAGTTAACAGCTAAGGACTGAAATAGCAGTAATACTAATACATACGATCATTTGATGCTGCTTCTCTTTGCGCCCATGTCTCCGAGCGTGACGCGTGATGCATAGCTATAAATAATCTTTGTAACTTCTCGACAAACTCGACAACCTCCCCGAGGTCACATCGACCTCTTCTTTGAGCAGTGCATCTAGATCCGGTCTTCCAGTTTTCGTCCTAACGCCGCGCAGCGACAAGAACGACCGTGTTGAGAAATTTTTCCTAACTACCGTGTGTTCGGGATTGCTTTTCGTCTCAGTCAAACCTTGAATGCTGGAATCGTCTTCCCTGGATGGGGAAGCTGTGATAAAGATGCGGATAAGAGATTGCCAAGGAAGGCGGAGCAAGCTGAACAGCATTGATAAGTGCTTCTTCGATCCATTGGACAAACTCTACGATGCATGACGTTAATAACCTTAAAGAAGAAGCTGTGGATTGCTGTGAATACACGCACCAGCCCCACGAATAGACCAAATGAAAACCACGCGTGTGCAAGAGCTGTTCCCCTTGCGTACGCGTCTATAAGAAGGATCAATCATCAATGACAACAATCAAAATGAGCGCGCCTACTCAATGATGTCAAGGAAAACCGAGACACCAGACCCGCCTGAATTCGATCAGTACCATGTAACTACGAGACAACATACAACTCACCTGCCACCAATACAGAGGTGTCGTATGAACCGAGGTCAGGAGATGGCCCGTAAGGACCATCTACAGTTACTTTTTCGTGAAACCTCCCTGCACGTTGACCAAAAATACCAGCTCCTTCCAGAACGGAGCGCTAGATCCCGTAACCTCAGCGCTGGATTGATCCCCCGCTGATGCAGTTGACAGCTGACTAGAATCAAAACTCGCAATAGTAAAGGGGTGCGCTTCGAATGGCAGGGTCGAAATTGAGGGCATTATTAGATACGCCGTTTGTCCTGGGGACCAATGGAAGTGCGGGGGTTGAGATAGACGCAATCGAGTGACACTTTCGGAGAGCATTTCAGTCGCTGCATCAATTGTCCCAGTTCCTGACTTGAACTCAAAGTAAGAGTGGTTGAATACGAGTCGAACCGCCCGGATGAAGCGATCAAAAGCCCAGAACACAAACGAGGGCCATATCTACTAGTACGACCCGCTGTTCGCTGCAAGTCAGAAACCAAGCTGTCTGTACTCGTCTGCACTTACTGAGTACCTTTGGTGTGGTCGGAACTACATTATGAGTGTGTATGTTTGAACTTGCTTGCTGTAGAAGCTCAGGCTGTGCTGCCACAGCTAAGCGCGCATCAAATGTAAATCGTACGCCCATCCCATCTCACTGCCACTGCTATAGTTTCTAGTTCCAAGGTTTGAAACTTTGCATCTCCATAAGTCTTTCATTTACTCGGTCTACGCATATGCGACTACTCAGTACTGTCAATTTGTGTACTAGATCAAAGACCAATCAACGTCATGCACGTTATACAGCTGTAATCAGCGTGCGGTAAATTTGGTCTCAGAGATGCGCCAAGAAAATGCGGTCCCCAATGAAATGAAGATGGTGCCCAACCGTGAGAAACATCAGTTGTAACTTGTACTCACCGCTGAACGCTCGAACTTTGAAGTTTGAATCGAGTGCAACACAGTACTTCATGTCCAACGGCACCAAACCACGTGTTGACGATGAGGACGACGTCGGTGATCTCGACGGTCAGAAGCCGACCATGTTTTCATAATCTAGATGCGCTCATAAAGGTCAGTAGATGACCTGGATCAGTTTACTCCGTCCAAGGCCCCCGCGTCCAGTTCATCCCAACCATCGACGTCATCATCTGCTGTGAATGAACCAACCTCGTCTTAACGAAATGCGTCTTCACCAAATGCTGACTTCGAAGCTGACTTTGCGAAATCTCTCGCTGAAGAAATGGAGGTTCTTTGGCGCGGTTTTGCGCAACAAGGAGTGACTGAAGGTTTAATCGATGAAGACGAGACTGCAGAACAACGAGAAGAGCGGGAGCGCACGCTCGCACCGGCTTGGGAAGCCATGCTGATAGAAGGGGTGGATGGCACGACCGACCCATCGCTCACACAGGGAGCACCACCTATTGCCCCGAAAACTGGCGAAAAGGATGACTTCCAATCACGCATGCGAAACACTATGAACAAGCTCAAGGAGAGCGAGTCAGGCTTGAAGTCATCGGATCCGAGCAGTTCTGCTCCTAGTCCTGATTCATTCGAGGCGCTTCTATCTCAATTCGGAGACGAGGATGAAGAAGAGATGCAGGGTGTCCTAGAAGCCATGATGGGCCAGCTTATGGGCAAGGACGTCCTGTACGAGCCCTTAAGAGAACTCTCGGACAAGGTAGGCCTGATCTTGACTTAGCGAAACCTCTGATTTTTTTCCCTTCGTCATATTTGCAGTTCTCGGACTACCTCAAGGCCAATGTAGCTACATTACCGTCCGGTGATAAGTCACGCTACGATGCACAGATTATCTGCATGAAGCAACTCCTGGAAATTTTTGAATCGAAAGATTACGCTGACAACGACGACGAGACGAGACTTGAAATCGTCGACCTCATGGGCGAGGTGTGTCAGCCCCAAGTCTACTAAACTCGAAATAGCATTGACATCGCCGGTACAATCACAGCTTCAAAATCACGGGTCTCCCCCAGAGGAAATCATGGGCCCATTGCCCCCCGGATTGAGCATGGGCGCCGACGGCATGCCAAATATGCCGGATAGGGCGTTCCTTCACCGCACTGGCGGCAACAGCTCTCACTCGAGCTTGCTTCATAGGACCACGTCTCCATCCTGCCAACTCCCCATCTTTCTGATCAGCTCTTTGCCCTACCTGTCACTCCCATCGTGATCATCAGCCGCGAAGAGCGCAACTACAAGAGTTTCAAGAGGTTCGTTCTAGATCACATCTTGCTGCTCCATCTGTGCTGACGTTGTCGATGTACTGAGTTATCGCGCACCATAATAAGTATACTGGGCATTCCTTCATGGCAGAGTACTTCGTTCCAGTAGTTGCTTTTTACTGGAAAGACGTGAATGGAACGAAGATGGAAAGCAGAATCCTTCAAGTCGATCGGCTGCTCGTGTCTCACTCTCCACGAGCGGAACAGCACTTACATCATAGTTTATCTCGTACTGCACGCTCCAAAAAAAATAAAATTTTATTTAGTAGGGCTACTAAGAAGGTGTTCCTTATGAATGTTCGTCTGGGAATACACGATTTGCATGGATCAGGATGTAACATGCTACGGGAGGCGTACCATCATTACAAAAAAGAAAGTTTCAAAACTACAAAACTGGATACAAAGGCGTAGACGGCCGTAGGTACATGTGAGAAGATTTCTGCTGTTCAGAATATAACGCGTCATTGTGGCAATTCACCATCAATCAAAGAAGATACCGCCATCGATCGTTATCTATCAGTGAATCATCAGATTGCGTCCCTCAGTACGAGTGAGATATGATATGCTTACTGTTTGGCCTGCGAAACAGCGCATTACACCCATCAGTTGCTAATCTTATAAAACCCGGCCATGTACGATATGCACACCTGTGATGAAACGCGCTTCCGGAGTCACCAGAAATGAAACCAAGTTCGCAATATCCTGGGTACTTCCGAGGTCACCTACGGACGACAACCGTTTGAGCTTGAAGTAAGAAAAAATGTTAAAGTTAGCATCTCATGTACATTGGCAAAAAGGTCACCTCATCGTAAATGTCGTTATAATCTGCTGATCCAGCCAACCTAGCAACTACACGAGGTAAAGTTAACCACCATATATTAACGCACAGATAATGAAACTTACGCATTGGTGTTTGAATTGTTCCTGGCGCATATGCGTTCACTGTGATTCCGTTGTGACCAAGTTCGATGGCTTGCGGAGAATGTTACTGAGGTAGGGCGCTTATAAGACTATAGAAGTGCACATACCTGCGGTTTGCGTCAACTCTCGGATAGCAAATTTAGACGCACTGTAAGCGCAGAGTGAAGCATGCCCTGAAAAGATACGTCAGCATGCAGGAAGAAACAATTGCATATATAGACCTAACATTCTAAGCCGGGGTGGACGGGTCATGCTAGGATGGCGCGCTGTGAGCACGCTGGCTCACTAGAGTTCCCATAATCTACATAAATACTGTCTGCGATACTGAAACGTGAGCTTTCAGTATCACTGCCTTTTGGTGTAACAGTTAAGTGAACGACAGTCTTACCTTACACGCGCCTGCCAAATCTCATGGCGCGCGGGTGCACACCACGGTGCCCGAGTGTGCCCTATCAGGTGCGCGCACTGGGGATAGCACGATAGTACCAGGGGGTTTACGCACGTTGGGAAATAGCGCTGGCACGAGGATGTTGACGGCCGAGAGAACTTTCGGAACAGTAGTCATCACCGATGAGTACGGAAACATGAAACATGCAAAGTCCTGACTCACAGAGACCGCATACATAGTAGAATATGTTATGCTTCACCAAGATGGCTTGCAGAGGGCCCTTTGTCGATCGCCAGCTCTGTATGGCACGTGTGAGTGTGAGAGTCATCAATACTGGGGCGAGTGTCAGTGAGCACGCGTTTGCAATCTATCCTCCTAGTCCCAGCAACATACCCAGTTGAAACACAAATAAGAAAATAAACGACATGAAGTACAGAACACTGCTTGACCTCAAGGGGCAGCTGGGGGAGCCCGGGATCGCGCTAGTCGTAACTGTGAAAGTGGCAGAGTGAATATGTGCGAGTAGTGGCAGGAGAAGATGAGGTCACAAACCATATGAGGTAGCAATGGTGGCAAAACGAATGCTGACGGATGTCACGATCATAGCCTGGCCGATTCAGCAACCATGAGATTGGATGCGTTGAGGGAGTGGGACTCACGAAAGCAGTAGACAGCAGGCCTACGAGCACGATCCTATTATTGTTCCAGAGCGCATATGTTCTATCATGAAAAAACCTTGATGAAACGGATGAGGAATGCACATATGTTATGTAAGAAGCAAATACATTCAGAGCAAATGGCTAATATCTGACTGAGAGTTGTGAGAGGAAGAGCACTCAACAGGGACCTGTATGGAGCATGTACTGTGTACGTACATGAGTAGACATTGATCAATATCCGGCATTTCTGGCGAACTCATGCAGTAAGTATCAGTGTAAGCCCACTGTATATCCACATACATTGGGGTATCGGGGCGAAGTTCACTGAAATACAATACGTCAATTGTTGTCAGGAAGATCGTGCCGGAGTTAATCGACGCACGACATAGGTACATGACGATCAGAAAAAAGGGGAGATGTCGTGTCATGATATAAAGGGCTTTTACTTTGGTCCAGCGCGACCGACGCAGAAATTCCCACTTTGAACAACGTATTGTTAGTATCCACACTGAGATTGTCACAGAACGAATCATTACTTCTTCGTGAAGTGCACATGCATAATCATAGGTCTGCATAAACAAGTTTAACGGCGGACGGAAAAAGATCAGGATCAGCTTACCCAGAACGTCGTCATCGACACTAAGCTTTCAAGTTAGAACGAGGAAGCAGCCGTTCAGACAATACGTACTGTATAGGTACTGGTGGAATATGTATGTTAACTTGCTCTCGTGTTGTTAAGAAAGCGACGTACCGCTAATCGCTGCAGACTCGTGGCCGCTGAGACATCGACTGCCGAGTACTCCATCTGAATTTGTTCGATAGTAAGCAGTGAAGAAACGGGATCCTCGCACACATGTCATGCACCTTCTTATCTCTGAAGGAACCCGGCACGATCGGGGTGTAAATATTTGGAACAGCATTTGAGCGGCAGGCACCATAGACTCGGAGTAAGTCTGGCTGCGTGGTTAGTACGGTGAACTGATTGGTGAGCATGCACCAGTACATTTGAAGGTACCTAGACAGCAGACAGCGAGAGTCGAACATCTGAGTCCAATAGACTGAGGTGCACTTGCTGACAGAACTATTAGATTGATTGATTTTTAGAGTTTCATAGATTGAAATATTAATTTCTAGAAAGGCGTTGCTCCGGGTGACTAACGGACGAATTAAATCGCCTTGGACTCGTGTTTACACAAGCAACGCTTTATTAACCTCTTCTGATCAACTTCGGCCGTGTTAAACGCACGCCTCTTTTGACTGTAATACACAAGTAATCATATTGCGCTGGAGGTATGTATAAGTTTGAGCACTTGACTGGCAGAGGTACCTCACCAATCGGTTTTAATCGTTTTATAGCGCTGCTGTACTTGTGTTAGCATCGGAATCAGTACGATATTACTGTATGCATTAAACGCTGTGTAGTTGTTTCTCCAATATGAGGTGGCCAGTTTTCAAGTCGTATGTGCGCAAAGTTGACCCTCCCGGTCCAGATAGAGAAGACACGCCTAGTACCATGTTTGACTCGTGTGCACACCTGAAATTGACATTATGATTATGACGCAATATTATCATGCTGGCTGAAGGCCATGATCGGATCCTCTGCATCATATATACTCCGCCATACTGCAGACGCATGAGTGAAGAACAACACGGAGCATACCTATAGAACCATCCGTGGCGTTCAATGCTGCCAATACATTGTTGCTTGTAGCGGTCAGGACATAATCACCGTAGAATTTAGGTGCGGTATGTGGAGAGCCATGCAATGGTACGCCAATCAATTTCGTGTTCCAATCCACTACACCCACGTCAGATTCTTGTAAGGCCAAGGGTATTAGTCTTGGGATATGGAATCGAAAAATGTACAAGGTCTTGGCAACGTGCTGTAGTTTTGGGAGTAGTGATGGCTAGTGGTGTGGTGGACGAGGTGGAGATAGCACCAATTGGCTGTGAAGATGATGGCAACATCTTGAAGCGTCGTGATCAAGCGGCCAATGAGTTCGAAGATCTCATCCTCCATCTGACGTGTCAACAGTTGAGCAAACTCCGGACGCAGAAGCTAAGTAATGAGATGAGAACGGCACCACACTAGATATGTAAGCTTTCACCTTGAGCATGAATGCAGAGGCGAAAGACGCAAAGACAAAGTGGCCTTGAAGGATGATGAGACCAAGAGAATCACCAATTAGGGCAGTATCTTACCATCAGGTGCAGCGCGCATGAGACCACTAGGTGTCAGTACTTCGATCATTTGCTCGATGATCAGCTTTGCGGAGGCGAAGCACTGTATAAAGCTCATGAGGATGCTTTGGATACGGGACCACAATAGTACTGACCTTGATGGCAAACTTGAGCGCAACCTGATCAGCACCCCAACAACGAAACGATAGATTAGAAACACACCTTGTCCCTGAAACGTGTACAGGCTCTTCAGTGGGTGCCCCAGGAGGATGTGCTGGAGGATTCGATGTCGCTTCAGTAGCATAGGCAGGACTTGAGATATAGGGAGTAGCCTGAGAGACTGTGGGCGTAGGCATGAGGGAGGGTGTCACTGCTGGAGATGCCGTCCATTGTCTTTCCAGGTTGCTTGGAGAAGTCGTCCCAGATAGACTTTCCGCGTCCATCGACATTAGCAGATCCTTCGATCTGGAAACTCGCTGTAAAACACGTCATTGCATGATGGCAGCGGTAAAAATAGTGAAACATACCAGTAGCCACGACGCACCCGAAGGTTAAGCGAGCCAAGGCAAAGTCAGTCGATCGAAATTCATGCACTTCAAGCCTTGCGATATCTGTGGTAAGACGAGCAGTGGGATGCATATAGGCGCAAACAGAATTAAATTTAAACCTACCAATGCGCCCAGGTCAAAACCACCTATGGATGAAAATTGAGTGACAGATATCTTCAAGCACCCTCCATACACCTCAGGGATGATGACAATGGCTTACAGTGAGACCAACAAGAACCAAGCGATCAAGAACTCCCGTGCAAAACACGAAAAAAACGAAAAGTTTGATAGGCTGAAAAGAGGTATTGAAAACAGAGGCGACAGAGCAATAATAGAACGCGAAATGTCCAGACAGGGAGGAAACAGAGGCTTATCGTATACCAGAAGGCGTCAAGGGCCGAGTGGGAGGGAGAACAAGGTTTGTTGGAAGACGGAGATTGAGATCAGTTAAGACCCTGTATAAATACACCCGCCGATACACCAGCCTCGACCAGGTATTCAGAAGACACGCCCCAGCCTAGGAAATCAAGTACGAGGTTTTTGGTGTGATCCAGGTCTTGGCGAGTCACTGCGAGGAAAGTTTCAGTCGACATTGACATTTAGAGAGGAACAGAAACGTTAACATAAGTAGTTCTCCCTAGCGGCGCTCTCAAGTTGCTGAGTAGCAGTTTGACGTGTTGCAGCATCTTGTAAAGGCAGGTCCTCTATTGCAGCTACTCTTAACCAGTCGTCTTTGCGTTGCGGCTGAGCAGAGTCCTTTGAGAGACGGTCTAACAGCAGCTTGTTTGAGTGCTTCAAATGTATCTCTTGACGGCGTTCCCTGAGAAGGAGAGACGACATTATGAACTTGAAGGGAGTCTACTTGATGTATGTGAATTGGAGAAGGGAAACAGATTCTTGGTATGTCGTGGAGGGAAAGTAGATATGGCTGAGTGGGAGAAGATCGGTTTCTTGGTCTCACAAGACGAGCTATTCTCGAAGCAGTTCCGTATGTAACCTGAGAAGGCGAGCCATGAGCTGGAAGTGGAATTGCGGCGAGAACTGCATCAAGAGTGGGAGAAAAGCGTCAACCAGTGGACGACTGATAGGAAGCGTGAGTCGAGAGTTCGGTAGCCGAAAGTTTAGGTGTGAACTCACGTGATTACGTTGCAAGGCGAATAGCAAGATTGGGGCGAGGGAGGAGCGAAAACAAGAGACGTATAGTTGTGGATGTGATAGTTAGATTGAAATCAATCCACCCTTTCAGTGTCGTCAGAACGGAGTGTGATGGTCACAACTGATAACATACCTGCGTACGAACATACAACCATCATCCGTCCATCCTTGACATTAAACCGAGGTGATGGAAGGGTCACGAAGGCTGTGGGAACAAGACGCTCGCAGACGAATCGCTAAAAGCCGGGTGTAGACTTGAACGCAGCGACTAAGAAATGCGAAAGGAAAACGAAACGATAGATTGGAAACACACCTTGTCCCTGGAACGAGACTGTTTGTACCAGTCCGCGGAATGACGAGTGATATAGTCCTCCTTAGTCATCGAGGGCTTGCCAAACTGCGTAGCAGTTGATTTGTCGATATTAAAACATATCATACACACGCGAGCGCGATTCAACATCTCCCGCTCCTGGCGCTCCGTCTGGGGCTGTGTCGTAGACACCTGATGCAAATTCAAGTCTGTAGCAATCCTAGGAGTGATAACGATAAGCTCTAGAAACGAAAGAAAAAATGTGCATTGCGTACCGCGTCGTAAGTCCTGTGTACAACCAGCTTCTGTCTTCCTCCCACCTACGAGCCGGGACAGCATAAATGCTCATGAGAATGTAAGCTTGACACAACTCGACAGATTTCCAGCCATCGATAAGCGCGTTAGCCGCGGAGTGCTTCGCAAAGTGCATAGCAACAGGATAGATCTCAGACTTCTCTTTGTAATAACGCGAAGAAACAGCACAAACTGTGCATCTCATGTCAGACGCGTATCAGAGGATGTCAAGAATATGGCTATGCACTAACTGTGAACAAGGAAGGACACCTTTGGAAGATGGTTTGAGAGGTGTGTAACGTGGGATCGAGGAGACCAATGAATGGCTGTAAGAAACATAAGTCGCAGCTTCTCCCTCGTCCTAGAAGCATACACATACATTAACTTGAACCTGCTTCCAGAATCTGCGTCGACAGACACGCCTCCGCACAGAGCAAGTAAAGAACAGTGTAAAACTCACCGCAAGACTAGCCACGACTTGCGCTTGGTCCAAAGACCTGCGCAGAGGAGACGAATGCATCCCGAGGACGAGAATTGGTTTTCGCTACTTTGGATGCAGCTGGGCGATTGGCAAGTGGGTCGAATTACGGAGCAGGGCCGGGGCAGGTGCAGGCGAAGTGGAGACGTTATCTGCCCAGACGTTTGCTCCCGTATCTACATGCTCATGCAGCAGAGACGATGCGCGAGGAACTGAAAGGTCAAATTAACCTGTAGTTGTTGCAGGGCCAGGTGTCTGTGCAGGGGGAGTTGGTGCAGGAAGAGTTGATGGTACAGGGGGAGTTGGTGGTACACGAGAATCTTGCGATGGAGGTGCTGGAGGTGTTGAAGCCTGTGAACAAGATGCTGCAGATGCTGCAGCGCACACAGGTGCATTTGAAGGAGCATCTGCCGCCTTCTTTGCTGGAGGAGGAGTAGCAGCTGGAGGTGTGGGTTCACGGGGTGGGCCAAGCCGTGCAGTGAGCTGCGACGCCACAGGCAGAAGCTCTGTTTTGAACTGGTCAACCATAGTTTCTATGCTGTGATTGAGAATCTCGAGGTCCGTTTCATCGAAGAGCTTGAGAAGATCTGCAACAGCCACCATCGAAATCAATAAATGCATCAATGGGTTTGGAAACGAAACCCACCTTGCACGACCTTGCCTACTTGCGGAGAGACAGCGTCCCTAACTCTAGAGAACCAGAGTTAGCTTAGACGCAGCACAGGAAATTTCCGACGCACCTAGTAGGGATTGCGCAACAACCTAAGTATAATTAGAAACTTTAGTAAATATATTATAAAGGCTTTTCACTCACTCGGAATTTGGGTCGCAGCACAGACAACAGACGGGTTTCCATCTCGGCGGCTATGCGGATCCAATCTGTCCTAGTCAAGATTGTGAACGGGAGAAACCTAAGAGTAGTGTAAAAGACGAGCACCGTCCATTTCCATATTGCTGCTATCAAGCAGTGGATTCCACTGGTTTTGTTAAGCTATTGGCTGATCGATGAGTACATACGGACGACTGACCTCAAGAATTGCATAGCGCATGCGTTTCGTATGACCGTGTCCGGGAACGACACTTCGGGAAGTTACAAGACTTGGTAGACGTGTCTCATAGACACCATCAGCGACATTTCGATATTCTGGTTGCTCATTCACTCTCTGAATCTGCGAAAATATAGACGGGGAAAGGGTAACCGTGCATCACCAAAATTACCGAATTCAGAGATCACATGATATATTGAATTTTCTGAAGCTGATCCTTCAGACCTGCCGACTAATTTATTTCCGAAGTCCGTTTACCATTTGCTTGGCGATGGCTCCCTCGTAGCACCCCCATTCTTTGACGACCTTTCCACTACCCATCTTGCTCTCGTCATCATGACGTCCCTCTTTACTGTATTCGTAAGGAATACAACTCTATCAGCTGCATTCTTATGGTCAGGTGGAGTTCGCAAGAAAAGTCTCTTGTACACTCTATTCCTCAGTCAACTTCTCGCACCTATCTCCATCCTGTCTATGCTTATCGCCCAGTTTCACCCTAATTTCGATTGCAAAATGTTTGTCAATCCTATCTTTCAAATACTCACACCTCGTTGATTTTATATGTAATCAGAATCATGCGCATCGCAGTCGCTAGTGCAGGAATATCCTTTTCTTTATTGGTACGCTTCAATAATTTTATTCATTATTTATTCATACCCAATCCAAACCCAATCTCTACATAACATAGATATCCGGCACTCTAGGCGTAAAGGCTTACCGATGCCTAGACAACTCTCGCTTAGTTCTAGTCATCTTGGTCATACTAAGGACTGCTGCAATCGTTTTCCTTGCTCTTGATCTGGCATTGCTTAACAGTTATCGCAGTCTTGCAGGTGCTTCTTCTGACTCTCATCCACTTTCATTCGCTAATTTTTTTTAAAAAACAGGCCGCTGCTACCGAACATCTAATTCCATGTCATATACTTTCATAATACTTTTATTTGTCGAATCGCTATTCGTCTGTCTGTGCTGTAAGTCCAAACTTATTACATTACCCAACGAGACTCATCATCACAGTTCTCTATGCTGTTCGGAAGTCACTCGGTTCCGTCCAGGGCAGAATTACTGTATCACTCTCTCTTGACGATGTCACAGATTCCCATCTAGACATCCAAAACGAGAGCATCAAGTGTTACGAGACCACTCACAGCTGCTGTGACAGGTGGGATTATGTTCCTACTGTAAATTATCCTGTTCCATTTACCCGCAGATCCCGTAGAACTCAGTCTCTCTCCCATGACCCAAGTATTCCCATGGGTGGTCTTTCCAGGAGTGAAAGAGTGCGTGATCCGGAGAATGTGCCCTCTAGATTGCCCATCCCACCGCTGGCTACAAAATCCCCTCTCGCTGGCACATCCCCAATTCCTCGCCGGCCATCTTCTCCTGCCGTCTCATCCATAAGTCACACGAGTCAATATATGCCTCGAGTAGCATTGTTTACAGAAGTGATGAGAGATGAAGTAAGCGAGTCTCTTTGGTTAAGGTGTTCCAGCCTCACACGCTTATTCAGTTATTCTACACCACCTTTATCACTGCTTCCACTGTCGTTTCCGTCATAATGACTATAATCGGTGTTAATAGCGTGGGCCCGGCTGATCATGTAGCTTGGATGGCCTTTGACTGTGAGTTATCTCCACTAAACTAACATCCAGTGTTTTGGAAACTCACATTGATGTAGGGGCCTTCATTTCGTGTCTTGTAATGCACAGTTTTGGTCGTGTCATCCGCCGCCACGAAAACGAAGCTTTGTTACAGCAGCCTAGCGTTTGGCATCGCAGTTTGCGTACGGACCACAGTACTGCAGATATTTCAGCAGAGGGAAGGGTAAGATCTCCTAGGCCTTCGTTTGCTGATGATGGTTTACCCCCACGTCCGGATCCAAAGGATCAACCTGCATTTGACAAGGCAAGTTTGTCTGATGCGGAATTTGCAATTAACCCTCCCTCCCGCACCTGCTTTCCTCGTTGCAATCGACACAGTGCATGACCCACACTCGTTCCTGCCTCTTGATCAAACCAACTTGGACTTTTAAGACACGTATTATATCACGGACTGACGAATAACATAGCATATATATTGTTCACTGTTCCTTGACTCGTGCTCGAGCTCACTCGTGCTTTGCCAATGCATCCCTTAACTTGAAAGCGGAAGGATCAGTGCTACCGGTAGTAAACCCTTAAATTCTCGTGCAAAGTCAAAGTTACATGCAGATTGAGGGTCGGAGACGATTCTGATATGTTCTAATAGTAATGTACATTGCAATTGGATCTATTGGTGAGGAGAATGTTGATGACGAGGAAACGAAAGCAATCTTTAGATCAGTATCCCGCTGCGCGGCGCTCGAGCTCGGCCATTCTTGCTCGCATTCGGTTCATTTCGGCCTCATGCTCCCTCGCCGCTCCCTCCCTTTGCCTCCTCTCCTCATCTGCTCTCCACTCCGCTTCCTCTCGTTGCCTCCTCTCTTCATCTGCTCTCCACTCCGCTTCCTCTCGTTGCCTCCTCTCTTCATCTGCTTTTCTCTCCGCTTCCTCTTTCTGCCTCCTCTCGTCATCAACCTCTGGTTGACGTTGCGCCCGTCCCTCCGCCAATACTGCCATCCTCACCTTCCGAAATAGATAAGCAAACAGCCCAACCGATCCCAAAAAGAAAAAGAACAACTCACCCGGCGCTCTTCCTCCTCCTTCGCCCTCCTCCTCTCTCCCGCCGCTTCCTCAAACCGCGCCCACTCGGCTCGATACTGCTCACACACCGTGTTAACACTCTCAGCCTTCTTGATAGGCTGCCCCTTAAACCGAGAGCGCCCCTCGTTCAGAGGCCTCTCCACGTGCTCAGGAAAAAGCTTCTTGAGTGCCTCCCAAACAGTGTACGCGTACCAATAGCATTGGTACTGCAACAACTCGTACATTGGGGAATGCTTGCTGAGCACGCACAACAGAATGGATACCTGCATCGCCGACGGACGAGCAGAAGCGGGAAAATCAAGCTCGAAAAGATACTTATGCGGACCAAATTCCTGAGTGACGTATGAATCGATAGTAAAGCTGGAGCTGGTGGTTGGGGTGATGGTGTCTTGAGCGGTGATTGGAGATACTGATGGCGAGACTATGACTGCCTGCCCGGCTGATCTAGATGAGCCAGTGGTGTTTTCTGCACACGTTCGCTCCAGTGTGAGGATGGCAACAGCGTGGTGTTGCGTTGGATGACGGAAATAGAGGAGCAAAAACTCATGCTCAAATTCGATGGTGCATTTGCCGTAGACCATGCGTTTGAGCTTGCATTGTGCGGAAAGCTCGCTGGTAAAGAGCAGCGAGTGCCAAAGTCCTACGTCGATGTGACTAGGCTTGCCCGCCGGGGTGAACACTCCAGGGGCGTCAGTTGGGGATGACATGAATGGGTGAAGGATCGCTGCGAGGAAATTGCGAATGCTGAAACGCTTGACGCTTTTGCTTTTGAAGGCCATTTCATTCAAGTTGCCTTGGGTGGAGACTAGGGTTGGGGCACGAGGTAGGGAGGGTGAAAGGTGAGGTGGCTCATGTGTTTGGGAGAAGTCACCCTCGTACTGTCAATCATTGTGCTTGTGATTCTTGCTCCTTAAGGCATATCATTGCTCGAGCCTCCATCCTATCCAAGTCGCATAACGACACAATCGAACATTCGATAACAGCCGGCGGCCTCTGGGAGTGGCACTTAAATTCAAAATCCAGACTCATCAAGGTCGGGAAAACATTACATAAGAGTGGCTGTACGACTGCCGAACTTTGATGGGAAAATTGGTCATGGCAAGGGGTAAAACGGTCCCCCCTTGCCATGCCCAATATTCGAACCCCGCCACAGCACGAGACTTATATCCGGGCCACTTGAACCGGAAGGCCTGGTCAATTCTAAAATGTCGTTGTCAAAGTCAACTGAGCCCGTACGTGAACTTGATAGCCGTCGCTTATCTATGGGGGACCGTATTGGACAAAAATCACGCTCTTGGTTTTATACTTTTGTTTCTGACCAAAGACTTAGTAGTAGTGATTCATCGTGAATCACCATTAGAGACGATCAAAGAAGAAGTCGGAGTCTAATTCTAGTTTGACCTTCCAAATTCAATCTTGACGTTGATTTTTGATTTTTGATTTCGCATTGTCAAACAAGACCTCGTATCCCGATGTCAACCTCTCCCACCACGATATTTTTCTGCACCACTACGCGATGCAGACATTCCCCGTGTCCTTGTTCGTGCAAAAACGCGCCTTACTGCACACAATAACTGCATATGTGGAGTGGAAGTGAAGAGCAAAGTCTTTCGTGCATGATGGTGAGTGTGAAGGTGCACGAATCAGTCGAAGAATGCTACATCCCTCGCCTTTCATGTCGATGCAAGCAGCAGCCATGTCATGCAGTGTTATACATTCGTGATTTCCTTCGTGTTCCTCTAGGTACGAATTTCTCGGCTTGACCGTGGTGCATCTGATACTTACTTCTGTACTCAGCAAGAAAACGATGTTGAGATGGATGACTCTGATGAAGAACTCAACCGTATATCAATCGAAGCATCCAAGGCGCCCATCTCTACCCAGTTACTAGGCGCCCGACCTACAATTGGATCCAAAGTCGGCGAGTGGTTCGTCGACCGTTCGAAATACATCCCTCTTCGACTCACGTATGGCGAGCGCAAGTACCTATGCCTCCTCGACGCTGCACTTCAGGTATCCGAGTTATAGTATTCAGCGCTTACTCTTCCGGGCGTGCAGAATCGAAGCACTCAAGTGCTACCGATCGTCCATCTCCTCTCTCTCGTTCTCGTTCTCCTCCTTGTCTTCTTCCCTTCTCCTGCTCTCGTCCTTGGGCTCACGGCTCAGGCTTGAAATCTGGTGAGCCTAAGTTCCCCCCAGGCCGAGCCTAAGCCAGGGCTTTGAGCCCAAGCCGGGCTGGAACATCACTACCTCCTTGTGAGTGCAACATCTGGCGCTCTGTCACCAAGGCACTTCATCGATGTCAATCTCCACCCTTCCGCCATCACCCATCCCTCTTCTAACGTCGGTCGCGTCATACAGACAATGGCGACAGAGAGTCTTCGATGAGGGGAAATCTGTGGGCATCGTGCCGACCATGGGAGCTCTTCACGACGGACGTCTGTCTCTTGGTGAGCACATCCCACACACTTCTTTTTTGAAGTCTAAAAATACCTCCTTACTAATCTCAAACCATGCGATTCAGTTCAGAGGTCACTGGCCGAAAATGAGCTCACAGTTCTTTCCATCTTCGTGAACCCAGCCCAGTTCGCCCCGCATGAAGACCTCGCCACATACCCTCGCACCTTACCAGGAGACCTGGAGCTCCTTACAGCACAGCAGGTTACTGTGGGCGAGACTGTGAGGAAAGCCTCTGCCATATTTCCACCCTCGGTCCAGGACATGTATCCATCTGGTATAAGCCAAGATGTTTCAACACAAAAGGGAGCGTTCGTCAAGATGAAGGGATACGGACATCAGATGGAAGGCGCAAGCAGGCCGACATTTTTCCGAGGCGTGGTGACAGTTGTAACCAAGCTATTCAACGTGGTCCAGGTGAGAGGGCCTCTCCGCAAGACGCAGCTTAGTTTGACAACGACTGTAGCGTACAAATGCGTATTTCGGTCAGAAAGATATTCAGCAAGCTTTACTTCTTCGGAGACTTTGCAAGGACCTGCTTTTCCCACACCCCGAAGCTGACCATGTCCATATTGTCCCCACGACCCGTGACCCGAACGATGGGCTTGCTTTATCGTCCAGAAACGCATATCTCTCTGCAAATGAGCGGAAATTTGCACCTGCGATTTACAAGGCCTTACAATATGCCAGGTCCGCGTGGTCGAACGGCGAATCCAAGGACCGATGTGTTTCAAAAGCTGTCTCTGTCATCGACGAAGTAAAAGTACAGGCTGCTATGGATGGAATGGATATGCGGCTGGATTATATAGAGATGAATGATTCGGAGACATTCGACGTCTTGGACGTGTCTTCGAACCATCAGTTAGCAGGAGATATACCTGTGATTCTGAGCGGTGCGCTATGGGTTGGGAAGACCAGGTCGATTGACAGTATCGTAGTTGGTGACCTCAAACGTATAATAAGATAGCTCACAAATAGATGCGGGTGTGGCAAGATTATTAATTGCTGAAGCGCACCCAGAGTCAGACTGGCTACTGTCCGATCCATTAGCAGTTGCCGCGCCACATCTCCTTCACCTCCAACTACTATGCCTTCCACTGCAATCGGCACCCCACAGAAGTCGGCAGTCACGCAAATGTCACAGTGACTCACGATATGTTACTTCGGCCAATTTCAAAGTCAGTTCGGCAGTCGAGCAGGAGCGCAAGGTGAATTAGTATTCGGCGTAGTAAATGGTTGAACGAGCTATTACAATATTTAGTAGTTATATCTAAGTACGAGGTTGATTGTGATGAGTGCCGTAGTTGTAAAATTGAATAGGGAAACCATGTGCATTGTATGGGTGTCCAGGCTGAGTCTGAGGTTGTCTATGTAAGTTCGAAGATGATGCAATGGGACCGCTGGATGAATTATTATTTATATGGTCAAAACAGAAATAGGTTACAAAGTTCAAAACTTTTTTCTCTTCTTGGGCTGGTACATATGTTAGAGGGATTCCCAAGGATCAATATGAGCCCGGAATGAAAGAAAACGGCGGTTGGGATGTGGAGATAAAGTCCAAATACTGACTTTTTCATACCTGTGACCAAACTCAATATTTTCGACCTCCAGAGACCCTGGGACCATCACCAATCAATTTCTACGTCTTAAAAGCACCAGGACCATTATTTACAGTATCGGTTTTGAGCTAAAAGTGACCATAGTAAGATATATGAGGTAGGAGGGGGGAGGAGGACCTTCTATATCTCAACAACCTATCTATTTGGTGCGACGGGCGCACCCCTGTAAACGTCACCCCGTCACCCCGTCCATAAATGGAAGTCCATCACGTAAGTGGCTGTCCGTCACCCTCACTTTTTTTTTCCCATCCGCCATTTTTGCCCTTGGCGCTGTCAGCGTCACCCCTTCTTTTCCCATGAGGTGTCGTAAGTGGCTGTCCGTCACCCTCGCTTCTTTTTCCCATCCGCCATTATGTCCTCTTGGAACTGCCGCAAGCGTCACCCCGTCACCCCGTCACCCTCGCCGTATCCAGTATCTCAGGCGTCACCCTCACTCATTTGGATCTATAGGCGTCACCCCGTCACCCCTGCTGTATCCAGTATCTTAGGCGTCACCCCGTCACCTTCGCCGTATCCAGTATCTCAGGCGTCACCCTCACTCATTTGGATCTATAGGCGTCACCCCGTCACCCCCGCTCTATCCAGTATCTTAGGCGTCACCCCGTCACCCTCGCTGTATCCAGTATCTTACGCGTCACCCTCCCTTATTTGGATCTATAGGCGTCACCCCGTCACCCTCGCTGTGTCCAATATCTTAGGCGTCACCCTCCCTTATTTAGATCCATAGGCGTCAACCTCACTTATCCAGTATCTTCGGCGTTATTTAGAATTTCAGGCATCACCCTGTCCGAGTCGCTTGTGATGGACTTAGTCATATTGTGAATCTCCAGCAGCTTTCTGTGAGCTCCTTCTCAGTCTTTACACTCGTATATTTACGAGTCTTAAAATAAAAACCAGGCTTTCGTGACTCGAGTGACAGCAGGATCACTTAAAAACTTGCCTTCTTCTTGCTATCGGCGCTTTGAAGAAAATGATCAAGGCCGTGACTGCTTCTTTTATGTCTCTTTATCCACGTCATCACCAGCGACTTTGACCCGCGTATATAGATCATAATATACCTTGGAGCGTTCTATTTTACTGCTCTTGTTCATCGCTGTCCTGATGCACATCGGTTTGAAGTCATGCGTCGTATATGATTCATGAAAAGAGATCATTTCATTTTGGTGCATCTATCTCACTGAAGATCGAGTCAGCTCCAGGTGTCATATAATGGATGTATAGAAAGGTCGGGAGCTGGTGAACAAGCTCCTGGACATATTCAATCGTTTTATTTTGGACCATCCTTGATTTCAAAGACCAGATAATGGCTGCAGGTGTCAGCTGCATTGTGTTGCGGACGTTCCATCACATGTCGACATGCTTGTCAGTGATGCTGGCATCCTTCGCAAGCGACGAAAATACATCCAAGGTCATTAAACTCATTTTCTTTATCACCTCTGCGCCACAGATATCAGTTCATGGGAGAACACGTCCGCATGCCTGGAAGCATCTGAGATGCCTGCATGTTCTAGGTCGCCTGTTGATCTATGAAGCCCTTACTGAGACACTAGCATGTGCCGTTCGATCTTTTTCAGCAGGGTCGACGGCTCATGTATATCATTCGTCCATCCCTGTTTGGGCCAAGGACGTGTCCAAGTATGGACTTCCTGGCGATCGATGCAATGAGTCGTACACGAGCTGTGACTACTTATTGAGGTATTCTGGTGAGATATTCGCAACCAGTGTAAAGGATATGGGCTCTGCCCATGCCAAATCTTTAACTGTCTAAAAATAGCTTTACTCCACCATTGCCATTGGGCGCAATGCGCATATCCACGAACGACATTTATTTTCATCCGATGTTCACGGCTGCCATTAGAGTCCCATCCGCCCGGAACATGATTGGACACGGGACCATAATGCAAATGTCACCGATCATTGCGTCTCATTTTTGTACCCTCCATTCATTCCAACATTGAAGAGTTTTTTTTAGGGGGCGCTTCGATCGCATTAACTAGATAAAGACAAGTACGTGTCTTTATGTGGATGAACCTCGAGTGAGAAGACTCATTTCCGGTGACATCAACCTTTATTTTCTATGTATAATGATCTAACCTAACATATCATGAGTGCTCAAACAGAATTGCAATCGCCTTCCTCCGATCACTGTACGTCGAGATCACCATGTCTCGTTTTCGTCTTGATATTTTCGTAAATGCTGTCATTAGTCCATCGTTTTTTTTTACCATGCCACGCCTTCACATTTTTTTTCGTCCCTGCAGGTGCAGGCCCGTATGTTTGAAGTCTTATAAAACCTCGCCAGCGCCATTCATCCGCCATCCAACGATAAAGTATCACATCTATCAATCTATCATCGCATATACTCTGCTTACTGATATAAATGTCGGACAACGACGTCTGTGACCACCCAGGATGCGGCATGGGACCATTCCCGACCTGCGACATCGCGCGAAAGCACCGATACCGCTACCACTCCGTCCCTATACTATTCCTGATTGGTGGGAACGAGTACGTTGTAGGCCAATCCGATGGACATTATTCGTGCCCGCTCCCGGAGTGTAAGTTCATTTCCAAAAAGCGTGAAGCTATTCAGAAGCACATCAACGTCGCACACAACACATCAGTCAAAATCAAGGTCTTTGATGCTCCTGAGTGTCGTAAGTTTCATTACAGATCGAGCCACCATCAAGTCGCACTGACCTCAATAGTTGTGGCCTCCAAACAGGTTCTCGATCAGGACAGCGGTGTCCGCGATGGGACTGGCAACCTCATATGTCAGTTTTAACACGTCATATTATGCTGTCACATGTTTACCCATTTATCAAGGCCCACAGGATGTCTGGTCCGACGATTTAGTCCCAGAAGGTCCATCCCGTGAGGATGTCTGCAGCAGAGGTGAACATACATATAATGAAAATTCAAGGTCACCGCTTAACGTAGCGTCCATCTCGCATACGCAGATCCTTCCTTTGATATGGACTCCAGCACTGTCTCATTGTCGCCATCAGTAGACTACTTGATGTCCAACGAGGTTCTAGATTCTCTCGGCGTGTGCTTTCACAGCCATTTGAGGTTCCTTATCTGCTACTCGTGCAAGGTCGCATTGACCTCCGGGATGGTTTCTGGACACAGGAAAAAGCACCATCATGCGTATCAGGTACGTTCATCCCTTGTACGGCCGCACTCTAATTTGACATGGGCATCCCACGTAACTACTAGGTACCTTCATCCACCATGGAGTCATTCCTGGACTATTGTTCGCGGTCAAATGTTCACGAGAAGCCAGAGCATGTCAAGCTACCAACAGCAGGTGGACCACCTGTACAGATGATTGCGTCCCCCGTTGAAGGTTTTTCATGCACTGCATCCGCTGATTGCGTGTATGCCGTGAAGGATTTAGGAACCATTCAGCGCCATAGTAGAGAGAAGCACAGCGTTACCGGCTTACAGGAGATCCAGTATCGGTCTTGTCTGGTCCAACATATCTTTACTGCTGTTGGCAACTCGTATTTCGAGGTTGGGCAAAACGTCATTCCATCTGCGAGACCCAATCTCAAATCCACGCTTAAGGCTACATTCCTACCTGCAGTTGAGCTTTCATTGGTCGTTCCAGCCAATACCGAACGGGAGAGGACTCCCCTGATACGCTTCATGGGTTGGGACAGGTTCGAGGTAGAACTCCGGATGAATCCAGCCCGGAGGCGGGCAGCGGAACAAATCAAAAAAAAGCATAGCGATGATGAATTTGGCGGAATTCTGACCCGTCTCGCTGCTGCAGTGCAAGACCACATGGCTAGGGCATCGACCATCTTGGATGGTCATCCTCATAGGTTGAGCCTGTCTAAAATACTGTTGTATGGTGACGCAATACCGCGAGAAACGTGAGCAGTGCTATCGCACCATAATAATTCCATTATTGACCGTGATGGACGCGTATAGGGACAATCATTGGAGGCCTGTGTCGGATGAAAACGTCGAGTATCCAGGCTTCATTGTTCAATTCATGAGGGCGATCATGCGCGTTCACCTCGGATTCCCATTGGATTTCTCGTTCGAGCTGTCTGCTGCGCAGACCCTGTGTCTCGAGGAACTTGTGACTGTGCTGGGCGACGAGAATGCCTCCCCACGAAAGAGGATGATTTTCTACCATAATTTGGCGTGGTCCCTAGTCGATACCGATCCAGATTTGTGCGTGGGCCAGCGATGGGCAAACCCTATCAAACGAGCCATCTGGCTCAGGGCGTTGCGTGCGGACGGAAACTTCTGTGAAGCGTCCGTCCTCACACCAGATCTTGCAAAGTTTAAATATCTTTGCAACGTCACATCCCTCCTTGAGGCGCTGATGGACAAAGACGAGGATACGGACTCAGTACATTCAGACGACCATGAGTGAGCAAGTCTCCCCATTCATTCGCTTCGATACACTTATCATGCCTTTTTATCTCAAGCCGCGTTGCTCGTGTTCATGATCGGGTGCTACGCCTCGGCCGTCCGACTACGTTCAACATCATCTATGAGATGCAGCAATATGCGTCCTCTTTGGTGTTTAGTCAAACCAGAGAACCCAATGTCTATGTCGATCCAGACGTCAAGTCCATCACGATAGGCGTCCACACCATGCACATGGACAAGCTGAGAGACGGGATACAAAGGCTCCTCCAGGTGTCAAAGTCGCGCTATTCCGCCCTCACCAATGACATTTTCATGTTGAAGATGATGCCAGAGCAGGTCAAGGACGACCTCACCAACTCTACTCGTGGCTATTCGCTCGTATCGGAGGACCCCTTTTTTAAAAATCGCCACGCCATGTTCTTTTACTTGGTTGATCACTACGACCTGGCAATGGTCGACAACGCAGGACGAATCGCATGGAACATCCCCGGCATCAAGGATCTGCTCAGACGCTCGTCATGCGTCTGGGAGCCCATCTACCATCTTCTGTACATCACCACTCACATCTCATGTCGCGGAACCCAGTTCGTAGACCACAAAATCAGCAATTCGGACAGGCATCGCAACCTCTTCATGCAGGGGATGGAGATGTTCCTCCTGACAGCTTACAGCAAAAGGACCGGCATTACTGATCGAGACTCATGCACCCCAGGGTTCGTTCCGAAGGACATCGCATTCTTGGTGCTCGAAATGATTGCAGGGGGGTTGCGCACCGCCGAAGCCATCCTTGCTGGGGTTGCATATGGAGCAGAGGCCGAGCATCTGTACAGAACGTGAGCATTGTCCTGAACCATCCATGATTATGGAAACCACTCTTACACATGCATTCATGTAATGTTAGGTACCTCTGCGTCGGTGAGGGCGTGAGGACAAGTCCTACAAGGTTTTCCGCCAACATTCAGCAGTGGAACCATGATTACTTCGACTGTCGATGGGGAGTCAGGGATTTCCGCCAGGGCGCGATTACCATTGGTCGTGAATTCATCGCTCCAGACGACTCTTATGATCAAGCCGACAACATCCTCGCTGAATCCGCAGATCACTCCACTGGTGTGGACCATACACACTACGGCATCGTCCAAGGAGTCGTCCCTAGATTGTCCAACAACAGCATGTGCAAGCACAGATGGCTTGGAGATCAGTGGCACAGTGTCCTTGGTCTTGGCCCCCTTGCGCCTCCAGAGGCAATAAGAATCAGGCACAAGAATATGTCTAACGGGACGACGCTCCAGGCCATCGCAGATGTGGTCAAGAAGACCACGCAAGAAACTATCAAAGAGTTTTTGGACGCACACCGCACTGACGTCTTGAAGGACACAATTTCTACAGCCATAATCAAACAGCTAAAAGACGCGACAGATGATGCACCGGAAATTTCATCGCCACTTCCAACAACATGGAACGGGGGATCGTTTCACTTGAGCAGTAATTTGGACGCCATGTTCTATGAAGAAAGCGAAGGTGAGCACCACTATGCGTTGTATCGACACCAACATCTCATTAGCTTTGCAGGTATCCGGCGAGACCCTGCTTCCTCATCAGGTCCCAGTGGGTACAATAACAACAGTGGTGAGTCCGAGCTCCAATGTTATGCAATTTAAAAAATGATTGAATGCGCCAGTTAACGCGTCCCCTGTTGTTGTGTCGCCCACTGCAAGTGGTTATATTCAATGCGGAGAAATGCTTTCGGACTCCCCACTCCCAGTATCGTCGATAACGAGCATCTCACAGACCGAATACATAGAAGGGTCCACGACATTCTCCGACGTGGTCCCAACAACGCATCAGTCCGAGTTTCCTCCATTCAAAGATCGCAAAGGGAAGGGCAGAGCTTATGAAACACCAGAACCTCCATTGGTTGATGGCGTCATGTCGTCGTCTATATCTCCTATCGCAGACATCAAAGGGAAACGGAAGCGTGGCGACTATGAGAACATCCATTCTCGAGCATTCGCCAATCCAGCTAGAGCGTCCAGAAGAAAACACGCGCCTCGCAGTGTCTCGCATCACAATTCCATCCCATCTACGTCCGGTTCATACCCAGTCACACCAACTGCACACCGCGCACGGAAGTACGCACCACGGGTCAAACTATCATTAGAACGCGTCGCGGAATCGACGAAACACGTTCGCAGGTTGTCTTCGGAGGTGATGGATATCTCCAGCGACGAGGAGTTGTCCAGTCTTGATACTATACAGCTGAAACGCCTTCGTGGGTCGAGAACATCAGTACCCCAGGTGCCTGTGGAGGTCATCAGCCTCTCTAGCAGCGGTGAGGACTCGAGCCCAGACGAGAACATGCCTATCAAACGTCTTCGTAAGACCGCAGCATCAGTCCAACAGATGCCGATCGATGCAGCTAGCTTGTTTTCTGGCGAATGCAGCCCATCAAAACGTGCAGTCACTAGTTTTGGTACACCATCATCGCCCCCAAGCGCCGTTCAGGACGTTCAAGAGAACATTAGACGAGCGATCAGACACATCAGGAAGGACGATAGTGCAACAGAAAAGACCCCCGATCAGATGGACATGCTAATGGCAGTAATGTCAGCACATACGGACCTCGTCATCACGATGAGGACAGGAGGCGGCAAGAGCATGTCGTGGATGATTCCATCAGTGATGGATGAAAATTCCAGGTCTATTGTGGTGTGCCCGTTCGTAGCTCTGCTGGACCAACAGTTCATGGCTACCGCGTCTACTGGACTACGTTGCCACAACTACTGCGTCTCCAAGGTCGTTCCGGAGAATGCACAGATTTTGTTCGTGCAGGTAGAGCATTGCTCGTCGCATCCGTTTGAAAGGTAGCTGTAAACCTATAAGGTCTGGACATGGCTAATGGTTTAACGATAGCTTCCTTGTATCTCCACTCGGACGGAAGTTCAACAGGGTGTTTGTAGACGAATTCCACGACATCATGAACTGTCATCCAGGACGAGTTGTTCCATGGAAAAATCTCGCGCAGCAATTCGGAAAGACGCTAATCAGGATTGTGCTTATGACAGGGACGGGACCACCGCACCGTATCGCAAATTTCATCAAACCATTTGGATTGCATCTTGGCATCGTCACGCAAGTTCGGTCGGATACAAATCGTCCAGAGATCGGGATGCATGTCATACAAATACAGCCTATCGCGGCCATGCAGTCTCTGGGACACCTCGTCTCCGCTCTATGCAAACTACTTGCTGAGGAGGAACGTATTCTGGTTTTCTGCGGCTCCCAGGGGGACGCACAAGCATTCGCAGTGAAGGCCAATTGTGCGGTTTATCATAGCGATCTCTGGGAGGCTGGAAATAGCAGAGCATCTAACCTTTCTCGGTGGGATTCAGGCGATACAAAGGTGATGGCATGCACCACAGCATTTGCCCAGGGTATGGACAGGCCTCACGTCCGATATGTTGTGATCTTTAAACCTTCGTACGGCCTTCTCGTCAACAACCAGATGCTCGGTCGTGCAGGCAGAGACGGAAAGGAGTCTCACGTATTTTTCCTTACTGACAGACGAGCGAAGACATACAGAGGACCACCGACTGATCAATGTATCGGAGAGTTGGACGATCTAGTACACGGTACGGAATGTCGGCGCTTCGCCAACATGACCTGCATGGATGGCCACAACCTCGCTGTGCGGTGCACGGATTACCCTCCAGGGATCCATTGCGACGTTTGTGATCCGAACAGCGTCATGCAGCGATTGTCCATTCAGGCAATAGCAAACCCATTCAGGCCACCCGAGGCATCCGAGCATGCAGTAACCCCAGTTTTTGCAAGTGGATCTATGCTTCAAGCACCCACGCATGCTCCTCCGCCCTTATCTACTGGATTTGTGCCAGTGTCGTCGCTTCTTTCGATGAATATGATTGTGAGTTTTTAAATATACCCACAATCCTATTGTATGTTTATATGCGAACTGTACAGTCCCACACGATCACCCCACAGCCTTCTCAGTCGAGCGATGCTTTGTACGACGCGGGTGCATTAGAGCTCACTTCATTTCAGGCTTTGATGCTCGACTCCATGGAGGAAATCCATGGTAAGGTGAGTATGTATTATGTGTGATATCGTACGGGAGCTGATTCTGTACCTGTTTTAGGGTAATGGTGAATCTTCAGACAAGTCATATACGGTATGCATGTGTTAAAATTCCATGCGATTATACTTACTTATTTTGACAGACCAAATCGCAGCCATCTCTAGGAAGGCCGTCCATATCGAGACTCCATCGACCTCATCGCTTCCCAGTGTGTCTCGTACATTCGTATCACGAGCGAGCGCAGTAAACACCTCACTTCATAACCGTCTCTCCAGCACTGCCCGCCTGGACAAGTACATGAAGGTCTTAAAGGACAAGTGTCCGTCACATTTTGGTAATGGCGGTTGTCTTGTCCCAGCAGCCAATCACAGGTGCACCATGGACACCGTTCTTTCGATGGATTTGTATGGAGCTTTCAAATTGAGCTTCTCATTCGAACGCTACACTTATTGTTTTCAATGCTGCCTTCCCCAATCGCGAAACAGAAACGGGGAGGAACCAGCATGCCATGCAGGCTTTTCGTACCGTAAAGGTGAAAAATGTCCATTCGCTGGGTTCATTTTCAGGCGGTATTTTGCATGTGGCACAACCCAGGATTTCGACAGTTAATGATAAACGAGATCGGCGAAGGAGCATCTTTGGCGAGCTATGAGGACTTCGTGGCATGGATTGTGAAAGATTCCACGGATGCAGGAAGGTACAATAATTTGGTAGAAGCATTTCTCTGGTTTTGCAGCGGTCTTGAGAAGGTCAATCCCAAGTTTTTTGATTGATACAGGCTGGTCCAGACGTGAGTACGCATGTCGTATACTGTTGTCCACCATCTGAAGCGATTCCAGGAGTTGAAAGGGCATCACGCGCATTTCGGTAGATCTACGGACCCTCATCCTACAATACTGGACAGTATATTTAGACGTTCAATATCCCATGTGATATGTGCACTGCTATAGCACGAATGCATCATGTATTGATTAATGTAACAGTAACAGAGTTTTGTGTACCAGGCTATGGAATACTTTGTGAGCAATGGACTAACGACTTGCAATACATGCCATCAAGTGAGACATCTGAAACAGTTCCATCTACTTCGGTTCTTATTTTATGATGTGCATGGGCTCAACATCGCCTCATAAGATTCATTTTTTCTCACTGCATCCACCAAAGCCTCTGGTATAGGGTACGAACTGAGTTGTCCGAACGGGCGTCCTGAATGATGTCTACGGCGGCATCCATCTGAAATCAGTTTGGCTCATCAGCTTCGCCTCGACCAAAATCTCAGCAATCACAATTGCTTTACAAGCCTCATTCTTCCTCATTCAATGTATTGAAGCTTGTCGCGTACCGTAAACGACTAAGATGTCCTCCGATATCAAACTGTAAACGTCATATATATGTGATTTTCATAAAGTCGATTGAAATATACCCATCGCATCGGAATGCTAATACATTTATGTATAAAATAGCGGTCGAGCTCAGATTTACAATAAATTATATATCCACATGTTGCGTGATGGACATAATTGTGAAATTGTGTCTACTGTCATTTTGTGTAGCATAATGGAATCTGGGACGGCCACTGTGGATATTTTCGGGTGCAAAAATACAATAGACGGATTTTGGAACGTCCACTGTGGACATTTATTACTCTCGTGAACTCTTGAAAGGCTCGTTGCCGACCCACCAATTCTCTATTCCAACTTCTCATCTCACATCCATGTTTACGGCGCCCAAGCTTACCTTGATGGAGCCGGGATGTGCATCCTGCATGGCTGACAACGTACCATGCTATGCGTATTCTTCCTCATCACCATGCAGAAGATGCTGCGACCGTTGTTCTCTGTTACCAGGTAAGCCGTCGCCGTACTTCTGCATCCCTCTTCACTTACAATTGTTCACAATATTAGGACCTCCCCCAAGGCGAACCCCCGTAATGCGCGCGGTTCGCAAAATGCGTCCGCGCTGCAATCACTGCAAGGACATAAAAAGGATTTGCCGAGGACGAACGGGCGAAGCGTGCATCGCATGTCAACAGCTGTGCAGTTATGGTAAGCGATCATTTTACTTATGTATTTTCTTTCTGTACTCAAGCGTTAATACAACAGTTCGAATTAATGCGGAAGAACAAGCCGTTGCCGAGTCTGAATATTATGACTCCTCCGATGCCAATGCATCTGGGACGGAGTCCGAATCTTCTGGCTCCTCCGATGACAACGCATCCGACACCGGGTCTGAATCTTCTGACTCCTCCTCCGACGTGTTAGTTTTAGATCACAAGCCTTCTAACTGGGTCGACAAGCCGAATAGGACGAAACGCGGACGAACAGATGACGACGATGAAGTGATCGTCTTAGATCGCAGGCCAGACGATTGGATAGATAAGATGCCGGGTCGGATTAAACGGAGTCGGCTTGGCTAGAGGAAGAGATGAAGGACGTCCAGAAGCATAATACACTCAGGAGATGCGCGAGTATTATAGAGAATTGGAGAAAAAGAGAGGACATTTAAATGGATGTATTATGGACATGTAGATAGATCAAGGAACACGGTCAAAACCCCCAACAGGTGTATGCATTATATTATATGTTGATACAGATGGTGTCCGTGACGCTTTCTATTTATTCTTTAGTACTTATAAAAATACAAGCGATGACCTGCGGTCGTTTGGTTGTATTGGCACTCTTACAAATCAGACATTTATATAAGATATTTTCCGTATCTCTGTCCCTGAAAATAAGTACAGAAAGATGAGCACATGTCCAGACATGAGTCTGCATCTTTCATATTGTTGTCCTTCATCTAAAGCAGTTCAAGGCATTGACAGGATATCATACGCACTGCAGTAGATCTGCGCGCCCGTATACGATTATACCAGACAATATATTGAAATGTTCAATATCTCATGTAACGCCCGGACTTCTATAGCGCAAAGTATCATATATTCGTTAATGTAACAGTAACAGACGGTTGTGTACAAAGCTATGAAATACTTTTTCAGAAGTGAACTAACGACGGGCAATACACCCCATCAGGTGAAACATGAGAGCACGTTCCATCTCCTTCGATTCCTCTTTGACGACGGACGGGCTGGAACTTCTGTGAACCTGCATAGCGATGGAGCGTGTGTCCTGATCCTTTCATATATCAGTCAAGTCCAGATAATGATTGCCAAGACTCACTATAGAGGACAATAACGACGCATTATAAGCAGGTTCCTGCTTAATCACCTCATGGTAATGTTCCTCCTTTTTAATAGGGAACTCGCTGGGCCCAGCGTGCTGGATCGGATCTATGGCATCCATCTGAAATGGGTGGAGTATCAGCATCGCCCGCACCAAAGTCCAAGCAGCTTACCATAGCTTCATTAGATTCATGCTCCCTCATTCCATCCACGGAAGCTTCTGGTGTATGTGTACTAACCAAACTGTCCGAACGAGCGTACAGACTTCCGTTCGTGGCATCCAATCTAAAAAGAGTTTGGTGAATTAGCGTCGCCTGGACAAAGATAACCAGCAGCTCACCATCGCTTCACATGATTCATCCTGTCCCATTCCATCTCCGGAATTCTCTTGTGTAGCAATAATAACTAAGCCATCTTCCGATCCCAAAGTATTGGAAGCCGTGTCTTCATCCTGCTGATGTCAGTTGTTTGGAAAACGACACGTGCGGTCTACTTACCAATGGCTCCACAGGACGTTCATGTGTACCCCGCTCCTTGTTCCGCGCGGACAGAGTTGGCTGGTAGAGGGCGTTTGTAAATGTGTACAATGTTTGGCCTTCTTGTACCACAGCCTTTGAGTGTCGTTTTCTATTGAATTGTCAGTACTTATCAAAATAGAGGCTCTCGCTCACCTGTTCGTGTGTATTAAGATGTAAAAGGTGGCTTTATCCATTTTTTCCTTCATCGATCGTGGTTACCACCGCCATGGATAAAGAAGCAATATGTAGTGACAAGGGAGTATGTGATGGACGTGTGATGGATAATGGAAGTTTTGGACGCGTCACATCAACATGTGACATTTAATACGTTGCGGACTTTGTTTATTGACACATCACATTATGGAACATTCTGGCCCAAACGGTTTTGCATTGTTCGCATGATGATAGTGAGTCTAATGTTCGCATCTCGTGAGGTATTTTCGTTTCTCCTTCGGGCTCGAGCCGTGCTGATCGAGGTCTTTTCCCACTTTTTCCAGATCATGAGGTTTCCAATGTACCTTAGAAGTCATTTTCCGCTTTTCTTAGAATGTGAGCGAGTTTATCCTGTTGTAAGCCGAGCCTCGCTGATTTAAGCTACTAAGCGTCCGTTGTTTAGACATGAGCGAATCGCTTCTTTGTCGAGGTCAAGCACTTCCGACCAAATATATCAGTTCTCGTCACGACGTCTGTACATTGATCCGCTATCAATCTTTATCCTCTGACGGAAGAATGGACAATCTATTCATAGCTTATAACTATCATACTCTTATAGCTACGTCCTGTCTTCGATGCAATTGCTTAATAGTTATGTCAGGGTGAGTGTATTTATTTTCCGTCGCACTCGCAACATACTGACTGAATATTTGCTGAGTTAACAGATCATGATTTGGCCCACCTGCCCTCGATTTCTGACACGCTTCGTTGTCCATCCGTTCACAGGTTATAAGCGTGTCTATCTGCAGTCAAATCGGTTGGTTTCAGCAGCGCTTGACAAGTCGCTATCAGGTCATGTCGGCGACATTCCAACCTGATATAGATACCGTGCGTCTGAGATGTGTTTGTATCTACATGATATATACAATACATTGTCGACGAGATCTACGCACGCTCTATTTTCTTCAAGTCCTTTGTTTGGTACCCTTTGCCACTTTTCCACCTTTGCGCAAAGTGTTGGCTCGCTCCTAACAAGTTGAACTTGAGCAGCTCCCCAACCAGTACTTATTCACTGTTTTTCCCACCACCATCCTTGCGGCCCTGAATTTCCGTTCAAGGTAGCGCTTAGTAGTAGTTCAGTCTGCGCCTTCTCGTACAGTGTACTTACTATCTCTCCACATGGTGTATTACGTATATGCGCACTGCTTCTATTCTAACGCCTCACTGCGGCCTCAGTGATGCCACCCCCAAACCATGCATGGATCTCCTCTTTGCTGATTCCCC